GAAGAACTGAAAACAAGGTAGCTATAGAACCTGCTGCTCAATCTGACCCAGAGATTCCTTCCTGGATTCCACCCATTGCCCTGTTCTGCAGGGTGATGCAGTGTGGAAATGGAAGTGCTTAATCAATTGGAAAAGGGGGCGAAATCTCTTGCAAAAAAGTTGAGTAGAAATTCCACTGGTTCCTTGGAAGGCTGCTGCTTTTGCCTTCCTTCCATTGGATGGGAGTGCAGGCAGTGTCTTCATCCAAGGCTTAGAGGTCAAATCAAAGGAAAACTGGGACTGTAGCAGCATTGGGTGACTAGTGCCAAGGGGGTGCCCCAAGTTTGTTGACTTTTTTCCTCTAGTCCAAAAATATTCCAGAAGACAAAGTGCAGCATCTGCACCAGCGCTCTGGAGCTGCCCTCCGTGCATTTTCTGTGCGGCCATTCCTTCCATCAGCACTGCTTTGAGAGCTACTCGGAGAGTGGGTCAGAGTGCCCCACATGCCTTCCTGAAAACCGGAAAGTCATGGACATGATCCGTGCCCAAGAGCAGAAGCGAGACCTGCACGATCAGTTCCAACACCAGGTGGGTTCCTGGGTGGGCTCTGGTGTTTGTAAACAGGCTCAAATATTCTCGTCCCTGCCAAACATCCTTTTTTTTTTTTTTTTGGCCTCTGGCAGCTGAAATATTCTAACGACAGCTTCTCTGTGGTTGCTGATTATTTTGGCCGTGGTGTTTTCAACAAACTGACCCTCCTCACAGACCTTCCTCCAAGCAAGTCAGCTGCAGTGCTGGATGCCAACTTGCAGCGGGACCTGCTTGTCAAGACAAAGAGGAGCACCTAGAAGTCCCTTCGTCCAGATGGGTTTACTTTGTGGAGCTGGGAAGTGGCAGAGACAGACCCAGGCGGGGAGGGGAAGAAATGGGACTCAGGGATAGGAAGCCTGCTGGCTGTCCTTGGCTCTCCCTCCTCCCCAGGATGGGCTGAGGGGTGGTGGTGCAACTTCTCTGGTGGAAACAGCCCGACTGGGGCTTTGGTTCTGGGCCCTGTCTGGCCGCTGATTCTCAAGCAAGCCTGAGCAAAGCCTCTGGCCAGGCCTGCCAGGGCCATTGTGGCAGCTGCGACTGCTGCCTTGGAGGAGGGAAGAACAGCGGGGGGGGGGGCAGGGAAAGGCCGCCCTCCCTCCTTGAGGGTTTATGGTGTGACTGCATGACTGACTAAAGGGCACTGCTGCCACCTGCCTCCAGGCCTTCTTTTGCGGGGGGGGGGGGGGGGGGCTGGGCAAGGGTCCCTGGCTTGGGCGAGGTGTCCCACCAGCCTGGAGGTCTTTCTGATTGCATATGTGCTCTCATGTTCAGCTTCTAGTCATTCACTCACATACTTTCAACCAAACAATGAGGCAGAATCGGTTCTTTAGAATTCATGGAGATCCAGTTAATTTAAAATAACACCAAACATTATTGATTACAAAGTGTATCTCTTTGGTTTACACACACACACACAGGCAGGCTTCAGGACCCCAAAGTCCTTGCTTTGTTGGTGGGGCTCAGGGAGGGGTTTCCCATGTGCTCAGACCCAACTTTTGTCAGATTCAAGTGACATTTTTTCCTTCTTAACTACTTTCCCTGATGGACCTTTTCCTGGCTTTTGTTCACCTTGCTTATGTGCTTGTTACACCTTTCAGTTATACTGGCTTACCCATTTCTTCCCTGGCATCGAGATAAATTGGAGATGCCACAGAATGGGGCTCACCCATCCCCACTCAGAGCATTACAGGTTTTTGTATGTATTCTTGCCAGGAGGTTTGCTGTCTAGTTGGCATGGAAGTACAATATTTTAAGAAAACAAATTTAACACGTTGAAAGATTGAGGAGATTAATACAAAGGCACATAGAAAAAAATTGAACCATTTTCCTTCCCCAGGATCCCGAACCAGGTAACCAAGATGCGAGCCAGGAGCAGGCCAATCTCTTCAGATCTTGGGAGCGGAATGGGACAACTCTCTGCAGCCAACTCACCACAGGACAATTTAACAATTTAATTTAAATAATTAAACATTATTTTAATGTTTGCCATTCACATTTTATTTTGTCCCTCCTTTTGCATTCTTTGTTTAATTGTTCTATTCCACCATTTCTTTGACATTAGTTTAACTTTTGCCCCATGGTGAGTTAGCCACGCGAGTTGTCCCAGACCCCCTGAGCCAATTCTACAAACGCTCTTGTTATAACTGCTGCAGGGCTTCTGGGCATTGTCCAGGAGGAGTATTTTGAAGAGAATGTAGGTCTTCCTGGCTTGGATCTTGAGAAACAAAGTGGGGAAGCCTCAGTTTGTGTCCAGGTACACCTGTAGATTAAGCCAAGAGAGAAAAAGGACAAAAGAGGGACTGGTGCCACCTTTGCTTTAATGTCACTTGGAATAGCTTAAGACACTGGTTCCCAACCTTTTTTTAATACCCTGCAGCTCTAGAACGCTTCTGATATATTCTCACACCCCTTACAAAAGTTCAAAATAATGGCAACGAATTATGCACATACACTATAAATTGAAAACCCATTTTTTCGCACCCACTGGAATATCATCTCGCACCCCTAGTTGGGAACTCCTGGCTTAAGAGATTTGTAAAAGATTCTGGGCTTCTAATCAATGCATCCTCCCCAGGTTTCACAGTGAACACTAGAGTGTGTGGAAAACCAAACAGGATTTCATAGGGACTATATCCAGCTGGTGATGGAGCTTCTAATGGCTCCTAGAGGGGTTGGCAAAGTCTGCCCGTGCATGTGGGTGTTGGAGACAAGAATTTCCTTATTCCCGGTTGTGGGGCAAAGGCTTCAGAAAGTTGAGTAACAAAAGATGTGCCTCTGTGTGGTGAAATCTGGAATGGCATGCTGCAGTGACAAAAGACCTGTGGGTGCAACAACCTTGCAGAGTGGTCTCCAATTTTATTGCATATGGAGAAGGCTTCCACCCATTCAGAAAAGCCCTCAATGTATTCCAGGAAAATTGTGTCCCATGTACCAATATGTCTTTGCCCATAGAATGGAAGTTGCAACTTAGGAGTAGCTCCCATTTTGAACTTGGTATCCCAGACAATTAACAACGTGCTGACCCCTTTGCCACTGACTGGGCCCCATTACAACTAGATGTGCCTTAGCAAGATTTTCTTTGCTCCTTCGTGGGCCGTGTTGTGCAAGTTCAAAATAATCTGTTCCTGTTCCCCCAACTTAGTTTCCCCTACATGTGTCTGTTGAGCAATCTAGTTCTGCCTCTTGTGTGCTGTAAAAATTTGGCTAGAGTTCCAAACTTTATATCTCTGGTAGAAACAGCAACACAGGAGGTATTTTGGTCTCATCCTCCCACTGTGAAGCTCCATCAGTAAACCAGATTTCCTTGCCTGGGGTTAGAGAAGCTAAAAGGGGCACGAGATTTTAGATCAGTGGTTCTCAACCTTTTTAATGCCGCGACCCCAACCGGTCGTAAGTCAAGGACTACCCAACCGGTCATAAGTTGAGGACTACCCAACCGGTTGTAAGTCGAGGACTTTCCCTGCCCGGGAGCGCCGCACATGCGTGGTGCCGCCCCCTGTGCCGGCTGAGGCATAGCTGGCAAGGGGCAGCGACGGCGCAGGGCGACCACCGGCTGGGCCACCAGCTGGCCCAGCCCAAGGGAGGTAAGGCACCCACTGGGCCCCACGCGTGCCAGCAACCCTCCCTGCGCCTGCCAGCCTCCCACCTCCCACCCCTGGCCCTCTTTTACTTACATTTTTAGTAGTTGCTCAGCAGGGAGGGGTGGAAACTTCCAGACAGCTCGCCTTTGCTGCAGACACCTTGCAGCACCGTTTGCAGAATGGGACTTTTGGCGGGCTCAGCAGGGCAGAGACAGCCTGGACAATTCCTATTGGCTTTTGAAAGCCAATAGAATTAGACTCTATTCAAGAGAGTCTATTCTATTGGCTTTCAAAAGCCAATAGAATAAAAGGGAGTAGCACAGCTAAGGAAAAGGGGAAAAACATGGCGGACTGCATTGTTTGGCGACCCCCGTGAAATGGTCGTCCAACCCCAAATGGGGTCGCGACCCACAGGTTGAGAACCACTGTTTTAGATAGTCTGACCCTAAGCAAAATTCATGTTCAAGAATGGGAGTAGAAAACATCGGGCTTAGATAAATTATTCTTCTCCCATCTGAAGTCAGAATGGGCTAAAGAGGGCTATTAAAGGGGTTGACTGGTTTATTTCAAATACCTTCCTTTTCTAAGCTGCAAGTAGCCTGTGTGATCCCTGTTTCAGCAGCCTTTGGCTGGGGTATTTCTGGGGGTTACAAGGGGTCTGGTGATCTCTCTGTGCACTGACAAGTGTCCTACACTGGCCATAATGGGCTTGGTAACCCCTTGAATCAACGCCCCCCCCCCAGTCAGAGGCTTGTAAGGCAGACAGGGCTGCAATAGAGATTTTTTTAGTCAAAGGAAAGTGTTTGATACAAGATGTTTCACTCCAGTATCTAACAGAGCTTGCTTAAGATCATTGTGGATTAAAACAGAAAAGTAATTCCTCATGTCTTTAGGGTCTTTCAAATGTTTTCCCAGATACCGCCTGGCAAGACCCATATGCTTATCTCTCTCTGTGTGTGTGTGTGTGCTCCATTTCCATCCACCGCTCCGTGCCCTTGGTCACTCCACACATTCCTATTGTCTTCCTGCCTTATTTCCCATCTTTCGTTACCTTTCTGCATCTGCTTATCCAGCCCAGGATTGCTCAGGATGCTGCAGCCCACCCAGCACTCCTTTTAAAGATAGGGTGCTGCATGATGTTGCCTGTAGTTTGACACTCATCCCCATTACTAGGGGGCTCTACTCCAGCTATGAACTGGTACCATAAATAGTGATGGCAGTTTTTCTAAAGGATCCTCTTTCCCCTGCTGATCCCCAATGGTCCTGCACCATGTTTTGGAACCCCTGTAAGACACTGAAGCGGTCAACAGGCTTGGGGAAATTAGGATTTCTCTAGGTGTGCTGTTTATATGGACTTCAGGATAGGTTAATATGATCTGCTCAATCTCTTGGTCAGACAAACTACCAGAGGCTGTGTAGCCTCCAGGTCCATTTGAGGAAATTGGGGCTCAAGACTCACATCTGTAGCAATCTGTTTCAGCTCTCCTGATAAAGGAGTATGAATGACTACTTATTCCCACTCCTCCAACTGCGGGTTTGGGGCATTTCTGTGCCCTGTTTGTGCCAGGGTTTCCACTGCAGCTATTGAAGCCTGGGAAACTATTGCTTAATTCCTCAAGAGGCTCCCACCCATCAGACAAAAAGTCTGGGGTTTCATCAGGATCTGAGCCTGTTAACCAGGCAATTTGGTAAGATTGCTGCCTTATTTGTCTGCGCAGCTCCCCAACCTTACTACAGTACATTCTCTACAAGCTGGGTGCTTATTCCTTGGCGAGGTCTGCACAAGGTCCTTTAAAGCTTCCATTTTTAATTCTTGCACAGCATCGTTTTATTACTCTTTGCTTTGCCTCTTCCCTTGCTAAGCTATTCGTCAGTTGAGCCAAAGTCTCTTCGTTCTACCAGTTGGCTCTTTTGCGGCTGGTAATCAGTCTGCAAAACGTGGTGGTTACATCTGAGTCGTCGCAGCTCCAGGTCTGCTTTCGAAGAGGAGCTCTCCGATCGGATCGGCCGGAGGAGGAGAAGTCCCATTCGGGTCAGCCCTGCCCCCTATATTAGGGCCACCACTCCAAGTTCATCTTTCTGTTTCTTGGCTCCTCTTTTCTACCTTGGCATCTCTCCCTGGATGCACGGACTCCTGATTCAGGTGACGCTTCTCTTACTTGACGACTTGGTTGTAGGACAGCTCCAACACCAGGTGGGTTTCTGGGCGGGCTCTGGTGTTTGTAAACAGGCTCAAATATTCTCGTCCCTGCCAAACATCCTTTTCTTTTGGCCTCCGGCAGCTGAAATGTTCCAACGATAGTTTCCCTGTGGTTGCTGATTATTTTGGCCGAGGTGTTTTCAACAAACTGATCCTCCTCGTAGACCTTCCTCCGAGCAAGTCGGCCGCAGCGCTGGATGCCAGCTTGCAGCGGGACCTGGCTTGTCAGGAGGAACAGGAGCACGTGGACGTCCTTCCCTCCAGATGGGTTTATTTTGGGGAACTGGGAAGCGGCAGAGACGGACTCAGGCGGGAACGGGGAGGAACACGACTCAGGGACAGGAAGCCCGCTGGCCGGCCTCGGCTTTCCCTCCAGGACCCCAGGATGGGCGCCAGGCAGGGCCGGGGCGGTGCAACTTTCTCTGGCGGAAACAGCCCGACTGGGGCTTTGTTTCCGGGTCTGTATGGCCGCTGGCTCTCAAGCAGGCCAGAGCAGAAGCTCCGGCCAGGCCTGCCAGGGCCACAGTGGCAGCTGCAACTGCCGCCTCGGAGGGGGGGGGGGAAGGCAGCCCTTCCTCCTCGAGGGCTTCTGCTGGTGCGGCTGCCCGGCTGCCTCAAGGGCGCCGCTTCCACCGGCCTTCTTTCGCGCGGGCGGGCCGGCCCGGGCGAGGGTACCGGGGCTGGAGGTTCGCTGACTACGGGGCTGCTAGGGCGAGGCGCCCACCTGCCGGGAAAGGTCGCCAACGCGAAGGCGCCCTCCAGGGGACCGGAACGGATGGCTCGGAAAGCCCCGGAAGTGACGTCACACGGGAGGCTCGACGCGCTCGTCCGGCGAGGTGACCCGGTCGCGGTTGTCGTTCCGCCGGCCCCGCCGCCCTTTCGTCGGCATGAGCGGCCCGCCGCCGTCCTCGTCGCCGTCTCTGGCCCCGGTGAGCGCAGCCCTCCGCCCTGTCCAGCTTGCCGCCTCACCTCACCGCGTGGCCCCCGTTCCCCGCGCCACCCCCTCGGCCCGCCCCTGCCGCCACCCCCCTTATCGCGCATCCCAGAGCGGGGCGGTGCCTGCGGGCGGGCGGGCCGGTCGGGGAGGGTCGCAGCCGCCCGGCCTCGGGCTGAGAAGCGCTGGCGGCCGCGGCCGAGGAAGCCCGCCGGAGATGGCCGCGGAGGTGAGGGGCGCGCGCGAGACCGGCCGGCGGCCGCGCTCTCTTGGCTAGGGCGGCGGAGGCAGGGGAGGGCCGGCACCGGGCCTTTCCTCCCGGTCTCGAAGCGGCTGCGGCGTTCCGGCCTCGCTTTGCGTCTAACGGGAGAAAATTCTTTTCAGAATAAAAACTCCTCGGAGAACCGGACCATCCGCGTTGGCACCCGGAAAAGCCAAGTAAGGGTTCCCAAGTCCCGACATACCGCGATAGGAAAATCTTTCGATTGCTCTGCGCTTTTGTGGGGGGGGGGGGGAAGTGTTGATTTTTCTCCTCTGCACAAACTCCCGGTTGTTTATCGCAAGTCAGCAACATTACCCAAGGGAGGCAAAGGGACAGTAGTCGAATGACGGAGTAGCCTCTCTTTTTTCCTACCTTTCAGAAGACCCTTAGGGTGGGGCTGATTGTAACCCTGCTGGGCCCCCTAAGCAGCTGAGGCACAGAGAACTTTGTAAGCTGCACCCAGCTCTTCAAATTGCACCTATGCATTTCTGCATTGCAGGGTGATGGGGTACAGCAACTTCTAGGAGCACTTTAGAGTATTACCTCTGGTGACTGGTGCACAAAGCCCAGTTTTTCTGGCCCTGTAGTACTCATGATGTTACCTATTTGGGTAATGAAATGTCTGCAAGAAAAAAACCAAGCCCAGAGACCACCAAGGACCCCTCAATTCAAACCTGAGCTACAAATATTATCTTTTACCAGTACAAAGCCAATAAGGCATTGATGGCCTCTGCTTGGCTGGCAGGGTTAACTAAAACTTTGGCTGTTGGACCATCCCGAATAGATTGAGCAAGCCTTGCTCTCTTTTCTTTAGCGTAGGAAGAAGTGCAATCTTTTTTGCTCAGGGCTGGAATGGAAAGCAAGCAGGGAAAGTTGTGCAATGTGACAGTGCCAGGAAAGCAGCATCTCCAGCCACAGAAATCCAGCATGGCTGCTAAGGCAGAGGCGTTGAAAGATCCACCCAAAGATGCAGGATTGGGAAAGGCTGATAATGCCATACCCTTGTAACCTAGAGCTAATCTCCACCTACCAGCCTCTAACAAGTATGGGGAGGCCAGCAAGGAGCCAAGCAGAGAGGAAGGGTTGGGTGGATGGGGGAACAGCTCCCCCCTGCCAAGGCCCAGGAACTGCCCTTCCTCTTGCCCAGTAGCACAGCCAGAGTCTGCCCCCTCCAGTCTCATCTGTTGGGGGGGGGGTTATTTAATGCCTGATGGAGTTCAGGTCAGGTTGTCCTTTGTCTTCTCCCAGCATTGTGTTCCCATAGTGGTGCCTGATGTCAGAAAACGTTTGTGTGAATAGCAGGCCCACCCACCCAGAGCTATTTTAGCAGATAGGATAGAGGGGCAAGGTTTCCTCTTGCCTGGGCTCTTGTACGAGCAGCAGAAAGTTTGAATTCTGTTGTTTGAGTCCCCTTCATGATGGGAGGCAGGTAGCTGTTGTGTTTCTGATGTGCTGGGGGGGCTTTCTGAGAGCCTTTTCCTTCCTTTCTCAACATTGCAGCTGGCTCGTATTCAGACTGACAGTGTGGTGGAGATGCTCCAGGTGCACCACCCGCATCTCTGCTTCAAGATAGGTGAGCATCCAGGGAAGGGGGCCTATAAGAGAGGGTCTGCTCTTGAGGTGGTGTGGAGGCAGCCCAAGCAGGTATATTAGGAGCAAAATGGAGGGAAGGAGGGAGGCCATGGTTACCCTCCAACTTCTTTTTCTCTGATAGTTGCCATGTCAACCACTGGAGATAGGATTCTAGACACAGCCTTATCCAAGGTTTGTTCCCCTGCTTATATGTTTTTTTTTCTCGCTCCAGACAGCCAGGGCTGTCCTGTAGGGCTATGTGACAATAGAGCCCTGGGAGTCCTGGGCAGAGTGGCCTTGCAAGACTGGAAGGGTACCCATGCTGTTTCTCTTCCCCAATAGATTGGAGAGAAAAGCCTTTTTACCAAGGAGCTGGAAAATGCGCTGGAAAGGGATGAGTAAGTGCTCTTCTTCTGAAGGTTTGTGGAACATTGGTGGTCCTGTTGAAGTGGGCTCAAAGCCCGACTCTCCAGGACCATAAGTAACATGGGTCCCCTGCTCCCTACTTGATGGCCATTCAGTTTGCCAGGGGAGAAGCCAGCACTTCAATGCCAGACATACTGTGGCATGATGGCGGATTGCAGATTTCTGGTCTGGCATGTTTTCTTCTTTCTTTTAGAGTGGACTTGGTGGTTCACTCCCTGAAAGATCTGCCCACCTCCCTGCCACCAGGCTTCACAATTGGTGCCATCTGCAAGTGAGTTTGAGCTCCTCTCTTGCCTGGGTGAGCCAAGTGGTGGCCCTGCCCATCTGCCCGCCTTCCTTTTGCTTGTGAACCTGGCCACAGCAGAGGTGCCTAGGGAGTGTCTCGGGAGCAAGAGGGGCCGAATGGTGCTTGAGCTTCTTTCTCTGCTTGGCCTGCTATCCTTTTGCCAATGTTTACTGGAGAGGTTTCTGAAAAAGTCATCCTCCGTCCTTTGCAGGAGAGAAGACCCACACGATGCTGTCGTCTTTCACCCCAAACATGCTGGCAAAACCCTCAGCAGCCTCCCTGAGAAGAGGTGAAGGGCTGGCTGGAGCAGGAGCTTGGCCTTGGTCCAACTTCTGGAGTCCCACCCTGGATTGATGCTCTAGTGGGCTGTCTGGGTGCTGTGCAGGAGGGGGGAGAACAGGGCTGCCTTGCTTCTTGGAAAGCAGAATACAGAATAACAGAGTTGGAAGGGAATTTGGTAGTCTTTTAATCCCATCGCCTGCTCAAGCAGGAGACCCTATACCAGGGGTGTCAAACTGCCAGCCTGCAGGCCGGATGCATCAGGGCGAAACTGCGCCCACCCCATTGCCGGCAATGGAAAAAAAGTCACGATACGTCGAGACACGTCACGTGATGTTGCGAGTTTGACATCCCTGGCCATTTCAGACAAATGGTCATTGAGTCTCTTGTTTAAAAATTGCAGCTTGCGAGGGGAGGAGGGAAGAGCCTGGGAGATCTTAATGGAATTGAGGAAGGTTCTGAGTAGCCTTGCTCATCTCAATTTTGGTTTTTCTGCAGTGTAATTGGGACCAGTTCACTTCGCCGTGCAGCTCAGTTGAAAAGAAAATTCCCTTGGCTGCAGTTCAAGGATATTGTATCCTTTCATGATTCAGGCTGGCCCAAGTTCACCTTTATTTGATTTCTCTGATCACCCAAACTTGCAAATCAACTCTGGGCGGCTTACAATTAAACAGAAGTCTAAAACCTGGGGTCATCTGCCTGCCCACAATGAGAAACACATGCTGGAACAAGACAGGCCTTGCTTTGCTCCTTGCTCTGGCCTTTATTGTGTCTCCAAGAACAGTAACTGCATCAATGATACACTGCCCCAATTCATAACAAAATTTAGTCTGAATAACCCAGCTTTTATCCTAAAAGAATTGAGATAACAGCTGATTCTTACTCCTCTTGACAAAGCAGGTCCTTCTTCAAGGTACCTTTGTTTTTTCTGGCCTGAGTTTGGCCTTTTGCAGCTGAGGTTGGCTTCTCAGAAGGGCTGGGCATGTCTCCCTCCCTCAGAGGCTTAGGGTGACCAGCTATCCACACCCAGACCTACGATCATAGTGCCCCACCTCCTGGCAGCGGGCCTGGCAGGCTAGCAGAAGCCTCTTGGTTTTGCTTAGCCTTCCGACAGAGGGGCAACCTGAACACCCGCCTGAAGAAGCTTGATGACAAGGAGGACTTCAGTGCCCTGGTTCTGGCAGCTGCTGGCCTTAGGCGCATGGGCTGGGGGGACCGCATTGGCCAGGTGAGGGGCAGGGGATTGGCATTTATGCCACGTTGTCCCAACAGTGGGGTGTTTAATATTCTATTTTAAAAAGTAGTCTGTTGCTGACTCTCACTTCCCTCTAGATTCTGAGCCCCGTGGACTGCTTGTATGCGGTTGGGCAGGTGAGTGATGGGATCTGCCTGGCCAGTTGAACCTCCCAGGTTTTCTTTTGGCAATGGAGCCCCATATCTCTCCATCTGGCCTCTGGAGAACACCTGGACCTTGGATATCTGGGTCTCTTCTGGAAGGGAATTGCACTGCTGAAAATCCCAGAGCTGGGCAAGGAGGCACCCTGGCTGGCCAGACTTTTTGGGGCGGGATACAGACTCCAGAGGGGTGTGCTGCTACTTACTCTTCATTGCCCCCAACAGCTTCTGTTAAAGGGGGAGCTGTTTGTTCCCCTTTGCTGGGTATCTGTTGTGGTAAGAGACTACTTTGGTGCACAGATCTTTCTTGATCAGGCAGCAGGGCTTAGGTGAATCATTTGGAAGGGGAATCCCTTATCAGCTCAGGTGCCTGCTTAGAGATGGGAAAACCCCCCAAAAGGGACTGTGATGCAAGTCCTAAGGAAGGAGAATGCACTTTTGGGGGGCATTGAACCACAGGAATGGAAAAGCGCCCCCTTCCCTTTACTGCCCTCTCCCCCTCCAGGGTGCCTTGGCCGTTGAGGTGCGGGCCAAAGACCAGGAGATCATAGAAATGATCTCAGTTTTGCACAACGAGGAGACTGTGCTGCGCTGCATCACTGAGCGAGCCTTCATGAAGCACTTGGTAGGTTTCTCAGGCTGGTGGGGCCCCCTGAAGCACAGCCCAGCAGCCTTGCCACGTCTTCAAGCTGTTGCTTCCCTCCGCAGGAAGGAGGCTGCAGCGTGCCGGTGGCTGTGAGCACCCAGCTGAAGGACGGCCAGGTAAAAGCAACTGGCTACTCCACCTCCTGCTTCCACTGCAAGGCAGACACCAGCAGAGTGCAGAAGCCTGCCTCATCCTGGGAGGGAGGGAACAGTTTAGAAAGATCACCTTTTTTAAAGAACTAAAATTGAGGAGGCTGTTCACAAATGCTGGCATTTGTCTCCATTCTGCTTGCTAATTGGTTTCAATCTCCCTCTTCTCCAGCTGTACTTGACTGGAGCAGTCTACAGCCTTGATGGTTCCGACAGCTTGCAAGAGACCATGCAAAGAAATGTGAATTTTTCCCTGGAGGTAACAGTCTTGGTTGTTTTCAGAGTAACAGCTACGGAACTCCTTTACTCTAGGATAACCACACTCTCTACTGCATTCTGGGGGGTGGTGGTGTCCCTATTGTTAGCTGTCAGTTCAACTTGAGCCCCAGCATGTCATGGCCGTGACCCCATAATACAGTTCCCTATGTTGTGGTGACCCCCAAGTGGGTATGGCCACCAATAAGAGGGAGTAGGACAGCTAGGGAAAAGGGAAAAAAATGGCGGACAGCATGGTTTGGTGACCCCCATGAAATGGTCGTTTGACCCCAAATGGGGTCCCGACCCACAGGTTGAGAACCACTGCCCTAGGGTGAGATGTGGCTTCTCCTCAAATCCTTTCCCACAGGCTGCCCTTCCTTTTCAGAATGAAGGTGGTCCCGATGACAATCTCCAACATGCTGGCATCACAGCATGGAATGTACCTCGTCTTGCTCAGGAGGCAGCAGAGAGGCTGGGCCAGGAGGTGGCTGATCTGCTGCTGAGCAAAGGGGCCAAACAAATCCTCAGCGTGGCAAGGCAACTCAACAGTGCATGATGGGCACCACCTCCTTGGAGAGCTATGATGCTGGCCAGTTATTTATCCCTCCTGGAGGAGAGGGGAGCAAGAGATGATCTGCCACTAGCACTGCCGGGGGAGCAGCTGAACATTTGGTGTGAAGAGGCAGGTTTGGGGCAAGAATTGCAAATCTGCATATCCACCAAGAAATCACTGGTTGGTCCAGCAGAGGTGTAAAGTTGAACTCTGCTCAGGACTTGGGAACAATTACTGCTAAAACCTATTAAAGATCGTGCACAGAGTCTGGCGCTTTTTCCACTGCAGCCGATCGGGTTCTTAAATCCCAAAGAGCAGAAAATGGGGGGGGGGACGGGTAACATGCCATCTGGGAACTAACTCGCGACCACCCCCACGGGGCAATGCGGCTGGGCTGGAGACCCCCCCTCGGTACCCCTCCATCCTAATTTGCACGCGGGGAGGGGCCCACAAACTACCGGACGAGCGCGCGTTTTCAACGTCCTTTTATTGGGGACGTCCGGGAGGCCGCGAACAGCCCCGCCATTGAGTGAGGCGCGGGCCGCTCCTTCCCGCCGCCGGGAGTCCCGAGTCCAACCACGTGGCACCAGCAGGAGGTCCGCTGCTCCGGCTTGCCCAGCTCCGCCGCCTCGGTTCGGTCTCCGGTTCCGCGGCCGCCGCGCCTAGTACTCCTGCGAGGCCTGGACGGTCCCTTTCTTGCGTGCCACCGCCCCGCCGCCCTGGGCCGCGGCCTTCCGGGGCAGGAGCGCGGCGGGGATGTTGGGCAGGACACCGCCCTGCGCGATGGTGACGCGGCCTAGGAGGCGGCCGAGTTCCTCGTCATTGCGCACCGCCAGCTGGACGTGACGCGGGACGATACGCGTCTTGCGGTTGTCGCGCGCCGCGTTGCCCGCCAGCTCCAGGATCTCGGCCGTCAGGTACTCCAGCACCGCCGCCAGGTAAACGGGAGCGCCGGCTCCGACCCGCTCCGCGTAGTGTCCGCGTCGCAGTAGCCGATGCACGCGGCCCACCGGGAACTGCAGTCCAGCGCGCGACGAGCGCGACTTCGCCTTGGCCCGGGCCTTCCCGCCGCCCGCCTTGCCGCGGCCCGACATCGCAAACGCCGAAGGAAGCGAGGAACCGCCGACTTGGGCGGGCCGCCTTTATATGGCCCGCGCGTCTCACACTGGCCCGCCCGCCGATTGGACTCTGCGCCCCGCGCTCCTGATCATTGGCTGATGCCAGGGCCACTGAGCAGACAGCGCGCGCGATTCAAAGGTTCGCAAAAAAGCCACCTCGAAGGAGTCCTTCCCGAATAAGACGCCTGCAGCCGAACCGACGTGAGGCGTGCGAAATCATAGAGCATAGAATCCTAGGATTGGAAAAGGACCTCAGAGATCTTGTGATCTAGCCCAACCCCCTGCTCAAGGCAAGAGCGTTACACGATCTCAAATGGTTGCCAAGTCTGTTTTTAAACCTCCAGTGGTGCAGCACCCGCAACTCTGGGAGGCAAGTTAATCCACTGATTATTTTCGCTGTCAGAACATTTCTACGATGGATCTCTCTTTAAAAGGCTTCCCCTCTTTACTTCTTGCTTTGCCGCCTGGTGCTTTGGAAAATAAATTAATCCTCTGTCTGGGATGCCCTCCCAATCCCGTCCTCTAGGCTAGACATACCCAGCTCCCTCCAGTGTTCATCATACAATTTAGTCTCCAGACCCTTCTTTGTTGCTCTTTTCTGCACTCTATCTGGAGCCCCAGCAACTTTTTTTTTGTATCATAGTAACCAGAACTGGATGCAGTATTCCAAGCATAGTCTTACCAGTGTGGTGCACAGCGGTACTATCACTTCTTGTAATGCTGCCTCTTATGATGCTGTCCCTGTTGATGCAGCCCAGAACTGCCTTGGCCGTTTTGGCAGCTGCAGCACACGACTGGTTCATACCTGTGGTGGCCCACTAGGATGTATAGATCTCTCTCACCTAGACCTGTTGAGCCAGGCAACACCTATTCTATCCCCCAGCTTGATATCATCTGCAAATTCAATGAGTTCCTCTTCTATCCCCTCATCTAGATCATTTAAGATGTTGAAGATGGAACTGTGAGGTATCCCACTGCATGCTTGCCTCCATGTAGATGTAGTTCCATTGAGAACAATATGCTGCGTATAGTTCATCAGCCAATTGCGAATCCATCTGGTGGTGGTACTGTCTATATTGTTCTATCTTACAAGGAAGTAGGTTGTAGCCCACTTTGTCAGATGCCTGATTGAAGTCCAAGTATACTACGTCTATGGCCTTTTGTTAGTTCACTAATATAATCACTATCAGAAAAGGCAGTAAGGTTTGTCTGGCATGATCTGTTTTTAACAAACTCATACTGGCTTCTAGTAATCTTCTTGTTTGTTTCTAGGTGTGTTCACAAATCCTCTGCTCGATTATCTTTTCCAGGATTTTCCCAGGTATTGACATCAAATTGATTGTCCTATAATTTCCTAGATCCATTTCTCTCCTTTTTATAAATTGGAACCACATCAGCCCTTTTCCAGTCCTCTGGTAGTTCCCTGCACTACAAGATATTTGAAAGATTACATTCTGTGAGGCTGAAATTACATCTGCCAACTCTTTTAAGAATCCTGGGATGCAAACCATGTTGCCCAGATGATTTGTATTCCTCCAGGGTGGATAGGTATTCTCTTACTAATCTCTTTCTTATTTTGACTTGTATATCTGTTCTATCTCTCTCAGTGTCCCAAAGGTGCTTTCTCATGAAGCAACTGGACTTTATTTTTTCTTTGAAGACTTTTCACTTCTTATCCAAGAAACCTCTTCAGTTGTGACTGGATGGGGAGGGGGGATAGATTTATATTCTTTGCAGACAGCTGGTCATTTGCATTCTTTTAGAGCAGGCATGTCAAACAAGCTACACCTAGTCCGGCCCCGCAAGGGCAAAACAAATCCCAATACGTCACAATACGGCCCGCAATGTGATTGGGTTTGACACCCGTTTTAGAGACGCCATTTGGAGATTTACCTGTGTCCTCAGGGTCAGCTGAGTAGTGCAAACATGTGTGGAGCCTTCTTGGCTGCAGGACGTTTTCTGCCCTGTGTCCCTCCACTGTTGAAAACAGGCGCAGGCTATTGGGGATGAGTCTGTGTTGCCTGCATCTCAAACTGAAGTGCAAATGGTTCCTGTAGTCTGCAATGTTTTCTGGAAATCCGTTCATACTCTGCACCATTCAAAGGGTATTCATCCCGAAGTGCATGGCTAAACGTCTATGGAGATTCTCAATCATCCAGGTCCACACACGTTTGCACTATTCAGGTGACCCTGAAGACACAGGCAAACCTCCAAATGGCCTCAATGACTCTCTAAAAGAATGCAGATGGGACAACCATGACCTGGATGACTGAGAATCTCTAGAGACATATCTCTCTCAATGCTACATTTGGTAGGCTGGGATATTTCTTCCTTTTGCGTAAAAACAGAGGCAAAGAAGGAATTAAGCAGTTCTGCTTTCTCTCTGCTGCCTGTCACCTTCTTGCCCTCTACTCTCATTAGCAGACCTATTGTTTCCTTTTCTTGTTCCTTACACATGAAAATATTTTTTTTCTTTTTCTTTTTTTTCCTTGAAGAGCTTCTTAGCATTTCTTCTATTTTACGCATCCAACACCCTCTCAACAAGCTCTCTGCAAGAACCCTCCACCTCTTCCAAATTGATGACATCAGTTATACACGTGTGAATGAAGACAAATATACACGTCCCAAGATAATATTGCAGGATCCAATCTGGGTCGGTCACCAGGACCAGAGATTTTGTCTTCCGAGCTTTCGTGGGTTCAAGTTGCAGATTTGCATAATGGAGCCATCAGCTGTGGGCCATGTGCCTCTGCCACAGCCTCCTCCCCAGCTCAACCTCTGCCTATTCCTACACCATGTCCTCAAAATGCTCGATCTCCACTTCACCCCTCTATGGCAGATACATAAATATGTTGGGTACAAAATGGGATGTAGAAAAACACAGTACAAATTTATACCCAGCAAAGTTTGTGGGAAAGGTGGTAGCACAGCAGTTCTAAACAGGCTTCAGAGCAAAATCTCAAATACACGTAGTTCTTTCAGCACAAAGTGAAGAAACCAAAATCAAATCCTCTCCTGGAGTAAACAGCAAAGAAACCATTTACGAAGCTGAGTGTCCCCTGCTTCACCTGTTGCCACAGGCATTGCCTCTGTTAGATTTCCTCCTAAGGATGCCCATAGGCACCCTGAGATCACCAGGGGGAGAAATGTTGCTTCCAAGCTGCATCTAGGAGAGGCCGACAGTTGGACCCTTTGGCTGGTCTGATCTTCCCAGCAGTAGCAACAGCAGCAGCAGCAGCAGCAGCTCACCTTCTGCCAGGAGCTAAGAACGCCCTGGGCAGGACAGCATTCAGGCTTTTCTCAGATGGATAACAGGGACAGAGGAGGAGCAAATAACCACATGTCGGCTCAGGCGTCATAAAACAGTCGCACAAGCTGGTACCGGATACCAAAAGCTACCAAGCTACCGGCAACCTCAAGACAGAAAGGAGAAGAGGGATGATAATGCAAACATGCAGCTGACTGCTCATGACTCATCATATTGAGGCTTTGCTCACCTCACTGTAACTGCTAGGATGCAAAGTACCCCTGGCTATGCATCCTGCTTTGCAAACCCCCACGTAACATACCACAGCAGTCAGGCAGCAGCGTGTGTACTGTGGAAACTAAAACTGCTTAATGTTCCCCTAGTTAGGTTTTGTTGAAAAGGGCACAACTGTCATCCCCAAGGGAGCATCACTGAACTGCCCCCCCCCAAAGTGCTCCTTACCTGTATTAGCAGCAGCAGAACCGTCAGGTTTTGTTCAGGAGTTGGTCCTTTTAGCTTCAGCACAAAGTTAATAAGGGTCATGTTATTGCATTCTGTAAATTCTCCATCTTTGTCTGTTCCCTGACGCACATCAACTAGGCAGAGTGTCTTAGCTACCTGGAGAGAAACACATTTTACTTATCACACAAAGCTTCATCAGCATAAGGAAGAAGAGCCAAGAAACTCTCAAAAGATTGCTGCTGAATTGTGCTTTCCCGCTTTGGTTAACAGTTACCTTGAGGGTATATGCTCCCCAAGGAGAGAGGTTCTTTGACTTGAATCTCGAGTAGCTCATCTCTAGCTTCCCTGTATCTGTGTTGAATCTGAAGGCAGAGATGAAGGCAGTCAGGGAGGAAAGGGGGACGCAGCCAAGGCCAGGATGAGCAGAAACCAGGTTGCAATACAGGACTACAGAGGGCACCTGATCAAGGCAGGCAACCCTTCACCCCAAGAAAAGGGATGGTTCTGAGTAAAAGTGAGAGTATCCTTTGTGAAGTTTGATTTGACAAGTCCCTATGTAAAGGAGATGGGTGGGTTCAGAAATGTGAAATATAAATAAAATGTAGATCTCAACAAATAGGATTTACAGCCCCGATCTTTGCCCAGGACCAGGCCTTTCTCAGAAGCCTGCTTTGAAAGGAATAGCACTTTCCTTGGCTCTTACTCTGGTTGCGGCCAAGCAGCAGGCAGGCTCATCCTTTTTCTTACCTGGGCAATCGATGGCGGGGGCACGGAATGATGTGGAAAAGCTGGGGCAGCGAGTAGAGAAAGTTGACCACTTGGGGAATGAAGAAGAGAAGCATTGTCTTGCTGAAGTGCCCAAGGATGCCCACCACGGCAAAGGTCATGCCAGCAAAATAGCAAAAGGTGTCTCCCACAAACACACGGGAGGGGTACCTGCAGTAAGGCAGGAGAGAAAGCAGATGTGGCAGTTCAATAAAGACTTCTCCCCACAGAAGGCAGAAAGAAGCATTATCCATAATAAAGAGAAGGCACTTAGTGCAGAGCTGGAAGGGACCTTGGAGGTCTTCTAGTCCAGCCTCCTGCTCAAGCAGGAGACCCTATACCAGTGAGGGCAAACCTTTTAAAGACCGAGTGCCCAAACTGCAACCCAAAGCCCACTTATGTATCGTCGGGTGCTGGGTGGGCGTGGCCCATTGGGTGGACGTGGCTGTGGTGGTAATGGCAGACTGGATGGGACTAAGAAGTTCAATCAATCAATTCCAACTTTGCGAGATCTTTTTTCTTCCCACGAGAAGTTGAAATTGATTGATTGAACTTTTTTTTTTTGCACACGGCAATGGAGGCCTAAAGCGAACAGGTTTTATAAAACCCAGATAAAGGCCTAGGACTGGGGCGAAGGCGTGCGTGCCAACAGAGAGGGCTCTGTGTGCCACCTGTGGCACGTGTGCCATAGGTTCGCCACCACGGCCTTATACCATTTCAGACAAGTCCAGTCTCTTAAAAACTTCCAGTAATGAACACCCACAACTTCTGAAGGCAAGTTGTTTCACTGGTTAATTGTCCTCACTGTTAGGAAGTTTCCCCTTAATTCTAGGTTGCTTCTCTGTTTTCATCCATTTTTTCTTGTCTTGCCCTTTGGAAAATAAATTGACCTCCTCCTCTTTGTGGCAGCCCCTCAAATATTGGAATCCTGCTATCATGTCCCCCTTGGACCTTCTTTTCTCTGGACTGGCCATTCCCAAATACTGCAACTGTTCTTCATATGTTTTAGTCTCCAGGCCTTTAATCAGTTTCTCTTCTCTGCACTTTTTTTTTCAAAGTCTCAACATTTTTTTTATGTTGTGGAGACCAAAACTGGATGCAGTATTCCAGGTGTGGCCTTCCATAAGGCTTTATAAAGCGGTACAAAACCATGTGATTTTGATTCTATGCCTCTGTTTATATAACCAAGGATTGTATTAGGTGTCTTGTTTCCACTTGAAACCAGATTACTCATGAGGTGACTATCTCCTCCTTCTCAGGAAAGAAAGTTCCAAAGTGCCCTGCGGGGAGTTGTGTAATCCCTCCAGACTCTCAAACTGCCACCCACAATTTGTCCAGTAAGGACTGCAGATTCTGCCGTGAGAAAAGGCTGGCCTTTGCCTTCAAAAGTGTGTGTATGTGTGTGGGGGCTCTTACCAATTGTGATATAGCAGTCCTAGCGTGGTAAAGAAAAAAGGAATCATGAAGTAGAGGGAGAAGACGTGGTCATCCTTGCAATCCCCTGCGAGAAGGCAAATAAGGAGCAGGCAGGTTAGCCAACCGACAGGGCCCAACTGGGCTTTGCCGAGAGGAGCTAAACCCTGAGTACCCACCCGATAGCTCCGCAATATTGAAAGCAATGATGGAGGCAGAGATCACCAAAGACTGCCCGGCTTCCAGACCGTTAATCCCAGCCAGAATGTTGATTGCATTGGTGCAGAACACAGCCAGCATGCCCATGTACACGTAGTACAGTATCCCTGCAGGAAAAGCACACAGCAGAGGAGATCCGCTTTGACCCTCCACCAACCAGCCCCAGGACTGCCTCTGCAGCCTCCCACAGCAGGGCTGGGAGCCACAGGCCCAGCGGGGGGGGGGGGGGCGGGGGGGGGCTCACCCAGGTCGAGGTAGACGCCCAGCAGCAGCCGGAAGGGCTTGGGCACCACGATGGTGGTGTTGCCCGAGTTGGTGAAGTAGACCATCAGCAGCGGCAGGGAGGCGGCGGTGGGCAGCAGCAGCTTGTGACGCCAGCGCAGGTTGAGGACGTCGTCGGCGAAGCCCAGGAAGATCATGCAGCAGATGGCCAGGAGGGCGCCTACCAGCGCCACCAGCTGCGAGGCAGGTGGACGGCGGGAGGGCAGTCAGCGCCGCCGCCGCCGCCGCCCGCGGGGCTCACCTGCCCGCCCTGACTCGCCCCGGCTCCCGCCCCGGCTGACCTCGTGATGCGGGAAGGCCTGGCAGCGCTCCTCGGCGAAGCAGCTCAGGAAGGGCACCGGGATGAAGCAGAAGAGCAGGAGCAGGAAGACGGCGCCGCTGATCACGCCCTGCGACTCCGGGCTACGGACGAGAGCGCTGCCGGTCAGCCCCGGCCCCCCGCCGCCGGCCCCGCCGGCCCCGCCGGCCCCGGCACTCACACGGGCTGCCTGGAACGCTTGTTCAGGTCGGTCCCGCACAGCCGCGCCGCCAGGAAGTGCTCGCGGAAGGCCGGGATCAGGCGCAGCGTGGCCCAACAGCCCAGCGCCGAGCCGCCCAGGTTGATCAGCAGCGGCACCACCGGCAGCTTCCACATCGCGCCGCCGCCCTGCGGGCAGCCAAAAGCCGGGCGAGTCGAGCGCCGCTTCCGCCAGGATCTCCCGCGGACGCCTTGGCCTGGCCCCGGCGGCGAATGGCGGCCCGCCCACCCGTCACGCGACAGCTGCCTGCGGGCCCCACGTCACCCGGCTCGCGCGCGCGCGCGCGCCGGCCCCGTTAAAGGGACCGCGGCTCGGCACGTCGGGCGCCGCTCCCAGCCGCCCTCCCGGCTCCGGCGCACTGCCCCTCCGCCCAGGCGCAGGCCGGGCCGGGCCGGGCGAAAGCGGGGGAGGGCCCGAGAGACCCTCGACCACGCCCGCCAGGGTGGGAGGGAGCCCCGTCGCCGCAGCCCTCTGGGGGACGGAGAGGCGGGGAAGTGCTCCGGCCTTGAGTGCCGCCCCAGACCCGAAGAGGCGCGGGACTCCTTGGCGCCCTCGCGCTTGCCTTGCCGACCGAGCTATCAAGGCGGCGGCGGCGGCCAGATGCTGAGCTCGCCCAGCTGCTCCGGGCCCTTCGGCGCGCCCCTCGCGGCGGGCAGGAGCAAGCCGAGCAGCGTCCCGTCCGGCGCTTTGAAGGCGGAGCCGTCCCCAGGGAGGGCGGCGGTGGCGGCGGCGTTAGCCCGGCCCAGCCGTCGGCTCTCAGCGTCGCGACGCCCCGCCCAGCTTGGCAGTCAGGAGAGGCGGAAGAGCCCGGCTGCCATGTAGCTCCGCGCCGGCTCCGGGAAGGAGGAGGCAAGCCGCACCGCCCCCGCTCGCTTCGGCCACCCAGGAGGCCTCGCCATGCATGCCCCGGACGCCCCGTGAGCGGCGGGCGCGCCATGGAAGCGGCGCCGGGGCTGGGCTGGGGCTGGGCGGTGCTGGTGCTGCTCTTCGCTGCCTCCCTGCTCACCGTCTCGGCCTGGCTGCTGCAGTTCTCCCGGAGCCTATGGCGCGGCCGCAGACGGTCGGCAGGAACCCCGCGGAGCCAGGCGGCCCCCGCCGGCCTCTGGGCGGCCGTACTGCGCCTGGGCCGGGCCCGCGAGGGCGCGGGGAGCTCTCCGGCGGCTGGGCCCCGCAGCTTGCTCGCCTCTCTCTTTGCCTTCCGCGCCTTCCGCGAGAACTGGCAGCGAGCCTGGCTGCGCGCCCTCAACGACCAGGCCCGCCAGCACGGGGTAAGCCGGCCGGGAGGAGCGGGCAGACGGGGGAGCTGCCGTCGGAGCTGCGCTCCGGCGGTCCCGGCAAAGGCTGACCGACCGGCGGGGGAGGGGGGGCAAGAAGCGGAGCGGGCGGTACTCCCCTCGCCCGCCGCAGCCGCTGGCCAAAAGCCCGGCTCTCCCCGCGGAGCGATGAGGGGCTGCGCTCGCGGGAAAGCTGCCGCCCTCCCCTGGCGGTTTCTTGCCGGCGGCCGCCGCTGATGGATCCCTCTTGGCCGGCTTTCTGCTTCTCCTGGCTAATCTTGGGGGGGGGGGGATGGGGATAGCCGGCCTGCTCCTTCCTGGCCGCCTGGCGAGTTCCGCTGTTTCCTGTATCAAGGAAGCCGAGACTGGCCGGTTGGGAGGGAGCTCCTTTCTGGGTGGTGCAAGCATTTGGGAGCTCTGGCGAAGTTTCTTGGCATCTTAAAATTTGGAGTTGGGCAGGAAACTGACCTGATACCCGGTGGTCCCTGTTTTAAAGCCGGAGTTTTGAGCTTCTAGGTACCTTCCCTCAGCACTTCTTTCTGCCTGTCAGAACTCTTAATTATCCTTATTACTCTCGGAGCAAACTTCCTAAGGAAGAGTTTTCTTAAATGCAGCAAAGGTCTTTGTAGGCCTCTCTGGGTATTTGCGTGAGGAAGAGAACCTGATTTGGAAAAGGTGCAGTTGCCCGAACGTCCTTTGTTCGATCAGGCCGAGCTTGGCATCCCCCTCCTTCTGGAGCTGTACCCTACTTCCTCACCCAAGCTGCTTTGTTCCACTGTTCTTAAAAAATAAAGATAGGGCAGCACCACAGCAGCTCCTGATTAAGCTTGCCCTCTTCCCTCCTAAGACTGGTCATCCGTTCCTAAGTGTCCTTCTGTCCAGCCTTACTTTGCTCAGATCTGTCCCTGGAGATTCTGAAGTTTTCCTCACAGGAAGAGAAGCAAAGAACAGGTGGACAGTAGGCACTTTCTGCAAGGGAAGAGTATCCATCTGGAAATAACCCTGAAGAGAAACAGCGTCAGGTGTCCATCGCTTTGGCATCCAAGGAACCTGCTGGCAAGCCTGCTTCCCCAGGTTCAGTCACCAGCACAGAGGTCCATCTCAGTAGAGTTTTGGAGGAGGACCTAAGTCCTGTGCCAGAGTCCATGTTTTCTCACACTGGAGCTTATGTGCTGCCCCCTTTCTTGCCATTCCATCAGCAAGATCGGCCCATAGGCAGAGCCAGTATTGGAGCAAGGAAAGGCTGCCGTCCAAAGGGGCTGGATTGTGCTTTGCTTGGAAATGAGAGAAATCACCAGAAGGCTTTTCATGCGCAGCACAGTCTGCCTCCCCTTGGGACTCGCACACTGCTCAGTTGAGCTGCTCAATATGTGTAGCTAATGTCCTTGTACTGTTTGCTTAGTAACAGGCGTTACGTTCACTGCTTCTTTGATTATGTTTCTAGTTCCTTGGTATAAATTCAGTCCAGAAATGGTCTGTTTGCTGTATTGCAGACCTCGAAGGGGGACGTCTTGTTCTGCATCTTAAGCACCTAAACTCTCTTCTTGCAGAGAAAAAGGATCTCTTGCTTTGGGGCTGTGACTGTACCAGGATTAGGACCACAGAGTTAGATGGCCACCAGCCTCCCCTCTCCCACTCAGTGGCGACCCCAGAGGCCAAGGGAGAGGGGAGGCTGGCCCTTCCTGAAGCCCAGCCTGCGGTCCTTATCTGAAAGGGGCATGGCAGCACCGGCTCCGTGGCAACTTGGCCATTGCTTCACCTGGTGCTGCATCCATCCCGTGAACTGGAGGTTGGTGGAGAGAGGCGGCTGCTCTGGAGCAAGCTGTCCCCTACGAATAATACATTTATTTTGGATATTGCCAGAGGGTAGAGCAAGATCTGTTCTTTCTGAAGAAGCAGGATTGCTTCAGGATCTCTCCTTGGTGTTTTGGCCAAAGTCCAAGCAATGTGCAGGAGTTCAGCAGAGGCTGACATTCAGCTGAGGAAAGCCTTGCACATTGCCAGCACCCTGCCTGGCTGCTCCAGCTTGGACTGGCAGTGGAGGCCAAGTGTCTCCCTCTGTGGCTTGAAAAGCCAGCCCATGCCCAAGAAGGGGATGCGTCTGGACTCCCGCTGGATGCCCTTGACAAATGCCACCTTGCAGAAGAGCCTGGATTGAGAACATGACCTTGCCAAATCGGCTCCCTCCTGTGGGCTAACTAGACTTTCTTCTTCCCAGAGCTCAGTCCAGATCACGTTTGAGGAAAGCCCTCGGCAGTTGCCAGCCGTAACTATCAGCCACGTGGTCTACACTGACCAGTCGGATCACAGGATGGTGAGTTCTCCAGAGGGCCACAAGCGCGAATACCTTTGCCTACAAAGTGTGGCCCTGGTTTGAACCCAGCCAGTTTTCACATCTCTTACTACCTGCCATTCACTCTCCTTCCTAACTCAGGGAAACTTCTCAGTACCCTGCAGAGTGCTGGGGGGCGCTTGTACTCCAGGCAAGGGGGCTTCTGCCCTACGGGCAGTTACCTCCCCCCCCCCCATGCCCTGAGTCCTCCCACTCAGACTCCAGCTGACAGCCTAGGTGTCAGGGCTGGGCTCCTCCCTGAAACTGCAGAAGAGTCCCCAGAAAGCCCCAGAAGCTGTCTAAATGCAGAGGGCTAGAAACCTCTGCTGTCCCTAAAGGACAGCTGCAACTGGGGGGAACATATATTTGGTCTGAGGTTTGCCAAAGTATTGACCTTGGCAGTTGCCCTCCATCACTGGACAGCTGACCTCTTAGATCACAGCAGCTAACCTAAAGTCCTGTGGCCCTGCATGGGAAGAGACAAGCACAGATCAGGAGGAAGGTGGGGAGCCCTGTAGCCTGGCAGAAGGGGGAGGGGCTGCTTTTTTGCAGGCACCAGATGTCAGCTTGTAGATGAAGGCTTAAATTGCCAGGGAACTGAACTCTGCAAATAAGAAGGACACAGTCCTGGGATGTCAGCTGATTGGATAAGTGCTTTGCTCTGGAAGTGTTGGTCCCTCCTCCACTGAGTAAAGGAACGGCACACCATAATCCCCGGGGGACTCTCCCGAGGCCCACCTGAATGGGAGTCAAGATGCTCAGACAGAGCTTGAAACTCCCAGTCAGAGATTATAAAATGTATCTATATCTAATACGAAGAGCAGCTCTGGAAGAGGGATCTGGATTAAGCTCCAGAGTTGAGCGGATTAACTTGTTTTCCTCTAAGATTGCAGGGAGGCGACAATCCTCCAGTTTTCTTGATGAAAGTCTCTCCCCCCCCCCAACTGTTATTCACTAGGTTCCAGCAGGAATACTTAATTAAAGCCTCTTTTCCAAACCCCAATCAATGAGTTATCTTCAGTAGTTCTTTCCAAAAGGTCAAAGCTGACAGGATGGCAGTTACTGCTGCTGCTCTAACTGTAGATGGAGGAGGAGGAGGAGGAAGCTGTGCAGTTGCTGCTGCTCTGCTCTGGGAAAGCGCTCGGTGACTGCCTATCCCTTTCCCCCCTCCAGGTGTTGCAGTGCCTCCTTTCAACTGACACAGTGCAGTTCCCTGTCTTGGTGGCCCAGCAGTCTCCGGCAGCGGTCTCTATGGACACCTATTGTGTCTCCCTGGCTGTACGGCAGGCCCAGGTGAAGGAGGTAGAAGGAGGGGGCTGAAAACCCTCCATGGTTTGATCTGGGGCGGGAGGGGGTGGGGTGCTTTGGGCCCCAGCGTTTGAGACCTCTGCATCTGGCACGGCTGATGTTGCCTTTAGGGGAATTATTTTTGGTGATCATAGCCAGCGTTTGCATTTCACCCTGCCTGGCAATCTGCCCTGACATCAGCTTTGTCCCATTGGCCAGTTGGAGATCCGCCTGGAGGAGGTGGAGGCCGAGGGGCTGCTGGTCTCCTGGGCATTCACAGACAGGCCCGACTGGAAGATCTCTCTCCCGCCGAGACTCCAGCCGCACAGTGTAAGTAAAGGAGGGGACAGCAATGCAGGAAGAGCCCCTCCCCCATGGTCCCTCCCCTCCCTCTCATGGAGCTCTGTGCCGCTTCTGCCAAGGAGACCCAGGGGGCCTTTTGCCAGGCCCTGCAGGTACCTTGCCAAGCAAGGGGTATTTGGCACCAGCCTTGTGCAGGGATGTCTTGGGGCAGGCATGGCCCTCTGCCTATCTAGGATGCCAGGTGGCCAGTCCAGGTAACTCACGGCGACATTCAGAGGAAAATGGTTTCCTGAGCTTCACTGAAACTCGCTACTGCATGTGCTGCAGCCCAGGGGTGTTTTTGCAATCTGACCGGATGCCCTTATAAAACTCCTGCATCGTGTTGGGCACCTAGCAAACCGCCACCCAGCCCAGTGGGCGCTCAGTGAATGCTTGGCAAGAGCAGGAATTAACCTGCCAGCACGTGGCCGGAGCTGACGAGAGCCAGCTGGTGTTTCTGTGGTGGCAGCTTTGCAGGGCCAAGTCTCCCCTCACTCCGGGAAAGGAACTCTTCCCCTGCTGGCTGGTCTGGCATAATGTTCCTGGTGCCCCTTGCAGGAAAACGATGGCAAGGCAGACCTGTCTATCATCAAGAATCTGATTGAAGACTCCATTATTAGCACCCAGCCAGCCATGATGGTGAATCTGAAAGCCTGCATTATGAATGCCAACATGGTAAGGGTGGAGGGTTGAGAGGGAAAACTTAATAGGGCCCGTCTGGGCATTAAGATAAGGCCGAACCGACCATTCCTTTCAGCCAGATATGCGGCTGGCCCTCCTTCACTGTTGAGCATGAAGAGGTTAGGTCAGCATTTTCATTGCCTGCTTCCTTTGAACCCAGGGCAACCTCTGGGAAGGGAAGGCCGTGTCCATTTCACATCCTTATTAGCATTCTGCTTGGCTATTCTGAGCAAAGGCTTCACATAAACTGATCGACTCGGGGAATCACAGGACAACAGCAGTTCTGGCACTTCCCGTGGGCCACCTCAGAAGTTTTTTGGGGGAGGGGGAGGTTCCTCCAGCCAGCTACTTAGTGCCCCCTGGCTCTCCCCCACAGGAGCCCAGCAGCAGGCTTTCCCCGGGATCCCTCTCCAGCTCAGTGCCTGCCCTGATGCCCAAGCTGCTGCTTCAGAACCTGCGAGCTCTGCACCTGGGATCCCAGGAGAGCCAAGGTATCAGGCACTCCAGGCATTTTCGGGCCTCTGGTCTCCTGCCGCATGGGGTGGGTGGGTGTCTGATGGGGAATCCGGTGAGGTGAACTTCGCCTACACTGCTGTGGGCTTCTCTTGCAGGAAATGGGCTGCTGTGCTGTGAAGTGGAGCTGGATAGCCCTCGGCAGCAGAAGAGAACAGGCTCTGTGCTGGCCGGGCCGGCTGCTGAGGTGGAGTGGCCCAGCAAGCTGCTTCTGTAAGGAGTCCTGAGCTTCCGGTATTTGGGTCATGGGGGGAGGGAGCTGGGAAAGGATGGGTGTCATGGCCAGAATCCTAAAATAGCAAAACCAGTCCTGGCTGGCCTGCCCTGAGGAGAAAGCAGATGCTGCCCACTCCCCCCCCCCCAGGCCGTCTGCACTTCAGGCCCTCTCCCTTCCTTTGGAGAGCTCTGCCCTCAAAGCTGCTGGGCAGAGAGAAAGTGGCCCTGATCCAGGAAAAGACCTACAGGGCGAGGCTGACAGCCTCTCTGCTTCCTTCCTTCCTGCCCTGGACAGGGAGCTTGGTCCCCGGAGCAAAGAGTTGGTGCTGAGAGTATTTGAAGGCAGCACTTTTGGAGAGGGTAAGTCATCTGTGGGCAGCTGAACGAGTGCATGAGGCTGGGCTTGGCTTACAAGCTAACAGCTGGAAGAGCAGAAAGGGGGTAGAAGCATCTCACCTGGCTGGCATCTGTGAGAGGAAGGAGCTGCTGCAGTTCAGTGGGCCTCACATGCTGGGTTTTTCCTTGCAGACGTGCTTCTGGGATTTGTGGCTGTCCCCATAGACCCCTCCTCCAAAGAGCCGCAGGGGCAGCAGCTCTACCTGCTGAGTCCAGGGGCCCCCAAGGGTCTGCCCCCAGCAGCAGCCATTGCCGTGGAGGTGAGAGGCCAGAAGGGGAGGCTAAACTGTTTCGTGATTGCCTGCCTTGCTTTACGCTTTTGTCTGCTCCACTCAACCCTCCCCCCCCCCCCCGTTTCTCAGCTTTAAGCCAAGTGCATTGATTTGGAGTGCAGGACTAGGTAAAGTCCAAACAACAGAGGTGGGGGAATGTTTTAATGAGTCTACGTGGCTTATAAAAACTTTATACTACCTTTTTCAAGCAATAAAGCTCAAAGAAACCCCCTTCTCGGAACAGGAGAAAATGATGTTGGTCTCCATCTCCAAGCATGCTGAGCTGTTGGCAGCCAATGTGATTCAGCTGATCAGCTCTAAAGCAGGCAATTTGGAGTGGCTGAATTTTTGTGTGTCTTTGTGTATGTGAGGCAGAAAGCTGGCTTCTCAGGTTTTGCTTTTTTGAGTTATATTTGGCTGTCTTGGCAGCTGCTCCACCACGACATGCCAGAGCTCCAGGCTGCCTCCTGCCTGCGCACCAGCATCACTCCCACTAAAAAGATTGAGATGGGCCGGACCATAATGCCCGATGGCACTATTGTCACCACCGTCACCACCATCCAGTCCAGGCCCAAGCTGGACTGTAAGCTTGGTAAGATATCCTAATTTCAGCCAGCCAGCCAGGCTTGCAAGTCATCAGCCAACTGGTTTATGAGGCTGGAGAGCATCCCAAATGGCCTCCTGATCACATCGATCTGGGCAGTAATGCAACATTCAGCCTGAGCAATAAGGAGAGAGCAGGGTTTGAGTGGTGGGAGCCTGTACCAGGGCCAGAATTCCTCTTGAAGCAGCTGCTCCCCCCCCCCATGAAGGCTGCAGCTGAGCATTGTCCTAGTGCAGGGGTAGGCATAGCTGACTCAGGAATTCTGGGAGTTGAAGTCCATGAGTCATAAAAGAGCCAAGGTTGCTTATCCCTGTTCTATTGCAAAGCATGAGTGGAACATTTCTGTGGTGCTGCTGAAGGGAGGTTTCTGCTGGATGTGATTGACTCTTTGCTGATCCTTCTTCCTCCTGCACTCTAGATTCACCCTCAAGATCTCCATCCAAAGTGGAAGTTACAGAGAAGGTCACCACGATGCTTCCAGAAAATGGCTGTCCTAGCAGAACATCTCCCTGCAGTAGCAGTGAGTCACGTCAGAAAAGAACAATTAGGGAGATTGTGAGATGGACAGTGCTGGTGGGATGCTGTCCCTCCAACACAAGATGGGCCTTTTTGAAGAAGCAGTTGACCAGCTGTGTCTGTAATTTTTCACTGTCTTCCTTCTCTCCAACCTTGGCTGAGACTAGACATGGGGATGGGAGCCAGTTCCAAACAGGAGGACAGTTGGGTTCCTTCCAGATATTTTGGATTGCCTGATTGGGCAAAACAGCTGTGGATCATGGGAAAGAGTTCAGAATAACTGGAAGGCACCAGATTACCGTGATGAAATGCTTAGAGTATTGGATAGGAATAATTCCTGCTTAAATCTATATTCACTTTGCTGAGTTGACCTGGGCCAGCCAGCATGTTCTTTTTTTTTTTGCTATTTTTTAATTTTGTTTTATAATATATTTTATTAATTTTTTAACAAAGCATAAGTCGCTCAATAATTGGTAAACAGTGTGTTGTCTGGGTTTGTTGTTGTTAATTCCGAAGTCGTGACCCCATGGACAACGTTCCTCCAGGTCTTCCTGTCCTCTACCATCTTCTGGAGTCCATTTAAGTTCACACCTACTGCTTCAGTGACTCCATCCAGCCATCTCATTCTCTGTCGTCCCCTTCTATTGTCCTCAATCTTTCCCAGCATTAGGCCCTTCTCCAGTGAGTCCTTCCTTCTCATTAGGTGGCCAAAGTATTTGAGTTTCAGCTTCAGGATCTGGCCTTCTAAAGAGCAGTCGGGGTTGATCTCTTCTAGGACTTGACCGGTTTGAACGCCTTGCAGTCCAAGAGACTCGCAGGAGTCTTCTCCAGCACCATAGTTCAAAGGCTTCAATTCTTTGGCGCTCAGCCTTTCTTATGGTCCAACTTTCACAGCCATTCATTGCAACTGGGAAAACCATGGCCTGGACTATACGCACTTTTGTTGGCAGGGTGATGTCTCTGCTTTTTAGTATGCTGTCTAGATTTGCCATAGCTTTCCTCCCCAGGAGCAAGCGTCTTTTAATTTCTTGGCTGCAGTCCCCATCTGAGGTGATCTTGGAGCCCAGAAAAATAAAATCTGTCACTACCTCCATTTCTTCCCCATCTATTTGCCAGGAATTGAGAGGGCCGGATGCCATGATTTTGGTTTTCTTAATGTTGAGTTTCAAGCCAACTTTTGCACTCTCCTTCTTCACCCGCATCAAGAGGCTCTTTAGTTCCTCTTCACTTTCTGCCATTAGAGTGGTATCATCTGCATATCTTAGGTTGTTGATATTTCTCCCGGCAATCTTAATTCCAACTTTTGATTCATCTAGCCCTGCCTTTCTCATGATGTGCTCTGCATATAAGTTAAATAGGCAGGGCGACAGTATACAGCCTTGCCGGACTCCTTTTCCAATTTTGAACCAATCAGTGGTTCCGTGTCCAGTTCTCACTGTTGCTTCTTGACCCGCATATAAGTTTCTCAAGAGACAAATAAGATGGTCTGGTACTCCCATCTCTTTAAGAACTTGCCACAATTTGTTGTGATCCACACAATCAAAGGCTTTAGCATAGTCAATGAAGCAGAAGTAGATGTTTTTCTGGAACTCCCTAGCTTTCTCCATGATCCAGCGTATGTTGGCAATTTGATCTCTAGTTCCTCTGCCTCTTCGAAATCCTGCCTGTACTTCTGGTAGTTCTCGATCCACATACTGCTGGAGTCTAGCTTGTAGGATTTTAAGCATAACTTTACTAGCATGTGAAATGAGTGCAATGGTGCGATAGTTTGAACATTCTTTGGCATTGCCTTTCTTTGGAATTGGAATGTAAACTGACCTTTTCCAATCCTGTGGCCACTGTTGAGTTTTCCAAATTTGCTGGCAAATTGAGTGTAGCACTTTTACTGCATCGTCTTTTAAGATTTTGAATAGCTCAGCTGGAATACTGTCACCTCCACTAGCTTTGTTGTTGCTCAGATTTTCTAAGGCCCATTTCACTTCACATTCTAGGATGTCTGGTTCGAGGTCAGTGACCATCTCATTGTGGTTATCTGGGATGTTAAGCTCATTCTTGTATAGTTCTTCTGTGTAGTTTTGCCATCTCTTCTTAATCTCTTCTGCCTCTGTTAGGTCTCTGCCATTTTGGTCCTTTATCATGCCCATCTTTGCATGAAACGTTCCCTTCATATCTCCAATTTTCTTGAAGAGATCTCTGGTCCTCCCTATTCTGTTGTTTTCTTCTATTTCTTTGCACTGTTCATTTAAGAAGGCATTCTTATCTCTTCTAGCTACTCTCTGGAATTCTGCATTCAATTGGGTGTATCTTTCTCTTTCTCCTTTGCCTTTCGCTTCCCTTCTTTCCTCAGCTATTTGCAAAGCTTCCTCAGACAGCCATTTTGCTTTCTTGCATTTCTTTTTCTTTGGGATGGTTTTAGTTGCTACCTCTTGTACAATGTTGCGAACTTCCATCCATAGTTCTTCAGGCACTCTGTCTATCAGATCTAATTCCTTAAATCTATTTGTCACCTCTACTGTATATTCATCAGGGATATGATTTAGTTCATACCTGAGTGGCCTAGTGCTTTTCCCTATTTTTTTCAATTTAAGCCTAAATTTTGCAACGAGAAGCTCACGATCTGAGCCACAGTCAGCTCCTGGTCTTGTTTTTACTGACTGTATAGAACTTCTCCATCTTTGGCTGCAAAGCACATAGTCAATCTGATTTCTATGTTGGCCATCTGGTGATGTCTATGTGTAGAGCCGTCTCTTGGATTGTTGGAAAAGAGTGTTTGTTATGACCATCGTATTCTCTTGACAAAATTCTATCAGCCTGTGCCCTGCTTCATTTTGTACTCCAAGGCCAAACTTGCCTGTTATTCCGGTTATCTTTTGGCTTCCTACCTTAGCATTCCAATCCCCCATGATGATAAGGACATCATTTTTTGGTGTTAATTCTATAAGGTGCTGTAGGGCTTCATAGAACCGGTCAATTTCATTCTCTTCAGCACCAGTGGTTGGGGCATAGATCTGGACTATTGTGATATTGAATGGTTTGCCTTGGATTCGAATTGAGATCATTCTGTCATTTTGGGGATTGTATCCCAGTATTGCTTTTCCTATTCTTTTATTGACTATGAAGGCTACTCCATTTCTTCTGAGGGATTCTTGCCCACAGTAGTATACCTCATGGTCATCTGAGTTAAATTCACCTATTCCTGTCCATTTTAGTTCACTGATTCCTAAGATGTTGATGTTCAGTCTTGTCATCTCTTTTTTGACTACATCTAGCTTGCCTTGATTCATGGATCTTACATTTCAGGTTCCTATGGAGAAAAAATCTTTACAGCATCGGACTTTCCTTTCACCACCAGATATATCCACAGCTGAGCGTCCATTCAGCTTTGGCCCAGTCGCTTCATTCTTTCTGGTGCTACTAGTACTAGCCCTCTGCTCTTCCCCAGTAGCATATTGGACACCTTCTGACCTGAGGGGCTCATCTTCCAGCGTCATATCTTTTTGCCTTTTAGTACTGTCCATGGGGTTTTCATGGCAAAGATATTGGAATGGTTTGCCATTTCCTTCTCCAGTGGATCACATTTTGTCAGAACTCTCTGCTATGACCTGTCCGTCTTGGGTGACCCTGCACGGCATAGCTTATAGCTTCATTGAGTTACGCAAGCCCCTTCGCCACGACAACCTCCATAAAGGGGGGTGTCTGGGTTACATGTGTAAAAACACTCAACAATTGATTTCTATAATCTGTATTCCATATATTAATTTAGTTGATTTCCTCTTTCCCCAAAACATCCTTTTTTTGAAAACATTGAGTTAATACAATTCTTATTGTTTTAATAAATGACAAATTAAATTAAGTATATACTTTTTCCAATATTCCTAAAAAAATAATCCTCATATTAGAATATTTTTTTTCTTTTCAGTCATTTGGGTTGCCTTATCATCAATCCTATTACAATTCTTATTTTAGTTTATTTCTCCCACCAAATTCTAAATATTCTTACTTGTAAAGGTTTTCTCAACGATTAGTTACATTTACATTGACAGATTTAATTATATTTTTTCCATATAAGCCATCTCACATTTTTACATTTCTTAAGTAATAGAAAAAAAAGTAAAAAGAGAGGGGAGAAAAAGAAAAACGAAAAAGAAATAAAAAATAAAAAAATAAAAGAAAGCAAGAACAATGGAACATAAGAAATAACATACTACTTAGAATATATATCCCTCCTAGGTTAATATGTATTTATTTCCTCAAATTTCTTATTCTTTTTAATCATAGTTAAAAATATATTTAATCTTTAGACATTCCATTCAATAGGTCTAGTCATCTAATCCCTTAACTCTGATTCAAAGCATTTTTTTATATACTCTTCTTAAATTCAGTCACATTTAAGTATCTAAAACATTTCATCCCTCTTAGAGTGGTATATTCCAACATTTTTCTATTTCTTTAACCATATTCAAACACATGCTTCTTTTTTAAGTATTCTTTCTGAAATGTCCCATCATCTATTTTCTTAGTTTCCATCTTAATCTTTTTTCTTTGCCCAGAATCTTTCTTAATCAATGTACTTCGCTGAATCAAAAGGTTTTCCCGTATGATCATAGGTGTTGCTGTAGATATAAAAAGTAAATCAAGGTCTTTGTCATGGGCATTTGCCCACTCCTTTTTATTAGAAATCATTTTCCTTCCTTTTCTCTCCACTTCTTTTATCACTTTTTGTCTCTTCATCCAATCCTTTCTCTTATTTTCAAATTTGCTTTGTAATGTTGAAATATAAGTTGTCTTTTCTTCCACTTGAATTAAATCATACTCTTTTATTTTGTGGAAGTCCATCTTTAAGTCTTTATCTTCGGATTTATATTCAGTCATCTCTACTCTATTCTCCTAAGGGTCTTTTTGGAGTAAAATTAAATTGGAGATAAGTTGATTTATACTTTCAAAGTTGTTTTGTATTTCTTTGTAGTTTGAGATCATTGAATTGATTGCAGCTTATCACATACTTCCTCTTGTAAAGTATACATTGTTTCTGTAGGTCTCACTTTATCTAAACAGCTGTGTTTATTAAAACTTTGAAGGCCACAGGCAGAGATTTCATCATCCTCATCTACCAGTAGGTGTCAGCATTGGATCATTTTTCAGTTCTTTCTAGACTTTTTCCTCCTTAAAGGGTTAGATTCCCCGCTTCCAATAGCCAAAAGGGTGGGGAAAAAACCCTCCCTTTTTTTTTACTCTAGGAGGTATTTTTGCTTCTTGGGAGTTCTCCTTTTCAGGAAAACAAGTAGGATAGAGAAAATCAATTCTTACCGAGCTTTAAACGCACTGTTCACTATCAGCTTATAGTAGAGCTTTTGACTTCCGTTGCTTGCAGCTGGGGCTAGACAATGGAGTTAGCTAGCCTTTCTCCTGTTGGTTTCTGGGAGGCTTCTCCTGGACCGATCAGGGAGACCGCTGTCTCTCCTAGGTCCCTGGGACTACCTTCCTTCATTGCCACCTCTCCGGGGCGGCTTCTGGCCCATTTAGGGTCCCCAAACAGGAAGAAACTCAGCTGGAGAGCTCAGCATCCCGAATCTCTCAACTGATTTCACTGCTCGCAGGAACCGGAAGTCCAGCTAGCATGTTCTTGGTTTCACCTGCCTTGCTGGCTGGCTGGCCTGGAGGAAGAATCAGGCATCATCATGTTTAACATCTCCCTGAACAAGTCTGAATGAAAAGAGATGCCTCTCGACCACTGGCACAGTACACTTGTGCAAAGCCAGGAGTTTGCCAGAGCTACTCTGTGCAATTGGCATCTTGGGCAGTGTGTCTCTTCTCCCCCAGGAAGCAGCTGTGTGTCCAACGGCCTGGATCCAGTGGCTGAGACAGCCATCAGGCAGTTGACGGATCTGACCAATAAGCCTGCAAAGAGGACTCCAACCAAGCGCAGTACACTGATCATCTCAGGAGTTTCCAAGGTAACTGGCAGTTTATCTGGTTGAGAGTTGACACTGCTTTGTTATTTTAATTTATTCATTGGATAGGGCTTTCATGCTGCTCAACTCCAGAGCACTCTGGGAAGCTCTATTGTTGAGAAAGAACTGGAAGTGAGGGCAATCCCCTCCCCCCCAACTTTCAGCTTCTCTCTGTCCTGATCTGCAGGTACCCATTGCACAGGATGAAATGGCCCTCTCCCTTGGCTATGCTGTGTCACTGGGGAATCCCCTGCAAGAAGACCCCATCATGGCTGGTCTGTCAGAATACACGCCGCCAAGCATCTGCGATGCCACGCAACATCTGGAAAGTTCATACTCGCCTCAGACGGCGAGCCAGGATCTGGATGAAACAACACATTCAGACATCTCTGAGAGACCCTCAGTGGATGACATGGAATCTGAAACTGGCTCGACAGGTGCCCTGGAGACCCGAAGTCTGAAAGACCACAAAGGTGAGGAAGGAGGCCAGCTTTCTTTTGGGCGGGGACCTCCTGGCCCTCTTCTGTAGGAGTAGCCAGGATTCGGGAGGTGGTCTCTGAGCCATTCCCCAACTAGCATGATGGAGGCTTGGAGCTCCTGTGCTAGGCAAGCCAGCAGCGCAGGTTCAGTCTCCTCCTCCTCCTGCAGTGGGTTTCCTGCGAAGTGGCACCAAACTGATCTTCCGGAGGAAGAACAAACAGAAGGAGGCAGGCCTCAGCCAGTCGCATGATGACTTGCCCAATGCCAGCAGCGCCTCTGCCCCCGGGAAGAAATCCGGAAGCTTCTCGCGCCGCCTCATCAAGCGCTTCTCCTTTAAGGGCCGGGCAAAGAGCAAAGCCAACGGGAGTACCCCATTGGTGGAGAAGCCCTGAGGAGCTGCTGCGTCGGCTGTCTCCAGAAGCCCCCGACCGTCGCTAATGGTTATCTGCTGTCTGTGTACTATGGCCCCAATCCCCCCGTCCTCCTGTGCAAAGGGAGTGAAGGCCTGGGGGCGGGTGGGTGGGTGGGAAGTCTTGCCAATAGCCATAGGAAACGGACACTTGGTGGAATGAGGAGTGTAACATACTGCTCTGCTGAGCACTCCTCTTTTAGCCTAGGTGGGGAGCGGGCAGCCCCCATGGGCTACCTCCAGCCTGAATCTGAAATTTGGTGTGTGTGTGTGTATGTGAGACAGAGAAGGGTTTTATCCAACAACAGCCGCTCTGCCTGCCAGACTGTTGAACAGTAAGGGCAAATAGCTGGCTTCCTTGGCATCTGCGGGTTCATGAGACACGATGAGAAGGGCAGACAAGCCAGGCTCTTGGGCCCTGAACTGTGGTTCCCAAAGACCCTTCAGTTGCAGAACCCTCAACCTGGCCCGCCTTTGAGAAAGAAGGATCTTGGTTGCTGTCAGAAGGGAGCCAGAGAGCTTCTAAGCAGAAATCGCCTGGCGCTGCTTGCTCAATCTCTTCCTTGCCAGACTTGGTGGCATGGAATGGAGGCCCCTTGCTGAGTTCCCGTCCCCTGCAGGGCACAGCAGGGAAGGGGAGAAAGGAGGCACCAGCTGCTGGACACAGCTCTGGAGGCTCCCCGAGAGACTGGACTGCACCGTCCTGACGTCCAGCTGGATGCCGTTCCTGACCCTGACTGGCAATGCACATGAATTGGGGTGAGCTGGCCCCTTCCTGCAGGTTCCTGGAAACAGACTGGGAGTGGGAGGAGGGGCAACAAGGAAATCACTGTTTTGTTACCTAGAAGTCAGGTTTTTGGCAAATTTGGAACAGGCTTCGCTGAAACCCCATGTTTCTCATTGGAAATTGGGGGGTGGAGGGGGTGTCAAAGGCAATTCCAGGTGGGATGGCTCCCCTTTCTATGCTGCAGGTTGAACCCTGTCCGGGCCCTCAACCCTCCAGTGGATTTCTCTTCTGGCTGCTTGGGTCTGCAGGTCAGGGCTCTTGCTGTCCTGCCCTTGCCCCATCAGCTGATACCTCAGGAGGACAAGCTTGTGGGGCTGCTTGTGCCCACGAAGGAATGCCTGCAGCTTTCCCTAGATAGGATTGCACTCCACAGTTGCAGGGAAAGTGCGCCCCCCCACCATGTGCTGCAAGGCAGGTTTGTCACAATAGGCCCCGGCTGGTTATGGCTGCCTTGGCTGTCAGCAGGGAGTGCCAGGGCATCGAAGCTTCCCGCAGTGTGTGTGCGTGTGTGTGTATGTGTGTGTGTTTCAGGGGGGTTGTCTGCTTGGGGAGAGGAGGGAGGTGCGTCCAGCAGGCACATTATTCCTGCTGACCCTTCAGCAGTAGAGAAAGTGATGTGTTTTCCCCTGGGGTGTCCTGGGAACCTGTGTCCCAGAGGTCAATTCCTATGATTGTTCCTGTCAGTTTGATGGGGGAGGGGGGAGCTGAAGAGGTCAATTTAGGTTGAAGTCATTGGTACAACTTTGCCATGAAGACCGGCAATTCTATGTTTCTCTCCTGATCTCCTGCTGGCTGCAATCCTGTGATTTGACTCAACCCTGTCTGAGCGCTGCAGATAACACTGTATTTGCCGATTTGTCTACCTTTGCCATGTTTGTCTAGTCTTGATGGAATTACTTGTAGATTTACCTTTGAAACACTTTGGATCATTTTTTTCTCATTTTTTTCCATTTCTAAGAGAGGTGAAGATAAAGAGTTAGCCCTACATTCTGACTTCTGTGGAACTTGGTTTAGGAACAGAGTCCTCGCTTTCTGAAGAGGGAGGGGGAGTGGGCATTGCCTGTAACATCCATCTTAGAGCTTGACCAGCACAATCCTTGGATTTACCCCAGGGCAGCCAGGCAAATTGGCTTTAACCAGCTGCCCATAATGTCCATGCCAAACTTCAATACTCTTCCTGGCTTTTGAGCCTGCTGCTTGGAAAATGTTTCCTGTCACCCAGAGAAGAAGGGGACAATCTGAGGCCTTGTTTTATGGCAGGAAAACATTGAGACATCAGTGCAATAAAAGTGATGGCCAAAAGTCAAACTGTAGTTCGCACAAGAGCCAATAAACAGTGCAGGGCCGAGGAAAGTGGAAATGTATCCCTTTATTTCTGATCAGAAGCAAAGGGGCTACGAGGAGCCCTGAACAAGACAGGCATTCTATTTTTGTACCCCAAGGTACAGGAAATTCAAAATGGCAACATTGATTGGTTGCAAATTTCATATTATGGCACGTGTATAAGCAATGATGTTCAGCGTGGAATAACAAGTATACAAGCCGTCCTGTTCAGGTGTTCTTAGCATGATCTATACCACATAGACCCCCGCTTGCCCCTCATCCCAAGCTGAAACAAGCTGCTAGGTGCTGTTCTAACAGCATCCTATGCCTCTAGCTGTGATTTCTCTGTAGGGTCTGCTTTCAGCAATGGTTGCCAAGCGTGCGGATCTTATTCTGATCTAGCTAAGCTACTGGCAGCTTCCTGTTCTGAGTTTCTATGCAGACAAGATGAAAGGAGATGGAAAATAACTGAAAATATGTCCCTTTTAAATGAAGCACTTTCAGGGCTGGGGTCTCAGGCCCTCAACAGCAAACCATTCAGCAAGTCCCAAGATGGCCCAAATATGGAGTTTATTGAAGAGATCCAGTTTAAAAACAGCTTGCAATGGGAAATGAAGAAGACTGGCAAGCAAAGCCAGTGCAGAAGCTGAGCATCTTAGATTAGTCTGGCAGCCGGCCAGCCAGTGCTTCGTGCTGTAATGTGGAGAAGCTCTTCTGACCATCAAACTAACATGGCTGTTTCTTTGGCAAATGTGTTCAAAATTATTTTTTTAAATGGAGCGGTGGTGGTACTTTATAGCTTGGTTTGCCCCAGGGGCTCAAGGCAAGCACAGGATGCTCCCAGACTGTGGGGCTTCTGGCTGCATGAGGAGCACCTAGGCCTCGTGCTTCCGCTTAGGGGTCAGTGTTGGTAACTGTGAAGTCAGTGGGACCAGTGGCGTTTGGTGGGAGGGATTCCCCCTCTCAGGCTGGGAGGGCCTCCTGCAAAAAGGCGTTCAGGTGATCCAAGGCCAGGTTGCCCATTGCCCAAGTCACGAGACAGCAGGGCAGGTTGTAACTGGCAGGCTACCTCTCAATCTGCGCCAATCTGATGCAGTTGTCATCAGAGAGGAGCTCCAGGGTCCCTGCCCCTGTGCTGCGCCTTAGGCAGTCTCCCAGCGAAGGATCCCACGCGTGAATCCAGTGAGTGTATTGTCCCAGATCATTGTACATGGGAAAGCCGGGGCCAGGGTTCGCCTGAGCCAAGCATTCATTTAAGGTGAAGGGCCTACCTGTGTACCCGTTGGCGGCCCTGCTGCGCCTGCTGCCTGTGACCTTATTAAGCTGCACTGGACTCCGAAGCCGCGTCCAGAACCCCTCTGGGCCTGAAAGGGGGAGGGCTTTCTCCCTTGATGCTTCATCCACTTACAGGATGCACGAAACCACGGAAGCAGCAGAGCCGGGAGGACGAGGGACAGGAGACGGCGGCGGCTTCTTCCGCTGCCGAGAAGCCCGGACGTCTTCGCCCGTCCGTCGCGGCGCTTATCCCCCGGCAGGCCGCTTCCACCGAGGGCCCCGAGAAGGGCCTTTTCCGGACCGCGAGAGCAAAAGCGTCGGTCCTACCGGAAGAGGGTATATGAGCCGGCGGGCACGGGGGCTCCGGCCTCCACCCTGCCGTCCCAAGGAATCTCCCTCCCATCGCCGCGGCCCGCTCCGGCCGAGTTACGGGCCCCGAGCGGACGAGATTGAACAGCGGCCTCGGCCTCCGCCCCCACCTCCCGCCGGCCGCGCAGCTCCTCCTCCCGCCGCCTGCGCAGAGGCACCTCCTCCGCCCCCGGGCCCGGACTACAGCTCCCGGCGAGCTCCGGCAGAGGAAAGCTTGGCCGCCGCCGTCGCCGCTTTTCCGCCCGCGGGCCAGCCAACTCTCCCGCTCCGCCGCGCCGTTGGCAACCGCCGGAGATGCCGCTGTAAAGCCGCCGCCGCCGCTCCGCAGAGGCGCCCCGATGTCTCCGGCGCTGCTGGCGCTCTGGCTGTGGCTGGGCTCGGGCGGGGCGCGCGGCCTCGGAGGCGCCCCGGCGGGGCCGTCCGGGCTCCGCTTGCCGCTGCACAGCGCGCTGCCCGGGACGCCAGCGGCGGAAGGGCGGGCGCGGCGCTCGGCCGGCGAGCGGGAGCAACCCCGGAGCCGCGCCGCCGCCATCAGCAGCAGCAGCTTCGTGGCCATGGTGGACAACCTGCGCGGAAAATCGGGGCAGGGCTATTACGTGGAGATGACGGTGGGCAGCCCCCCGCAGAAGGTGAGCGGCTCCGGGCGCGGGCGAGGCGCCTTGGTGGCGGTTTCCCGGGCTCCGCTGTGTTGCTGAGGAAGGGTGGGCGCCTCTCCTCGCCTGCCCAATTCTCTTGCCCGGGCTGCGGTGGCTACCGGCTCCGAGGGGCCCTGCCGTCCGCGGTGGCTGCCCCCGATTCCGGATCGCTCGGAGCATCATCCTGGCCCGTAGAAAGCGGTGCGACGAGTCCGGGTTGCTTCTGAAGGACCCATCCCGGCTCCCAATTTGCAAGAGATGCTCTCTTCTGCGCAGCATCCGGAAAGGCCCCCGCCCTTTGGGGCCGCTGATCCTCCAGGCCGTCTGGCCCCGGAGATCCATGCCAGCAGGCCTTTGCAGGGATGGGAGGACCACGACTTGGGCGCGATGCAGTAGGAGGGTCACCGTTTCTGACACCTTCTGTGCCCTGGTCGGGATGGTGTTGGTGTGGCTTCTTTCCAGAACCGCCTCCTGGAGATGTGCAAATCATGGGCGAGTCTAGCAGTTGCACACTGTAGATAGGACGGGGTTTGAGATAGCCTAGCTTTGACCTTGAGTTGGGGAGATGCTCACCTGAGCTGCTTGGCTCAGGGCTGCCTCTGAGGGCAACTGTGCATTTTGTTGACTATCATGTTCCTTCCTCTCAAGCTGGGGTCTACAGCAAAAAAGCCAGGAGAGCCACAGCGGCCTTGGCCTTCACCACAGCCGTTGCTGCAAAAAAAGATAACGGATAAAGCCCTAATGTCTCTTATGGGGCTGGTTGGTATCAGCACACAGAGAAGTTGTCTGCTGCCTCTAGAGTGCGTCTCCTAGGCTAGTCAGAACCATAGATGTAGCCACCACATCTGGAAACCAATGCAGTCTGGTCAAATGGGGGGCTGGGACTACAGAGACATTTCCCAATATTTTGTGTGAAGCAGATTCAGTCTCCTTCGGGCTCTTCTCTCTTCCAGCTGAATATCCTGGTGGACACTGGAAGCAGCAACTTTGCCGTGGGTGCAGCCCCTCATCAGTTCCTGCAGCGATACTACCAGTGCCAGCTGTGAGTAGGCAAGGGCGGTGAGGTGAGCTGCTCAGAGAGGAGAGGGGGCCTCACTCGAGAGCTCCCCCAGCTTGCTTTCAGCAAGACATTGCAAGAGGCAGGGGGGACGTGGCACCGCAGGGGGTGAGCCCTGACTTTCTACTCGTGTTTGTTGTAGCTCCAGCACCTATCGGGACCTGCGGAAGGGAGTCTACGTGCCCTACACGCAAGGGAAGTGGGAGGGAGAGCTGGGCACTGACTTAGTGGCCATCCCTCATGGCCCAAATGTCACGGTTCGTGCCAACATTGCCGCCATCATCAAGTCGGACAAGTTCTTTATCAATGGCTCCAACTGGGAAGGCATTCTGGGCTTGGCATATGCCGAAATTGCCCGGGTGAGCTTCTTTTACCCTTCTGTGCATCGCTCAAGCTTCTTTTCATGCAAGTGGCGCAGCTCACCCCCTCTTTTCTTGAGCAAGATACCAGCTGGTTGGTTTGGGCCTTAGGGGAGAGTCTGTTCTAGGGTGTTTCAAACGCAGAATTCAGTCCTTTCCAAGCTAGTTGCCAGCCTTCTCTAGGGCACAGCTCTGCCCTTTGGACTTCAGTGTGCTGAGCCGTCTCAGCGAAGGCCCTGCCTTGAAGTGGCTGTAGCACTGCTGTCCAGAGCAACCCAAGACCCTGTTTAGGTCAGGAAGATGGTTAAAGCCCTCCAGCCCTCCCCGTGCCCCTCCACCCTCCAGATCGTTTACAGTAATGCTTCCCTTAATTCGTGGCCAATTAGGAATTCTGGAAGATACGGTCCCAATATATTGCTGGGGGGGGGGGGGAATTGGAAAAGTCACGGCCTTGACACGATGCTTCTTTTCAGCTGAGTGAGAATGCCCAACCACACTGTTGGCATGCCCCTCTTTCTTTCTCCCGCCAGCCAGACAACAGCCTGGAGCCCTTCTTTGACTCACTGGTGAAGCAAACGCAGGTGGCCAACATCTTCTCCCTGCAGCTGTGTGGCACCAGCTTCCCGACCAATGATTCAGAGACCCTGGCGTCCGTGGGGGGCAGCATGGTGAGAGTATGCAACCAAAAGGCCTTACCTCTCTTTTGTTTGCAGAGAGTGGCTCCCCATTATAGCATCATGACCTTTAAATGGCCTCAATAAACTAAGAGACTCAGAATGAGAGCGCAAAGTGTTTACATTTAGAGATGGCTACAGCCTAGGCCCTGTTTCTTCCTCCAGATGGGTCAGCTTGTGCCTGTACCCAAAGAAGGGGGGTTGCAAGAGGCAGCTGCTCCCGATATAGGCCAATCTTCAGCCCCATTCTGGGTGGCCTCTCTGCCTCCGGCCCCTAAGAGTTCCTCTGTTCTTCCCTTTCGTCACAGATCATTGGGGGCATCGACCAGGCCCTCTACAGGGGCAACATCTGGTACACCCCTATCCGGAAGGAATGGTACTATGAGGTTGTCATAGTCAAGATGGAGATCAATGGGCAGGATCTCCAGATGGACTGCAAGGAGGTGAAGGGGCTGCTGGGGGGAGGGAGTTGGCACAGGCGCTTCAGCTGACTTGGTCAGGTTCAGCTGGATGGTGGAAGGAGTAGCGGCACCGCGACGGCCTTTCCTCCTTCAGAGAGTGCCCTGCTGCCTCCCGAGCAGCTTTCCTGCCCTGCTCAGGCTGGGTGGGCCCCTGCACCAATATGGAACCAGCACCTGAATTGTGACCTCCCCCTTCCCTAGTACAATTACGACAAGAGCATTGTGGACAGCGGCACCACCAACCTTCGGCTGCCCAAGAAGGTCTTTGAGGAGGCAGTGAAATCCATCAAGACAGCTTCCTCGGTGAGAGAAGCCTGTGAGCAGGCGGGATCATTTGTGGGCAGGGATCTCCCCTCCTGCTCAAGAAGCCAGCATCCCCCAAGAGGCAGGGTACCCCAACAGTGATTTTGGCTTTGTTGGGGTGTGTGGAAGGGGCTGCGCTTGGTCCCTGCTAGAACCAGCCTTTGAGGTTCTGCAGCTGAGGAAGCAATGGAAAGTGAGGGGACAAGTAATTTGGTGTGGAACATGAAATAGCTTCAACTTCAGAGAGTCTGTTGCCCTTCCGGCCTCTGCTGGAGGCTACCTTTTGCTGAGCAGTTTCTGTTGTGGCTCCCTCACCACAGACAGAGAAGTTCCCGGATGGCTTCTGGCTGGGGGAGCAGCTGGTTTGCTGGCAAGTGGGAACGACCCCTTGGAACATCTTCCCGGTCATCTCTCTCTACTTGATGGGGGAGGCCACCAACCATTCCTTCCGGATCAGCATCCTGCCCCAGGTGGGTGCCAGCTTCTCAGCAGTCAGAGTAGGGGGAAGGGTCTGTTTGGGGGGCAATATCAGCAGAGGGAGAGGAGGAGACTGGTGGGGACCCTGAAGGAAGGTCAGTTGAGAATATTGCTGGTAGAAACCAGGTCTTTGGGCAGCCTGGGAAAAACGGCCAACCCTCCAGGACTTGAACTTTGGGCAGGTATTTGTTATGGCATGGAGCAATGTCGGCCTTTGCGCTAAGAATGTGCAGCTTTTCTCAACGACTGAAATACAGAATTGTCCATTCTTTTCAAAAGCACATTTTAAGCAGCATCAGAAGCTTAGTGTTAAGAACTCAGAGGCTGAGCAAGAGAGCCCAGGGCACCTGTAGCATTACAGGTAATCCTTAACTTACAGTGGTAATTGGGATGGGAATTTCCATTGCTAAGTGACAGCATTGCTTAGCAACAGCAATTCCTGCAGTCCTGCTTGTACTCAGAAACCAAACCTCACTGAACCCCACAGTACTTAGGTGAACCAACTTCCTGTTGGTTTCCCACAACTAAAGTCAATGGGGAAACCAGCAGGAAGTTGCAAGTTCCAGGCTGGCAAGTAGGTAAGTGACTGCTACTGAGTGGGAGAGCGAGTAAGGGGGTGGATGAGGTCCAGGGAAGCACAGCACGTGTTGGGGAGGGTATATGAGAGGCACGGGGCTATCTCAGAGGGCCTGGGGGGTTATTGTGGATGGGGGAGACTTCACTTAGCGACTTTGACCTTCCTTGACAGCTTCCCCATTGACTTTCTGGGGAAGCCAGCTGCAACTGGTGATCAGGGCACTGAAAGAGATCCTAAGTGTGAGCCAGTTGCTAAACAGTCAGATCTTAATCATGTGACTCTGGGGTGCTGGGATGGCCGTAACTCCCAAGGACCAGTCATAGCTATCATTCATTCATTGTAACTTTGAATGGTCATTGAAAGAATGGTCATAAGTCAAGGACTACTGCATTTTGTTATGTACAGTAGCAATACTATAATACTGACATTACCTATAAGAAAAGTTCAAAATAGGGACTTTTAACACATTGTGAAGACAGTATTGGCCAAACCGTTGATTGGCCAATCCAAATGCTGGATTTGTTTTTCCCTGGGGCAAAGTAACCCTTCTGTCCCTCCCTGATAAGGCTGGTAATTAAGCATGTAAAACTTTCTAGCTGATTTATCTGCAACAAGAAAAAGGGAGCTCGTACACTCAAACTAAGTAATCTATTTCCAACAGGTCAGCCTTGTTTCCCCTGCTGTCCTGGTTTGGGACAGTCCTTGTTATGTGATAAGGCTGCCACATGGCCTTGCAAGGTGAGAGGCTGGAGGACGAGAAGCCCAAAGGGAAAACAGCTAAGAACAGCAGTGAGCAAAAGGCCAAAGGCCCTTTGCCCACAAAATGGAGCTCCTCTGGCTAAAACTAGCTATACCAGTCCTACAATAGCACTTTAAAAATATACATCAGATCTTTTCAGGCAGTAAATTTGATCCATAGATTAATTTCTGAGCTTGACTTTGGATACTGCTTAACTTTTCCTGGCAAGCCAGAAAGAAAAACGCAGCAGAGATCAAAATCAAGAAGAGTCATCATTCTCATTATGGCTCATGGGCCAGACTGCACTTGGAATATGTAGCCCAGTTTGGGCCGCCCTATTTTGGGAAGGAATTGAAAAACCCTGAAGCAGATCAGAGTTGAGCAGCCAAGAGGACAAGGGCCCTGGATAGGAAACAGGAGAAGTTCATGACATGGGATGTGCTTAGCCTGGAAGAGAAATTTGTGTGTCTCCCAATATCTCAAGGTCTGTTGTGTAGAAGACAAGAAAAGTTGTTCAGAGTCATCCTAGAAGTCAGGACAAGAAACCGCAATTTAAATGACCACAGAGAAAAGTTTGAGTTGGATGTCAGAAAAAAAAATGCAACAGACATCTTTGAGAACAGACTGATTTCCATGGGCCTGATGCCCACCTGTCAGGATGCCAGAATAGTGGAATTCTGCATCTGGCAGGGCGTTGGACTACATGAGTTCCCGAGGTCCTTCCAGTTCTGTTGGAGAAATGGCTGGACTTCATTTCAACCAGCTTAATGCAGGAATGTGTGAAATGATGAACGTCTCAGAGGCAGTGTGTGTGCATGGCTTTCCTTGATCCTCCTGGGAATGCTAAAGTCTGCTGCCCCTTTGACCTGAAGAGGCAGGACACCATTTCTCAGGCATGGCCTCATGTCTTTGTTGCCTCCTCTCAGCAATACCTACGGCCTGTCGAGGACGTGGCTACCTCCCAGGACGAGTGCTACAAGTTTGCTGTCTCCCAGTCCTCCACTGGCACCGTCATGGGGGCAGTGATCATGGAGGGCTTCTACGTGGTCTTTGACCGGGCTCAAAAGCGCATTGGCTTTGCTGTCAGCACTTGCCATGGTAGGTCTCAGAGCAGGGAGGGGGGCAAGCGCTGCCAGCAGTCTCATCTGCTGCTTCCCAGACTTGAACAGCCCCCCAGCTCCTGCAGGAGACCTCCAGGGCCATGAAAATGGAGCTTGAATTCAGCCCCTTCAGGTGTTCTCTTTGGCAGGTTGTGAAGTGGTGTCATCAGCCCTCCAACATGTCTGGAGCACTCCTTCTCCCTGGGCCCCTGGGTTACCGGACCTCCATCTTTCAGCTGGCTTCTGCCTGGCCTTCCCCACACATGAGCTGGTCACGTTTCTCATTCCTTCGCCATCCCTGGCCCGGTGCTTGGCCCAGGTCGAGATGGGGCCTCAGTCAGGCCCCTGTAGTCACGTCTTGCCTCTTCCCCTTCTGTTCCCGTGTTCAGTGCAGGATGCATTCTGGACAGCCTCAGTGGATGGGCCTTTCTTGCACCCCGACATGGAGGACTGTGGCTACAACATCCCCCAGACGGACGAGTCAACTCTGATGACCATCGCATACATCATGGCAGCCATTTGCGCTCTCTTCATGCTTCCTCTCTGCCTGATGGTCTCGCAGTGGCGCTGCCTGCGCTGCCTTCGCCGTGGTCACGATGACTTTGCTGATGACATTTCCCTGCTCAAGTGAGCGCTGCCCTCCCCCCCAGCCCCAAGCCCATGCTGGCAACATGGCTGGGCATGGGCACTGGGACCATCGTCCCCTCTCCTAGCGCTGCTGTGGCCTTTGCCTTCTCCATGCGGACAGCTGCTGTTGCTGGGTTTGCTCAGCTGCCGCCCAGGGCCTACCATAACTACCAGCCTCCAGCCTATGGTGGGCAGGGAGATTGGCAGAAGAGCCGTTGCTTCCACTGGTGTCCCAGAAGTTCCACAATTAACACAAGCAGCGGGCAGGCGGACTGGCTGGGTCCTGTCATCTCTCCGGAAAACACCTTTTCTCCTGTTGCACTGAGTTTGCCAGTAACAGTGACTGCTGCAGTTTGTGCATCACGGAAGCGCTAGGTGAAGGGGGGGGGGGGGGCTTCTGAGCAGTGCTTCTTTTTAATTTATTAAGGGTGTGTGCTTTTTTCTCTAGATTTCAATAGTTATATAACTGAAGGGGGGGTGCCATACCCCACTTTTAGAGTCTTCAGGTGCCTGCTTGGAATTTATGTCTGGTGACACCATTTCAAGGGCATCTCTTCCCCTCTCCCCATGCCTGCTGGGACAGGGATCAGTTCAAGATGAGGGACCCACTGAATTGGCGAAGGGGTTACTGGAGGTTTTCTAGATGGCTGTAGAAACCTGAATTCCAGGAATCAATGAAGTTTATGGCTGTAACAGGAACAGCCACCTGGGGGTGGGGAGACCCTCCTGCTTATTGTGTTGCCCTTCCTCCCCGGGAAGGATCCAGTGGGCTCCCCTCCTCCAGACAAGTTCTGCTACAGAGGCCCCATGAGCTGGCCATTAGGTCAAAGTGCCAGGCCCCCATTTCCAGTGTGTGTGTGTGTGTGAGAGAGAGAGAGATGGAACTCTCCCATTGGCAGAGTCCCTGCTGACAGAAGCAGGACCCAATGCCAGCCTCCTGCCTGGCTGTCTTGGATGCCAAGCAAGCTGAATGTGTGGCCTGGTTCTGGCACTTCTTCCTCACCCCTTTCTGCCGATCTGGCCCAGCTTTTTTCCTCCTGTCCTCCGCCCAGGAGGGTGGGAAGGTTCAGAGGGTTTGAGGCCGAAGCAGCTCTGTTGCCAGCTTGGGCACCCAGTGGCCTTGCGCAGTTGGGAATGGACAGGCAGAGAGACATCTTTCCTCAGTAGCCTGCAGCTGACTTGCCAAGGAGCCGCTGGCCGTTCCCCAGGCTCTGTGGCGGCAGAGTTAGCTGTGGGCGCCCAAATAGCTGCCTCTCTGCCAAATGGGCAGCCTGGACTCTGATCCCTGCTCTGGGGCCTCTGCTGAGCAACACGTGGTCAGGCAGTATTGGAGCAGGGCAGGGCCCAGACCCCTCAGTAGCACAGGCAGCTCTCCTGCAGTGGTCTAGGGTTTTTGCTTGGGCTAGTTGACCTCCAAGGTCTCTTCCAATTTCTGTAATTCTGCAGTGTGGAGTCCAAGGTGTTTCCTTTGCAGCGGACAGAAGTGGGTGAGGAGAGTTAGTTTCCTCTGTTGTATTGTGAGACCCCCCCCACCTTTTCCAGGCTCCTGGATGCGGTCTGCCTGAGAGGAGCAGACAGCTGTGGGACTGGGGACCTCTGTCCTCTGGGCAGGGATTTGGCATGGAAAGCCTTGGGAGGCCGACAGGGCACAGAGATCCCACTGGGTCTCCACTGCTGTGAATGGAACACTCCTTGGGAGATCCTCAGCACCGACGCTGGCCATGGGAGACGGGGATAGTTGCAGTCAATGTGCTTGTACAATATTTTAAATGTTGTACATTTGATGTACAATGTAAATGTACAATGTAAATATTTGTAATATTAGCTCCCCAATCTTCCCATTTTGTCTCAAATGCAAAAGAAGAAACAAGCTAGAAAACCTTTTAACTGTGTTTTGTATTTTGGTAAATGCCAGGTTGTTTGGTCTGGTTTTGTGGGTTTTACGCTGCCCATACGGAGAGGTGGGACAGGATGGGGGATGTTTTTCCCTCCTGTGAGGGCCATTTGTGCTGAGCCAAATTGTGGTAAAATTAGTGTCTTCCAGGGGACAAGTCCCACTCAATATTGACCAGGACCCTACTCGCTGGAAGTTGCCCAGTGCAGCTATGCATTTTCAGTATGTCTCACATCAGAGGATGCCTTCACAATGAGGGAGTTTCCCCCTCCATGCCGAAGTCCCAGAAGGAACTTAGGCCATAACCCCCCCCTCCAGTCAGACGCTCATGCATGCTCACCCACTGCCATTAATTCATGGGACGGTGCCATGCAATCCAAGCCAGACTGCAGTCCCAGGGGCCCTCACAGCCAGCACCGTGGGTCCTTGGCCATCTTAATTCTGAGGGTAGGGAAAAATCCCACAGCCCCACAGCGTCTGTCCTGATCCAAGTGTCCGTGACAGCAGCAACAGAGAAGGCCATGCCACTCGGGGTGCCCATAAGAGCATCTCTCACTCTGCAGAGCCATGGACTCTCTCGGGCTGCATCCCCACAGCAGAGGAAAAATGCTCCAGTTCTCACACCACCTTCTGCAGCAGAGCCGTGGTCCCTCTGAAGTAGGGAAAGGAGGGTCCTGCCCAACTACTGCATCATATACACATTTTATTATGAACTGCTATGGGTGTGGACTTTCTATACACACATTCCCTATAGAATAAAAATGTACAGGTGTATACACTGCCATATAAATACAGAGCCATACAAACACTGGGCACAAGGCCCCTTGGAAGCCACCTCCGCCTCTCCACTTCAGCCGGGGTCATTTCAGGGCGGGGCAGAAGGGACAGGCATCGTTTGTGTTCGTCTGAGCCCAGAACTTAATGCACTGCAAGGAAACAAGTGCTGCCCTTCAGCCCCAGGAGAAGGGGGGGAGGGGGCATTGTAAACCTCTCTTTATGCAATCAGGCCAATTCAACCCCCCCACCCGGAGGTCCTAGCGGCCCCTCACCTCCTTGTGCAGCACATGTGAACAGGCCATGGGGTGCAGGTCGCTGAGTGAGACCAGCTTCTGGCACATTAGACACAATTTGCAGGTCACAGGTGCCTGGCAGAGAAACAAAGCAAAGAGGCATGAAGTCCAGGCAAGGGATGGGAGAGGGGTCTCACCCAATGTGAGTTGAGCAAACTCAGAAGACCCCACTGGACTCACCTGTGGTGGCGTCCCAGAGTAGGAGACCTGTGCAGGTGGCAAGAACATAGGGTTGCTGATCTGAGGCAATGGACCAGGGAACAAGGGGGAGCACATCCGGCTATGGGGCTGCGGCAGAGGAAAGCAGACCCCCTTAGACTGAGTCTGAGCCAAACTCAACCCCACAGCTTGCCTTCAGCCTCATAATGCTTAGAATGCCCAAGGCTTGCCGGCCAGCTCACCTGGGTGCCAACAGCTGCCACCAGTTCCTGTTGCTCTGCCACTTTGGCTGCCACAAGCTGGCTCAACTCTTCCATGGTGAGTCCCGCCAAGGTCCTTCGAGCTGCTTTGATCTGCTGGAGGACATTGGTCAGCTGGGCCCTGTGAAGAAGAGGTGAGGGGACGGGCTCAGCAGGGGCACAGGCCAGCCCTGCAGGGGATGGGCTGCTCTTGCCCAGCAGAGTCCCCCACTGGCCGCCTTCTCCCATGGGCCACTGGCCGCAAACAGACCTTCTACCAGCCAGTGGGTGAAGGCTGGAAGATCCCATCTGCCAGAGAGAGCCTCTGTGTGAGGCCAGGTTGTTCCATCAGTCCGAGCCTGGATGCGTCCCAGGGAAGCCAGCTAGGGCAGACGGGGCCCCTCGCCCTTGGGGCTCCTACACTCACTTATTACACTGAGGAAAGCGCGTCATCAACTTCTCCAGGATCTTCTCCAGCTTGTCCACGGGAGGGGGTCTATGGAAGTCAGATGGGGTCTTGACTCCACCCAGGCCTGGGGGGGGAGGCAGCGAGGGTCCAGGCGCCCCATGGGAACCGACCAGGGAAGAGAGGCAGGGATTGCTCCGCTCCTGGGCTGCAGGCAAAGTCGGCGAAGGCTGACTGGGCCTGGCGATGAGGCTGGGGTTCAGCAGGGGGAAGGAGAGCACCCGTGGGTCAGCGCTAGGCATGACCATCGGGGGCATGGAAACTGTCCCGATGGGAAAGGGCAACTGGGGGGCGAGAGAGGACTTGGTCTGGAAAGGAGGCAGCAGAAAGTCTGTCTGAGGAAAGGAGGAAGAAGACCATTAGTCTGGTGCCCGATAGTGGCCAGAGCCCCGATACCAGCCTTCTGCATCCCCTGGCTCACCTCCAATGGGGGCGGGGGCAGGGGGGGTGTGGGGATCTGTGGGAGACTGCTCAACTTGGTCCCGTTCCGTACCAGCTGGATGTGGTCGTTGAACTTGTCCTAGAAGATAGATGTGCATTGAGCAAGGTGGACGCAAGCAGGGTGGGAGGCACAACACTCCTGGAGAAGAGCTTCAGCAGCACCTCAAAAAGGGAACACCCCACAAAACTCCTGAGGCCTTCCAGCTTCATCCTGAGGAAATACCTCCAGCAGTCTCCGTGGAGGCCCACAAAGCCTCAATGGCAACAGCCCTGGGATGCCTCCCATGATCCTGAAGGGCACAAGCACTGCTCCACTGAGGGAAGGGGTGCACTTCTGCACTTACACGGACACTCTCCTTGGTCATCCGTATTTTGTTCAGCCTGGTCTCCCACTCCTGCTTTGGCCGGATTGTCTCCAGCGTAGGGGGTGCTGACCTATGTGTGAGAGATGCCAAGGGGCAAAAAGAGTTCTGCCCTGAGCTCACAAACCACCAAGACTCCCCCAGCTGAAGGGGAGAAGCCTCCTCTTCCTCCTCCTCCTCCCCTTCCCCAAGTCTTTTAAGCCCAAGGTTCTGAGTGAGATGTTGCACCCTGAGTCACAGAAGGACAAGTGTGACGTCACGGAGCCGGCAACAAGGCCTGCCAGAAGCAGGAGAACAGGAGAGCAGCACGTGGCAGTTGCAGACAGGGCTGAGCTTCCCAGCTGGAGCATCGCAAAGAGCCTGACAGGAGCAGCCCCTCCGCCCCAGATGAAAACTCAATCTTGTACTACGGGCCTCCTCTTGCAGATACATAGTCCCTTTTTCCCCAAAGGTGGCTGATGCAACTCGCCCGCTGGCCTCCAAGGTCAGGATACCCCCCCTCCACCCCACTGATTGGCAATGGTGCTTTCTCTGCCCGCTGAGCCCGCCTGTGGCCATGCTCACTTGAGGTAGGTGAGGTGCAGCTCTGCTTCTTTCTCGGCTTCTTCTAGCTTTAGCACCAGGAGCTCCTTTCGGCTCTCCAGAGATAGGATCTGAAAGGGGGGGGGCAACCTGCTTATGCTGTCTGGCATGTCTGAGTGGGCAGTGAAAGCACAGTCACAGTACCTCCCCCCCCAGCCACTGGGCATCTAGCGCCACATCAGCCTCATGGGTGCTGCAGAAGTAACACCTGGAGAGGGGCCGTGTCCTTCCCACTGATGCAAAGAGCCCCCAGAGGAGGCTTAGCCCCCCCCCCGTACCCCCACCTCTGCTTTCCAGGCCCGCTCCGTCTCCTCCAAGATTGACCGGTTGATGTCACTCTGCTGGTTCTTCAGCTTGCCCAGCTCCAGTTCCCATGCTTCCCTGCAGAGCAAGCAGAGATGCTCACTGAACGAAGGGGCCTGCCAGGAGCCCTGGAGGAGCTACCCTCCAGCTACATAGCTTTTCCAGCTGGCAAAAATAGGAAGAGGCCTCAGGGACAGTGTGCACGAGTCCCTTCCCCTCCTTTCCATTTGAGGTGATGCTCAGGGCAATGCATAAGCTTCCCCCCCCCCCCGGCTTACTTCTCCTCTGCCTGTTCAGCAATCAACGAAACAATCTTGTTCTCCTTCTCTTCTTGCTCCTTCAAAAGCCTGGGGGGAGGCAGGGAGGGAGAGGAGGGCAGCCCAGTGAATGCTTTGGGCTCAAGACTCCCAGGAGAGCAGCTGCACTACGCAACTGGAAGCCAAGGGGGTCTGGACTAGAGGCAGCAATGCTGCAGATTTGCAAACATGCACAACTGGCTTGGAGGCTCAGCAGGTTGAACCTGGGCTGCTACCATGGGATACTGTGGACCTCCTGCATTGCTGATTCAGATTACTGCTGCGGGAGAAATGTGGGCCTAGGTGCCTTGCTCTGCTCGCCTGTATCCGTGACCTGCTGCCCCCTTCAGAATCATCTTTCTGAACAGGCCAGCAGCTGGCACCCTGAAATACCTCCGGCCTTTCTCACAGAGCTTCTCAATTTCTGCCTTCAGGTCCTGTTCCTTTTGCAAAAACTCCTTCTTTTCCTTCTCCATCTTCTTCCTGGTTTCTTTCCGCTTAACAGTCACATCCTGAATGGCCTTCAAGATCTCCTAATGCAGAAAACGACCAGTAGCATGTTCTCAGCATTCTCAACATGGTTTCAAAATTCAAGACACTTTGCCTGGGCTCAGCACTCTTCAACTGATAATCCACTCAGCTGTTCTCAGCTGGTGTCAGATGAAATTTCCTCCTTCCCCGGTGCCCCCCTGATTTGAGCTTGGCACTCCCTGATTTGCCACTGCAGACCTGGTGGAGGCAGCCTTGATCTCACCTGGTGATTCTTCATCTCTTCTTCCCTGCGCTGTTGCAGATGCTGGAGCTGCACCTGCAGCTGGTTCTCCACCTGCCTCTGCTTGTCCAGGACTTCTTGGTATCGCTCCTTCAATGAAGCTCTCTCAGACATCATCTTGTCCTATCGGGCAGCAAGAGAGAGGTTTGAATTCTCTGGGCCACCTTCAAAAGACAAAGCCTTAAGCCAGCATGGCCAAAGCACCCCGGCTGGGTTAGAAGACCCTGACTAGGTAGGATGCCAAGCAGAACAGTTCGACGAGCGGAGTGCGTAACGCCCCCCTCCACATGAACACTGTGCATTTCAGTCGCAGCCCCACACCACTACCGGAAGAGGAGAGTCCCATACTTACCAGGTTCTTCTCGATGTTCAGATCAGTACTGGTTGCCAAGTCAGCCGTCCTGAAGTCAGTCTGCAAAGGGAGAAGAGGATTTGTCTGTAAGCAACCAGAGGAGGAAACACGATTTCCTCTGACTCCCACCATTTCTGCCCAGCAGCCTGTGGTCAAGTGGCACCACAAAGGTTTGGGCCTGGCTAGTGGTCTAGTCGCAGCCTTCTCGTCCTCTATTCCAATGCTAACTGAAGCAGAAAAAAGGCCTCAGTTCAGACACCCGCTTAACACCGTCTTTCTCTTCCACCCAGATTTCGTGGACTGCCGCAGAGGTGAAGAAACCACCCAAGTTTTGCCTCCTTCTCTTTGTTGCATTTCATGCAGGACCAGGCCCCTTATGAGGGCCCCAAGCCTCCCCTCCCAGTCCCACTTCCTACAGGGAAGGTTCAGCAAAGCATTCACTCCCTGACCTGAACTGCAATGTTTTGGGACGGTTTTGCAGCCCCATCATCGTCCTGGCCCTGGCTCTTCATGCCCAGAGAGGCTGCCAAGCGCACATCTTCCAAATCAGGGCAGCCATTTTGCCGCCTTCCGTGCTGCAAGATCCAAGACCCCAGCTCAGCCTTGGAGCAGTTCATGTCTGTGGAGTGGGCTGTTTGTGGAAGCAGCAGGGCCGTTGGTGGATTCTCCGCAGGCAGGGAGGCTCTCTTTTCACCCACAGCATTGTCCAGATCAGGCAGGGAGGGTGCCTCACTTGAGGGGCTGGCGGGAGGCAAGTCAGCAGCCTCAGACGCAGACTCCTCTTTGGGGGCTGTGCGATGCTTGGGAACAGGCGAGCAGCAGGAGGAGGACGGAGAGCCCGGGTCCCTGGGGTCCCTTTCGGTTTCATCTTCGGGGGGCTCCTGCTCCCGCGGCCGGCTGGGCTTGGCAGGATCCGGCGGGAGGCAGCTGCTTCTGCGCACAGGAAGGTCGCCGGGGCCAACCAAGGCGGCGCGGGGGGCGGAGGGAGAGAGACGGGTCAAGGTGCTGGATACCTTTTCTGCAGACGCCTCGCAAAAGCGGCTCGGCTGGTGCCCTCGGAGCATCGCACGCAGCTCCGTTCTGGGCAAACTGCCCGCCCGCGGTGGGGACCGGGCGGAACAACCCCCGGGCCTCCAGCCCTGCCCGAATCGGGTCCGGGAAAGGCGGCGACTCTGACACAGCAACCGCTTTCCCGCCTGCCAGGCCGGCCCCACCGCTTCCCCCGAAAGCCGTCAGGAGCTCCGCTTGGCCTTCCTCGGACGAGAAGCGAGCGGAGCGGGCGGCCCTAGAAGCTGCTGCTGCTGCTCTGCCCCTTGGAGTCCCAGGGAGGGCAAGGACCGGGCGCCGAAGCGGCCCCGAGCGGCCCTCCGGGCGCAGCCACCCCCACCCCCGCCGGCCTTCCGACTGCGGGCTGCCCGTCTCCCGCAGGGCCCTCTTCGCGGCGACGCGGCAGGCCGTTCCCCGGTCTCGCCCGGCCTACCTGTGGGCGGCGCCGGGGCCTGCGCGGGGGGGCTCCGCATCCGCGGGGGCCTTCGCCTCGGCCATGGCCGCCTCTTCCGACGCCATCGCCCGGGCCGAGGGGGAATGCCGTGGCCCCTCCAGGACAGCCCGACGCGGCCGCGGGAAGCCGGGCCCGGCGCTCACCCTGCCCTCCGGCCGCGGGACCCTCGCCCGTCACAACGCGCCCTGCACGACCTGCGGCCGCCTTGGCGCGGCCTACTCTTCCTGCCGGCGGGCGGCGCCGCGAGGCCGAGCGGCCAGAGCGGCGACAGTGAAAGTCCGACGCGCGCGCAGCGCCCCCTGTCAGCCGGGAGGGGCGGGCGGGAGCGGGGGCAGTGCCCGAGCATGTGCAGAGCGAGCCGCGGAGGCTCCGCCCCTCGCTCTACCGAGGAAGACTGTCATGCTGCCGGCTGCTGGCCTCCCGCACCGCCCCACCAGCCGGGAGGGAGGGGCTCAGCGGGCAGCGGACGTGACGTTCGGCACTCTCCCACCGCCGGAACTCGACTCGCCCTCGGCTCCGCCCCAGCTCGCGCGGTGGGTGCCCCTCGGCTGGGCTGGGGGCGGCGGGCTGGCCTGGGCTAGTCGTAGGGGGGGTGAGGGAGGGAGGGAGGGAGGGGAGAGCTTCCCCGTCCCGCCCTCCGCAGCGCTGCCCGCCGAGTCTGGCGGCGAGGGAGCCGGTCCTGCGGCTGGGCGCTCCGCGGGGCTGGCTCCGCTTCCCGCTTCCCTTCGCTCGGGCGAGCACACAGCAGCCGGAGACAAGCTGGCCCGGGCGGCCCGTCCGGCCAGGGATCTCCGCTCACGCCCCCCTTTCTCCCGGCAGCCCGCTGGTCCGATGCTGTCCCGGGGCGCCGGGCCCCGCCATGGAGGGCTGTGATGGAGGCCGCCGGGGACGCTCGCCGCTGCCCTGGACGGGCCCTGCTGGTGCTCCCGCTGCTGCTGCTGCTGCTGCTGCTTCCCCGCGGGCTTAGGAGCGCCTTCGGGGCGCCGGGGACCCAGCCTTGCTCGGCTGCCCGCTGCCCGGAGAGCCTGACGTGGGCCGTGCGCCTGACCGGTCCCGAGGAGGATCTGGACCGGCTGGCCGATGACTTGGCCCGCGAGGCCCGTCTGGTCAACGTGGGCCGAATCGGCGAGCTGAAGGGCCACTACCTCTTGGCCTACCGGCCTGCAAGCGCCTCCGACCCGCCTCCCGGAGCGGTCCGGAGGGCTGCCGAGGCCCTCTTCGCGCGGCACGCAGGCGTAGGGTGGCACGCGGCTCAGCGGCTCCTCAAGCGCTCGAAGCGCGCCCTGCACTTCAACGACCCCAAGTTCCCCCAGCAGTGGCACCTGGTAAGCCGGGTCTCCCGGTGGGCTGTAGTCGCTGCCCTCCCCAGGCCCCTGGCGCTAGAAGCCCTCCACCAGGCCCGGCTGGGCATCCCTGCGCTGTGCCCCCTTGTTCCAGCCGTCGAAGGAAGGAGGGATGCAGCAGGCCTTAAAATGGGGGCGTGGGCCTCTCTGCTCTGTTCCCTGTGGGCGTCTTGGCTGGGGGGGGAGGGGCTCCGGGCCAACAGTCGCCTTCCTCCAGCCCCCATCGGCCACTGTGCCAGGGAGCAGCCCATCTGAGGGCTGCCGCCACCAGTATGGCTTTGAGAGGGGCCAGAGGCTCTCTTGATGCTGTCCCCTTGCTGGCCACGTTTGCTCTCGTAACCAGGACAATCGCAAGAGGCCCGGGATGGATATCAACGTGACAGGCGTGTGGGAGCGGAATGTGACGGGCCAGGGGGTGACAGTGGTGGTGGTGGATGATGGTGTTGAACACACCATCAAGGACATCCAGCCGAACTACGTGAGTGGCTGCCCCCCCCCCGCCGCAGTTCAAGTCCATGGGGTGGCGTTTTCCTTTCTCAACCAGGAAAGCAAGTGGGCAGAGGAAGGGCAGTCTGGGCTAGGTTTGGGGAGCCTTTTTGGGTGGTTGGCTCAGATGACCTCGGTGAAGAACGAGTGGGGGGAGCCCAGGAAGCTGGGCTCCCCATGAATTCAGAGGTGCCCCTGAGAAAGCAGCTGTCTCTGGGCTGCGAGGATGAGGCTGCAGCCTCTCCAGAAGGTCTCCCCTCCCTAGAATTGTTGAGCCTCTCAGTGGATTAAGCAGTGGGACGGAGCCTGTTTCCCACCCCGCTAGCTTTCCTCTCAGATGGCCTGGCAGCCAAGATGGGCATTGTAGTGCTGCTGGGGGATGGCTTTTTCAAGCCCTTTGGAGGAGGATTTGATTGGGTTTGAGCTAGGTTGGCTGGGAGTTCTGGACATTGGTGTCCATTCAGGCTTGAAGGCCATGGGCAGGAATGTGCTGGCTTCCCCCTCCTGGTCCCATGAGAGGAGGCGTCTCAGGCTGCTCTCTCTCCCAGAGCCCGGAAGGCAGCTACGACTTGAACTCCAATGATCCTGACCCCATGCCCCACCCCGATGAGGAGAACGGCAACCACCACGGGACCCGCTGTGCTGGAGAAATTGCAGCCGTGTCCAACAACAGCTTCTGCGCTGTGGGCGTTGCCTTTGGGAGCCGGATTGCAGGTGTTGCTCCCTTCCAGTTCTGCAGGGGAGGGGGGAGACTGCCTAGCTTCCAATCGGGTAAGAGAGGGAGTAGCCCCCAGCTGCATAAGTGGGCAGAGAAAGAGGCCCAGTCCCCTTAAGGTTCTAAAGGAAATTTGTACTTTCAGACTTCCTTGGCCTTGTGCCACACAAACTCCTCCCCCCCCCATGCCTGGTGGCGTCACCTGGAGTCTCTTGTCCCACAGGGATCCGCGTGCTGGATGGGCCCCTCACAGACAGCCTGGAGGCCGTCGCCTTTAACAAGCACTATCAGATCAACGACATCTACAGTTGCAGGTCTGCAGGAAGACACAGGGCTGGGAGCAGGGCCTGCCGTGGTTGTGTTGTGAGCTGCCCTAGAGACATTTATTTTGTGTATTTTTGTCCTGCCCTCATTGTTACTTGATAACTAACTCCAGATGGTGACCGTACTTCTTTCCTCCCCAATTTCCTCTCAAGGACCCAGCCATTGGTGGGCTGCCCAGAGAGGCTTTCCTGGCTTCTCCTGCAGAGGACAGCAAATGCCTGCTCACTCAGTGTCCCCTTGCCCTCTTTTGGTGTGGGGGTGTCCTGTGTGCATGTTGAACCCAGCCCTTGCTCTCCTCGTGCCTTTAAATGCCCTTCTCTGCCTCTTCCTTGGCAGCTGGGGCCCAGATGATGATGGCAAAACAGTGGATGGCCCCCATCAGCTTGGACGGGTATGAAGGAAGGCATATGTGGGGGGCTGTGTGCCCGATGTTCGCAGGGGGCCAGAGCCCAGGAGCCCAGGGGGGACTCGGTGGTGCCCCAGCCTCCACAGGGCCAGGCAGCTAATGAGCTTCCACAGTCTTGGCCTTTTTCTGGCAGGTTGTCAGCTGGGCAGAAGTGGGGGAGGGCGGGGGTGTTCTTGCAGCCTCCCCTCCTGAAGCATTGCCTGTTTTCTCCTCCACAGGCCGCTCTGCAGCATGGCGTAATTGCTGGCCGGAGGGGCTTTGGCAGCATCTTCGTGGTGGCCAGTGGCAATGGGGGACATCACAATGACAACTGCAACTATGATGGCTACGCCAACTCCATCTACACAGTCACCATTGGTAACGGCTCAGCTAGTGCAGGGCTCTCTGTGCTTTCGCCTTCCCCAGGCCAGGGTCCCTCTCAAGATGGGCACCCTTTTCTGGCTGTGGGGGAGCCTCAGGTGCCCTGATGGCTGTTTGGGGAGCTGTTTGGGCAACAGGAGAGCAGGAAAATGGCATTTGCACCCTGTGCCGTTCGAGATGCAAAACAGTTTCTAGGTTCCCCTCCCAAGATCTGGGCCCTGCCGGGGCTTCTTGAGAGCAGCTTTGTTTCCCCTTTCTGTTGTGCCCGTTCTGAGCCTGGAGCTGAGGCAGAATTCAGGGGAATGGCCTGATGTTGCTCATCTGCCACCTTCCATCTGGCCGGGAGGGACTCATTGCCAGGCTAAAACCAGCACAGGCCGGGAGAGTCACTGTCCAAATGGAAGGGAGCAGCATTGCCAGCCCATAGGGAGATTTCAACAGGCACGGAGAAGCTGCCTGGGAGTTGCTCAGGAAGAGGCCCGGCCGCCGCTATTCGGGAGGGGAGGGGAGGGGAGGGGAGGGGGGGTGTTATCGTGTTCTTCCTGGGCCTCAAAGACTCCTTCCTTTCGTTCAGCTGTGGGTCTCTGGGTTCTCCCACAGGAGCGTGTGCTTCAGTCCGCAGTCACAAAAAAGGAGGCCAGGCTGCTGGCTGCGAGGGAGGCTTATGGACACTCAGGGGCTCTGTCCCATGGCAAGACCCCCTGGCTAGCAATGCTGGTCCTATGGGGAAAAAGCCAGCAAGGCCAGGCAGTAGGAATCCAGTTGGTTCTTGTAGTCCCAGCGTCGTGGTCTCTGCTGTCTGTTCCCCAGGCGCCGTGGATGAGATGGGCTACAAGCCATTCTATGCGGAGGAGTGCGCCTCCATGCTGGCCGTAACCTTCAGCGGAGGTGACAAGTTGATGAGAAGCATTGTGAGTAGAAGCCCCCTCGAGCGCCTGGCTCGCCCGTCCTTTCTCAGTGCTGGTGGGGCTTTGTCTCTTTTGATGCCAAGGAGGATTCCCCAAGTATCCTGCTGGCCCTTCCCAGATGGGCTGTTAAGGGGGGCAGACTTAAGCTGCACCTCCTTTCTTTCAGAGCCCTCCTGGCTTATATCTTCCATCTCACCAGCCATGGGCAGAGAAAGTCCCAGCTGAGACCCCTTGAGGATCTTGCCCCCTTTGTTGGCAAAGGCCCTGGCAGCGGGAGCCTCGGACTTTCCTTTAGCCACGCAGAGGACGTGGAGGAAAAATAGCCCCTCTTTTCCAGACACCTTTGTGACTCTTGTCTTTTGTTGCAGCAACTGCAGCTTTTCCAATAGGCAACTCCGCGTCCTCCCTTTTGCTTCTACTCCATGACAAGGACCCCTTTCTGTCGGCTTCTGCTGGGGATGATGGGTCAAATGCAGGGAGCCAGCTGGACAGGCCCATCCTCCTGTAGTGCAGCCAAGCAGGAGGATGAGGCCAGGGACTCCCGCTGCCCGTCTGCATGAGTGCGTCTCTGTCTGACCCTCTGGCCCCAGACATGATCCTCCCAGGGCCAGTGGCTGGCCTGAGAAGTCTGGTTTTTTTTCTGCCAGGCCTCTCAGCGGGTTGATGTTTCCTTAATGGGAAGAATTTCTCCAGGCTTCTTGGCTGCCGTTTCCTGGCAGAGCAAGTGCCTGTTTAAAGATGGATTTGCAGGATCCCATTGCAGCTGTTAGCAGCTGACCGAAGGGACAGATCCTCAGTTAGCTCACCCCTCTTGGCAAGGGAGGAAGAAGGGAAGCCCCCAAGAAGGCAGACCAAGCACTCCCCATCCCACCTCCGTCCTCAGTGCCTGAAACTAATAGTTCTGCATGGAAGCAGCCCAGATCCCATCCCAGCAAGGAGCGGACCAAGGGCCAGGCAACCCCAAGACTCATCCGTTTTGCGTGGGGGGGGAGGGCCAGGGACCCTGCCTGCTTTCAAGGCATCAGAGCTCTCCTCTCTGTGTCCTTGAGAATCTGTCTGGAGCTCCCCCCCACTTGGGAGTCTGCAGTCCCTCAGAATAGACTTCCCTAGGCTGGCGCCTCTTCCTGGCTGGCTCCTCTCAGAGTTCCTGTTTCTCTGCAGGCAACAACAGACTGGGATTTGCAGAGGGGGACGGGCTGCACAGAAGGGCACACGGGCACTTCTGCCGCAGCACCCTTGGCTGCTGGACTGATCGCCCTTATGCTGCAGGTGCGCCCCTGCCTCACCTGGCGAGATGTCCAGCATATCATAGTCTTCACTGCCACTCAGGTGAGCCAAGCCCACGGAGGCACCTGAGCTGGCTCTCTTTCCATTGGCCAGAGCCTCCCTCCCATTCCTGCAGGATGGTGTGCTGGCGCCTTTTAATGGGTACGGCGAGGGTACCCCACTGCTTCTCTTCTGGGCTACCTCCAAGGAGGAACTCCTCCTCCAGACTGCCTGAAGCCATTCTAGTCACCCAGTGCTGACCCTTGGCATGGCCCAGGCTGCTTCTCCCTGCCACCCTGCCTGCTACCATGAGCTTGTGCCAGGCATGCCTTCCCAGTCTGTATGAAGCGGGAGCCCTGGCCAGGAAGGATGGCCCCTCCGTTCCGGGTCTTTTCCGATCAGGGCCGCGGGGGCTTGCCTTGGCTTGACCGGCTCTCCCCGCTGCCCCCTTCCACAGTACGAAGACCATCGTGCCCGCTGGGACGTCAACCAGGCTGGCCTAAGCCACAGTCACCAACATGGGTTCGGACTGCTGAATGCCTGGCGGTTGGTCAACGCAGCCAAGGTGCGCCCCTGCCTCCTCTGGGCTTCAGGGCCTTGTCGGTGGAGGGTGATGGTGTAAGCCCCATTTTGTAATCAGAAGAGAGGCGGGCCTCTCCTTCTGTCTGGCTTGAACCTTCCCAGGAAAGGGGTGCAGGACTCCCTCCCTTAAACTGCAGCTGGCAGAGAAGGTAGCCCCACCCTTCAGGCGGCCTGGAAAAGAGGCAGCCATTCTCCTGGGCAGCCATGCTGGCGTCACCTCTTTATTCTGGGCCTGAGGGCTGGTCTGCGATGGTGGGGTGGGGGGCTGCCTTGGTGGTGCAGGAAAGCAGAATCCTCTCTTGTTTGTCTGGCAGGTCTGGGAGTCTGTCCCTTATCTGGCCTCCTACATCAGCCCCCTTCTGAAGGAGAGCAGAGCCATCCCCCTGGACCCGGGGCAGTTGGAAGCCACCTGGAACGGTCCGTGCAGTTCTGGGGGGAGGGAGAGGGCAGCTTGGGAATTGGGCCTTGCTCCGCCCATTTCATTGGAGGGCTGGCCTCTGCCCGGAGCAGAAGAGGGGCAGGGGTTGGGGACAGGCAGACCAAGGGCAGGGATGCAAGGAGCGCTGGCGGAGGGCCGGGGATCAGCCCTGCCAGTGGAAGTGGCAAGTGCCCAGGGCTGCAGCTTGCTCTCCATTTTAGGCAATGTTGCAGCTTCTGTTTGGCCATGCTCTGTCCACGGCAGAGGCATCCTGCCTTTCCTCAGGCTTAGCCAAGGAGGGAATCTGCAGACTTCCCTTGCCTAGTGGGTTCCCTGCCTGCCAGTTCTGCAGAAACAGATCCCTCCTGCAACTGGCTTGGCATCTGGTTGGCACCAGAGGAGCCTGGCAACTCAGTGGCCTCCCTGGCAGGCTAGTCAGCTGGGAGAGGGTCAGGCTGGAGAGGAGAGGCGCTTGATGCACTTGGCTGGCCAGCCAGCCCTTTACTCACCCCAATCCCTTTGGCCAGGGTTGGGGGTCTGGCTCCCCTCTGCCCATGGGAGCTGGGTCCAGATGGGCAGCGAGCTTCTTCCTAGCTTCCATGCAGGCCTTGCTGTCCAGGGGAGACTTTCCCCTACAAGGAATTATTGAAGGAAGATATAGCAGAAGACAGAGGCAGGGCTGGGAAATGCCAAATCTTGGAGAAGGGGTCAGGGTCAGGCCTGGGGGGAGGATTTCTAGCTGGTGGTGGGTGGGGGTGGGGGTGGGGGTGGGGGTGGGGGTGGGGGTAGGAGTGGGATGCTCCAAGCTTCAATACTGCAAAACACAGCAATCCCCTCCCTTGCCAGGGGAGAATCCCACCCAGCTCTTAGCAAGATTGAGCTGAGAGCTTCCCCCTCCCCTACTGGGGGGAGGCTCAAGGAAGGTCCTACCAACAGTCAGCATGAATCCAAACCTGGTCTGAAAGCCGCAGATACTCTGGAAGGCATCTGCAAGGCAGCGCTGCTTCCCCTGGCCACAATTCCTGGCTCCTCAGCAATTGCCAAGGGATCAACTTTGATCCCTGTGAATTTATCCTGCCCCTTATTAAAAATGCCTCTCCTGGGGGCTTTGGGATCTGTGGCAGTCTTGAGACTTGTGGAAAGAGAAACACATGTTATAAATGCTGCCTACATGGGCAGGATGCAAAGACCTCATTGCTGGGTTCTCTTGACCCCCCCCCCCAGCAAGTGCCCAGAGCCTTTGGAAGGCCTCTCGGTTGGGAGACCTTTGCAGACCCCGCATTTGGGACACAGCTTTTCTCCCCCCCCCCCTTCCTTAGTGACTGAAGCTGACCTGGAGCTGTCGGGGTTGAAGACTCTGGAGCACGTGGCCGTGACAGTGAGCATCACCCACCCACGCCGTGGCAATCTGGAGATCCACCTCCGCTGCCCCAGCGGCATGGACTCCCTGGTTGGGACAGCACGCAGCATGGACTCGTGAGTGCACTGCTGCTTGGGGGCAGGAGTGGGAGGGAACCTTGTGGGGCCAGGTACCAAAAGGGGGGCAGGACCATCCCCTCAGGCACCAGGGAAGGCGCCTGTGACCCGGTCTGGCAGCTGGCCTTGCTGGACATTCAAGGCCCAACAATGTTTCTCTTGCAGACCCAGAGTTTCTAGGCTCAGTCGGGTGGGGGCTAAGGAGAGAAGCCTCCGCCCAACTTCTCTGCCTCCCCCTACAGAGATCCCACTGGCTTTGTGGACTGGACCTTCTCCACTGTGCGCTGCTGGGGCGAGGAGGCCCAGGGCACCTATCAGCTGACAATCCGTGACGTGGGTGAGTTTCCTACCCCTCAGCCTGAGCAATAGGAAAGCAAGGCACTCCCATGCTTTGTGACCTGCTTCTTCTTCAGGCGATGAGACGCAGAGAGCGGGCAGGCTGGACCAGTGGCAACTGACCCTCTATGGCTCATCGTGGACCTCCTCTCAGATCCAGGAGCGGCAGAGGTGAGAGGGACAGACAGAGGTGAAGGGCCAGGGTCAGGGCGTCTCCCTGCCCAGGCCCTTCGGCAGAAAGTCTTTGCAGCAGCCATGCCCACACGAGACACTCTAGGGACAGCTTCCAAGGGCATGCTGAACTAGCGAGTCGGGGGGGGGGGCAGGGGGAGTGTGCAGCATGAAGGCTGCTCATCTGGAAAAGTAGCTGGCCTTGCAGCTCCCCAGGCCCAGCATCAGCTTTGCAAGGCCTGGGCCGTTCTTTGCAGTGCCAGCACTGCTTTGCCCTCTGGCACCTTCCTGTTGCACAACTGGTGTGCAATGTGTGTGACTTGCTGAACACATGACTTTCTTTTGGGGGGAGGAAGACAGTCATTTGGGGTGATTAGCAGAGGACACAGGAGGGCCCCGTTGTCCCTGCGGTGATCAGCAGAGCCCCTCTCCCCCTGCAGGCTGCTGGAGAAGGTGATGAGTGGCCAGTTCCTGAACAGGGACTTTGCCTTGCCTTGCCCCCCAGGCCTCCGGATCCCCGAGCAGCAGCCCTACACCATCACTGCCAACACCCTCAAGGTGACACCCTTCCCGCTGGGTGGGGGATGGAGATCTGGTGGGACTGGGAGAAGGTGCCAGCTGGCAACACAGCCCTGCTTTGCATGGGAGGAGGGAGCCCCTGAGCAGTTGCCACTTTGGGGAGGGTCTTGATCCCACTCGGAGGAGGGTCCATGTGATTTACCTAAGCCTCTGCCACTTCCTTCCCCAGACTCTGATGCTGCTCGGTTGCTTTGCTGTCTTTTGGACCTTCTACTACATGCTGGAAGCATTCCTGACTTGCAACAACGTGGCCTTTGATCTCCCAGCTCGCAGCTGCCGGGCCTCCAAGAGCCTGGAAGAAGGAGCTGTGATGGATCACACGGTGCCCCTGTGCAAGGAGGCCAAGGCCGAGGCCGTGCAACCATCCCCGGGCCTGCGAGGCTTGGAGGATGGCTGGGGATCTCAAGGTCCTCACTGGGGAGAGGATTGCTAAACCTCGTGGAGTAGGAGCAGTCTACCTCAGTCATGGGTTGCTGAGCATGCTAGTGCTGCCTCCCTCTGCTCTATGCTTTGGAGATCAGCTGAGAGGCTTCCCCTGCCCCAGCAGCTCCCTGAGAAGTAACTCGGCTTTTCTGTGGCCTTCTTGGCTGTGCCTGTCCCCTCTTTGGCCCAGAGGGGATTCCCGGGCCCCAGCTGGGCAGTGCAGGGACAAGGAGACCAGTCCAACCGAAGGACGAGAAATTCTGGCCTGTGGAGGGGAGGGGCTGCTGCTGGCCAGAAGGGGGTTGTGGCCATGAACTGGGCTCATGCTGCCCCCAGCACTCCTCTCCTCGCCCCACTGCCTGGCAGGCCCTGGTTCTGCCAACCCGCTGCTCTCCCTTGCTCTCTGCCCCGACTGGCTGTACGCCGTTGCTGGACCAGGCCTTGCCTGGCTCCTGCACTTGCCTTGCCTGAGGGGCTGGGAGTTGCTCGGAGGGCTTGGTTCTTCCACTGAAGCTCCTGGGACCCTCTGGGGATCTTTCTGGGGACTTGGCTTTCTCTCCCAAAGTCACCCTCAGGCTGGAGGACACGTTTTGATTTTTCTGGCTTTGGATGAGCAGCAGCCAGAATTATTCTTTTGCACTTTTCCAAAATAAATTCTTGAAAATCCAGTGCTGCTGCTTCCTCCCTCTGTACACTGCCTGCACCAGGAGAAGGCCGGTCCTCCCCCCTCCTCCCCAACACCCCCTCCTGAGGCGCCCAGAAAGGTGTTACTCAGCAGAAACTTTAGGCCATTTCTAGCTCAGTCCCTCCCCCCACTTTCTGCCTCCTGGACTTGCCAAACGGTGGGATGAGGACTGGCCCTGGCCTGGCCATGTCCCTCTGCTGAGCAGGAGGGGTGCGGGGAGCCTTCGGCCTAGCCTTCCGTGCTCTTCAGGTCCTGCTTGCCAAAGATATTCCTGGCATCATAGCAGCAGCAGAGGAGAAGAAACTCAAACCATAGCCAAGGAACCTAAAAGATTCAGTTTTTAATCTAATGAATAACTCCCAAAAAAGTACAAAAGTTAGCTTTGTTCTGCGCCCCTAGCAGAGTTTGTCAAGAGAGGCTCCTTTCCTCACGCACCTTCCGCCAAGTTCGGTTCTGCAGTTGGGAGAAGCCTTCCGACAGCCCCAGGATTCGTGCCAGGGCCAAAGCAGGTCGGGAGGGTGTGGTGAGTGGGTGGGTGGGTGGGTGAAGCGGGTAGCATGCAGAGGCTGGCAGCTCTGGAGCAGGTTGGCTGCCTGGCTGGCCGTTGCTATGCAGGAGCAGCACAAGTCTTTGGGCACAGTGCCCCTTCCGGGAACTGCTTAGGGGGCACGGTGGGGAGGTTCCCTGCGGATACCCCTGGCAGCAGCAGAGGGGCAGAGCTTGCCAGGCTGTTAGCAAAGAGCGGGAAGACCAGCCGGCTTGGGGGGGGGGGGAGGAACAGCACAGCAGCTGGACTGTGCTTAGCTGATGATCTGCCGAGGTCGGCCGTAGCCCGTCATGCCTGCCTGCGATGCCCCTTTGTTAGAGCCCATCTGTAAGCCGATCACATTCTTGCCCTCCTTCAGCTGGCTGTCGGAAAAGTCCCGCTTGTTCTCCTGGGCCTTCCTGGGGAGGGAAAAGGGGTTCACAAGAGAGCCTTTGGCATGGTACTCTCCCTGGCAAGCCCTTGTGCTGCAGCCAGCAGGCCGAGGCTCTGCTTTCCCTGAAGACAGCCTCTGCCACTGGAGCGTGAGGGGGGCAATTGCTTCCCCTCGAGACGAAAAATCAGTAGAGCTGCTCAAAGCAATAGGCCCTTGGGCGCCTCTGCCGCCACTTACTTCATGAACCACGAGGGGTCCCCCTGGTAATTCCCGTCGTTCTTGGTCACGGCCAGGTTGCCCAAGGCCATGAGGGTCCGCTGGACAGCTGCCATGTCCTTGGCTGGAAGGAAAAGCAGAGCTGGGCTGAGGACACAGCCCCACTTGGGGAGGTCTCTCCACATTCCCTGCATTTCTCTAAGGGTGACATCCTACCCAGGAAACTCCCCCCCCCCAGTGCTCCCTGGGGTATTTGAAGCCGAGGCTGCCCATTTGAAAGGAGCCCTCCCCTAGCTGACTGGCTTGGTCAGAAAAGGGATCCATTTGTGGGCAAACTAGCAGCCTATTTTTGCTGAACGTGAAACTTGGCCATTTTGGAAGATGGATTCCCACTTGGCCCCAATCTTTCTGGGACAAGGAGGTGATGGCAACTTCTGGCTCTGGAGCAATGGCACAAGCTCTCCCCCTCCCCAAATCACAGCCCCCCACCTTCAAAGAGATCAACCGTCTGGAACATGTCGGTCTTCACCACCCCGGAGTCCTCGGCTGCCTTCAGAAAGTGGGAGATCTGCTCCATCTGCTTGAAGACCATGCTGGGAGGCGGGTCTGGGATCTTCACAGGCTTGCAGCCGCTGGGGTTAAGGCTGTTGATCAGCTTCCCGAGGACCTGCCCAGGTAACGAAGAAAACCTGCAACTCCTGCCAGGACTGGCTCTGGCCCCAACGGACACCCCAAGTCCTCCCCTCCCAGGCGACTGAGGAGCCCCAATACTTACAATGCCGTTCTTCAGCCAGACTTGGAAGCCCAGCCTCCCTCGCTCTGGGCGTCCCACCTCATTCCCACACTGGGCCACCACCCACTCGACCAGACGCTCTTCCAGCTCATCATCGTATTTCTTCTCGATCTTGGCCTGGACATCTCTGCTCAGCCCAAAGGAAGGCCCCTTGTTTGCCATATCTGCAGGGTGGGTCTGGGGGAGACAGCAGGCGAGGAGACTGAGGCAGCTGGGTTGTTCCACCGGAGGTCCAAATGCAGGCAGGCAGCAGGCAAAACAATGGGGGCTCATTCAGGCACAGGCTTTCATCGGTTCTCCAGGCCTCCCCACGGCTTTTAGGCAGGGTGGGGCACAGAGAAACAAAACTTCCTGCCTAGCCTGCCCACTTTCTCTTACACCATTTGGCTGAATTGGGAGACTTTACTCCCCCCCACCCCCCATGTTTCACAAAGGCTCCTCTGCTGCTCAAGTCCAGGTGTTTGGTCATCTCACCTTTGCCAGCTAGCTGAAGAAGACACCACTGGATGACCCCCTCCCCCCTCTGTACAGGCATTTGCACCTTTTCCTAATCTGGCAGCAACAAACAGGTCTGTCCCAAGATCCTGCCGTCTTCCATCCTGTACCTCCAGCTGCCTTTGTGTCCCACTCAAGTGGTCCAGTGGTAGCCACTGCCCTCCCTCGCTCTTGCTTCAGGCAAGGAGGCAGAAGCAACATTTCCAGTTCGGAAGCTGCAGAGGTAGAGTCCCAGGTGGCTGCACAGCCACAGGCAGCAAGTGGGATGGACCCGCTGCCACACAAAGCCCAGTGTCCCAGGATGGTGGTGAAGCTGGTGGTGCCCAGCACAACTGCCCTCATGCTCAAACCAGGAAGGTGGAGTGCATCACTGCTATCCTCAGTACGCCCAGTCCGGCTGCTCTCGGGCCTGGTCAACCCTGGCTTTGCAACCCTCCCTTCCCTCCTGCCCAGGATCAAATCTCTAGTTGCTTCCAGCCACCACGCCCCAGCCTGGATACGTTCAGAAAACGCCAGGGGCTGGTGGATGCTTGGTAAATCCTGCCACCCCTTTTCTGGCTTCCGCTCATAGCCTCTGTTCCCCACAAAGCCTTGCGGGAATCCTGCACGCCCGTCTCCCAGCCAGGGCAGCAGGACCTCAGCAAAGTCTAACGCATCCTGGAAATGTTTTCTGGGCTGCCTGCAAAAGGGATCCAGGCACACCTTGGCAGAGCCAAAAAAAAGGGCCCCACCCAGGACCCTCTGCCCTTCTTCACCTGCCTGTGAAGGCAGCATTTTCCAGCAGTTCTGCTTCCTCCTGGCTTTCCAGGCCTCCCTCTCTCCTGCCAGGGGATGGACCAGGGAAAGATCCATCTGCCCCAGCCCAGCTTTTTGCTAGAGCCCTGGCATCCCCCAGGTTCTGCCCCCCTCAGTAACTGTTCCAGATGACCTCTCCCCCCCCCCCCTCAGCAAAGCAAGCGGTCCAGACACCCCCAAGGCAGCTCCTACTGAATCAGCTAGAGAGGCACTTACAGCTATGGTGGCTCCGAGGCTCCCCAGATGTTGCTCTGCCAGGACTCTGCAGCCCCAGGAGGGGCTAAAAGGCCCCGGCCCTCCAGCCCCTGACATCACTGCCCCTCCCCCTCCTCGGTGGCTGAAGCTGCGCACCATATTTGGGGAAAGACTCCAAAGTCGAGCAGAGTTATTGCCTGAAGACATTCTCGGCATGCCTGAGTCCCAGCGGATGCTCGGCCTGGGCTGGCCCAGCACAGCCTCTCCTTTTTAGGCAGGGCTCTCCCCAGCCAGACGGGCCAGTCCTGGCCTCACTCCTGCCTCCTGGATGAGGTCACTCGGGAGAGTTTTGGGGTGCAGAAAGAAGGGAACGCCCAGGCCCACAGCCACTGGGGCTTTACTGTAGCCTGCCTGACAGAAGGCAATTGGAGAGAAACTGGGGGCTGAACTGAGGTCACCCCCTCTCAGTAGAGTCTGTTCTTTAGGGACAGTCCACCCCCCCCTCCATCCTACAAGCAGCTGTTCCCCCCCCCCAGCCTCATATTCAATGAAAAAAAAGCAAGGCAAGGCCATCTTTTATCACTTGCATTGGGCAGCAGCATCTGTAGAGATCAAAATGCCAATTTTCTTCAACAGTGTTTTATACCAAGAACCATTTCAAAGGAAAACCGTCTCAGCTGCAATCCAAAACCAGGAATGGTCAAATATGGAGGGAAGGCCCAATTGTTGAATGGGAGCACTCGGCTTCCGCCTCCTGAACTGGCCCTTCTGATCTTCTCCTGTCACCCCGCCCCTCCTCCATGTGCAGCCCCTGCATCATGGTGACTATCTGCAGAAGCTGCCTCCCCCCCCACCCAGGAAACCAGAGCTGGCTTGCTTGGGGGGGGGGTCAAAACTAGGGAGGGGCTCCAGGGACCGCTCAGCTGCGCAGACCTTCAGCCCCTCTAACCTGCATTGAGGAGGCTCCTGGGCCCACTTCCTCCCCATAGGCACCCACAGGGCTTGAGGAGGAGGCTCCCCCCTGCCTGGACAATGCTGCAGGAGGGGGCCCGAGTGGCCATTACTCCCTGCTCAGCAAAGAAGGCAGCTACCTCACAGGGGAGGCCCCTTCGGAGGTCAATGCAGGCACCAAGGAAGGGAGCAGAGTCAGTTTCCGAGGGCTGCCCCGCTGAACAGGAGCCCAGCTGTTCCGCCTGCAGCTTCTGCTGGACACCAACAGAAGGGGCTTTTCTCTCTGTTGTTGGCCGAGGAAGGAAACTGACAGAGAGGCAACCCAGGCAGCATTTGAACCCATTGCCCTGGCTCAGCTTTCAGAGGCTTAGGAGGGCAACTTCATTCCCCTTCTGCACTCTTTTGAGGCCTTGGTGAGGGGGGAGCACACAGCTGTGGCCCCAGCACCCGCCAGCAGGAGACCTGTCCAATCCTTCAGAAGACATAAATCTTGTCACGCTGGACACAATCCAGGTCATCATCCATTGTCAGCAAGACCTGCACAAAGGGAAGGGAAGGCACCATCAGATGCACTGTGGGGGAAGGGATGGGGTGGGTGTGTTTGTTGCTGGCATTCCTCTGCACTTCACTCTGGGTGCTTTGCGAGGTCCCCTGGAGCATTTCTCCAACAATGGCCAGCACTCCCCCACCCAGGCTCTAGCCAAGTTGTGTTCCACTCTGGAGCACACAACAGCGGTGTCCTTCGTGTTGCAACTTTCCCCAAAGGATCCTGACTAAAGCAACTTGAAGGATGTGATTGCCAAGGAAACATGTCAGATCAGGCTCTGGGGTGGGGGACAGGATACGTTCCCCCCCCCCAGTTGGAAATGGGGCTGCAACACAGATGCAGGGCCAGCTGCTGCTGACCCTGGAAATGCCAGTCTGACCCAAGAAGTTCTAGGCTCCTGGCAGAGAGCTTGTGCCACACTGGCAATTCAAGGGCCAGCAGCAACCGGCCCCACATCTGTATTGCAGCCCCTTTTCCAACGGGGGAGGACATATCCTGCCCCCTACCCCAGAGCCTGATCTGGGTCCCACAGCTCCCAGGAAGGGACCGATCTGCCATGGGTTGCAGCGCTTGAGCTCTGGGCCTGCTGAAGAGACGTACCAGGAAGGAGCCAAACATGGCGATGGAGGAGAGGAAGTGCCAGACGTCGTGGTCGTCGAAGAAGCCCAGCAGGAGGCACTCCCGGTTGTGCTCTCGGGATTCAGCCGGAGTTTTCTGTGGGGACCAGTGACCAGCCTCTTTGCAGGGCTCGGGATGGGCAGCAGGCTGGATGAGCCCCCGCCCCGGCAGACCAGGCCAAGCCCAGGGCAGGTGCTCCTCTCGCCTGCTGCCTGCACAGCCCAACCTCTGAATCAGCGGCTTTACCCAATGTGCCCAGCGCTCCGTGCAAGAGCCCAGCACGCAGGGGAACGGATGCACAGACCCAGCCCCCCAGAGAGGAGACCCATCTTTGCATTGCCTGGATGCCAAGCAGCCCCGAGGCAGCTCGGCCTCCTGTGGCGGCAGAGAGAGGCTGCGACTGGGTCCCCCTGGCCTGGCTGAGCTCACCTGCCAGGTGCTCAGGCCCTGGAAGAAGAAGAAGAGGGCGAAGCCCCACACCACGGAGGTGCAGACGATGCAGAGCAGGGAGACCAGCAGCAGACGCTCGCCACTCCGGAGCTGCAGGGGAGGGAGTGGTCAGGGGGGCCGTCTGGGGAAGACCCAACCGTTCCAGAGAGAGAAGCGCCCCCGGCCAGAGTAGTGGCACCTTCATGATGATGTAGAAGGCAAAGTAGAGCAGCAGGTTGCAGATCCCGATGGCCAGCAGGTAGGAGGCGAAGTCGTTGGGGCGCATGATCAGGCCATAGGCCGCCCTGGGGAGAGCAGAGGGGTCGGTGCGGCTTCAGAGCAATTACTGGGCCAACCAACCGTCCTCCTGGCTGAGCCCCTAACTCTGCTCCTCCCCCTCCCCCGAGAGAATCCCCAGGGGGTTTTGAGATCCCAAAGCAGCAGGAAGACCCCCCCTCTTATAAAGCGACTTTTTGCACCCCAAAGGTGGGCAGCCATTCTTCAGTCCAGTGGGGGGTGGGGGCCCAGTTGGCTGCCTCTCGGGCTGGGCAGCTGCCCTTACTCACAGAGACCAATTGATGAAGTTGCCCATCACCAGCAGCACCATCCGATCCTGCAGACAGAAGTGGCGGGGGGGGGGGGGAGTTTGTGAGGCTCCAGGAAAAGAGAATCCTTTCAAAAGTGGGAGGGGGCCACTCCCTCCACTCACCATGTACATGGGCCTACTGCACTGCCGGATGCAGTCTGTGTACAGCACATGGAAGATCCTGCGCCAGGTGCCAGAATCTGGGGGGGAGGGGAGAGACGGAGACGCTGAAGACTCCCAGAAAGGGTGGGAGTGGGCCAGCATCGTGGCCATCCCCCTGGTGGGCAGTCCCACCCAGCTCCCTGGAAGCTCTTTGCGGGGAACAGCCGGCCCCCAACTGCACCCACTCACCCAGTTTCCAGCGGCCCATGTAGTACAGTTGGGTGCTGAGCAGCAGTGTGGACAGGATGTGGATGACCGAGAAGATGATCCAGAAGGCCGTGTTTCCTTTGCCAAAGACCTGGGGGCCAGAGAGCCCTTGAAGGGCAGAACTGACGGGCTTGAAGAGGAGGGTGGGAGGGGGGGCTCCTTTTTGGGGCAAGGAAACCTCCCTCCTCAAACTCGCCTTTTGAGGGAGAGAGGAGGGACGCAGCGTCTCCCTCGGGGGGGGGGGAATCTCAGGGAAGGCACATTTCCTCCCCAGCTCCGCACCCCTTGGAGGCTGGGGCTCCCCCGCTCTCTCCAGGGCTCACAGAGCCTCCCTCCATCTCCCCCAAAGGGTGAGCGCCCTGAGGGAGGCCCAGAGGGGCTGCCGGGGGTCCCGCTTGTGCTCACTCACCACCCCCACGACCGAGAAGAAGATGATGACGGCCAAGCAGGCGTAGGCGCTGTAGGCGCTGGCGTTGATATCGGGGTGCCTCTTCTGGTACAGTTTCAACATGCACAGCCCGGCAATCATGTACATGAACGATGTGTCTGCCATAAAAGAGCCATGGCTGAGTCCAGGGATGCTACTCTCCGCCTGGCTCTGTAGCTCCTCCCCCCAGCTGAATGGCAGTGACAAACTGCAGGGCTGGGGCTTCTGGGGGCCCTTCTCAGGCCTTGGGAGCTGGGTCAGGTCACCCACCAAGGGACGAGGCAGAGGGCCACTCACCAAACTGGAAGTTGGTGTAGTTGGGGCACACGTGGTAGCACGCACTCAGAAGGCCTTCCATCATGAGGGCGGTGCCCATGGCGTAGAAGAGGCCGAAGTGTTTGGGAATGCCACACTCCTGGGAAGGGACACCCATCTGAGAAAGGAGGTCCCTCTGCCCAGCTCCCCTTTCCGTCCGAAACAGAGAGCAGGCTGAGGAGGGCAGAGGGGAAGAGAGGCGAAGAGCCACAGGCCCCTCTCCGGGCAGCGGGTGTGGCCCTGGGGAGAAAGGGGCCCCCTGTGCAGCGGGTGCCTCACCACAGCCTGGAAGTCGTTGCGCACCAAGGCCCGGTTGTAGTGGATCTCGCGCTGCAGGATGATGAGCAGGAAGAGCAGGCCCAGCAGGACATAGCCCAGGTTGCTGAGGATGTTGTTGAAGGCGCTAGAGGGGGGGGGAGGGTGGCGTCAGGCCCCACGGGGTGAGAGGGTCAAGGCAGAGACCACCCTCCCAGTTCGTACCTGAGGTTGCTCAGAGGGTGTGCGCAGAGGAAGTTGTAGTAGCAGATGTCCTGGTTCCCCGTCACGTTCACCACCTGCAGGAGGCAAAGGAGGGGCTGGCCAGGGGCCCAGGAAGGCTCGGGCCGGCATCAAGGAAGCCCAGGGGCTCCAGGCCAGGCTCAGGCCAGGGCCAAAGCAAGAGTGGGGGCCCAAGGGTGGTCAATGCTCTGAGGAAAAGGGGTTACCGTCTGGTAGGTGATGACCAGCTGGATGACTGGGAGGGCATAGAAGACAGCGATGGTGGCAATATTCCTGCAGCAAAGGGAGGGAGGGAAGGAGGGACGGGCGAGAAGAAGTTCTCCATTGGAAGACTCTGGTCAATTGCCCCGGCAATGCACAGCCTGTGGGGGACGCACAGCCAGCCCCCAGTCCCACCCAACTATCTCACCAAAAGTAAATCTGGTATTTCTTCCGTAATACTCGCTTATCTTTGCGGGCCAGATCTGCAACACACAGGAATTTCTGCAACAAACACAAGCATCTCGTGAGGAGATGCCAAATTCCCTCGTCTTCCCTGGAAACCTCCCCCTGCGCAGCCTGAACCTGGCAGCGTCTCCAACGGGACGTCACCTCTGTTGGCATCCAGGAAGAGGCTCCTGCAGGTAACGGGAGGGGGCACTCAAGTTGCCCCTGAGCTCACATAATTCACAAACTCCTCTTCCCTCAGGCCCAAATTTCACAGCTCTTTAGAGAGGCCCGAGGCCTCACTGCATCCAGAGCAATTCTCAGCCTGCTTCTGAGGACCCGCAGCCCTCCTGGGCCCCTCCTCAAAGAGGCTGCATTTTTGGCGGGGCTTTGTAGCAGCCGCTGCAGCCCCCCAGAGGATGAGATGTTGGGCCGCCGGAGCGGTGCCCACTCTCGGTAATCTTCCCCTCCCTAATTTCTGGGCATCATGCCTCGGAACCCGAGAACCGGCCCACTCCCACGGGGCAACCTTGGTGCGAATGACGTTCTTGTCTGACTCGATGTCGGCCAGTGTGTCGTAATCATCCTCTTCCACGGAGCTGAGCGAGTCGAGCCGGGGGCGTCCCACCAGGTTCTCTAAGGAGCGATCTGCAGAGGGTGAAAACCCAGCATTACAGCAAAGATTTGGGGCACTCCATGTCTTGAAAGGGTCAGACAGTCTGTGCCATCGAATTACCGATGGAACCGACTAGAGCCTGCTGACAGCTGGCCTGTCTGGACGTTGACTGGGCAGGCGTCCCGAGGAGAGACAGGGCCCACAGCAGCCTCCCCGCTTCCCAAGCACCCTCGCCCTGCTGATTGGAAGCCATGCAAGCCCCTGGCATGGGGAGGAGAACCATCATGCAAACTGCCCCTCCCCTTGAGCTTTCTGAGGGGCCACCATTTTCTCAAGTGCAGAGGGAGCAGCAGCTTGGAGGCAGCCTGGGGGGCATGGAAGATTCAGGAAGACGGTGCTCCCTCCCTGGCCAAGGGGCAGCCCTTCAGGAAGCCTCAGTCCATTGAGGGAAAGGGGGGCTCTGGCCTCCCACCGACGGTGCCCTTGCCAGCCAAGCAGCAACGGGGTCAGGTCTGCACAGGCCAGGCCCTTGATGGATGCCCTGGTCCTTCAAAGCTGCTCTGCCAACTGTTCCCTCGGGAGGCAGAAAGGCCACCCAGAGATCCTCAAGGCGAGGAGCAGCTAGGAAAGAGCATGTGCAGAGAACATGCTGTGCCCCACTGACAGGATCAGGGAGGAAGCGAGAGGCACACACCTCATCACTCCCTATTCTTTTCAATCACAGCCCATATTTTCAAGCTCAGAAATACTTTGCAAGAACATTTCTTCTCTGCAGAGCCCCGAATAGAGAGATCTGGCCCATTGTTGGCCAAGGAGAACCACCAGGCTAGGCAAGGGGCACAGTAAGGAGATGCCAGGCTGACAGGGAGACCAGTCTCTCTACCCATTGCAAAGGCTGCCCAGTGTCTCTGCCGCTGCTGGCACAGATCCTGCCCTTGGGGAGAGAGGAAAGAGTTACACAAAGTGGGCACAATCCTGTCCAGCCAGGCCCATTGGGAAGCTGAGGACAGTGCAGCCCAGTTCCGGCCTCCTGGAGAGACCCCGCATGCATGGAAGTGGCAGCCGGGTGAGAGGAAGCATCCTGAGTGCCAGCATGCCAGCCACACATCTCACCAGCGTAATTGGAAGAGGTTTCCGTGGAAAGCAGGCTGTCCGTGACATTCTCGCTGCTGGCAGCTGACCCAGTGTCTGCTGGGGGGAAGGGAGTGGGCCCCCAGGTAAGTCACCAGACAGGTAGGAAAAAAAGCCACCTGCAGGTGCAGGTGGCACTAAAGGAAAACACCCCCAACAGACAGGAGCCCCCCTCCTCTGTCTGGCTGGGAGGCTGGAACTCACCAAAGGACCCGTAACTCTGACTGCCAAGAGGAGGGTGTCCGTGGAAGGAATCCGGGAGGTCCTGGGGATTCCCTGCAACAAAAGAACCACAATCCAGCTTGGAAACGGGGAGCTGCATCAGGTACTAGTGCCTGGCTGGCCTTGGACCAGCCAGCCCAACCAGCTCTGAGGATGATAGCCCATCCCTCTGCATCTGATCTCAGGGCCTATCCAAATGGAAGTGGGTTTTCCCCCAGCACAAGAAGCAAGAGAAGTAGAGGACGGAGATACTGACTGCTTACCAAGGAGAGAAGCTTGGCGCGGAGCAGCATCCAGGAAGGAAAGGAAAGGAAAGGAAAGGAAAGGAAAGGAAAGGAAAGAAGACGTTTATGGATATAAATTAAGGTAGCTGCCTGATGCAAGGGAAATGCATGCCGTAGTTCTGAAACGTGGCTCTAAGGTCTTCAGTGAGGTCTTCTCTACATGCCAGCTCCTAGCCCAAGACTAACAAAATCTGTTACGTCTATGTAACATGCAAAACCAGCAACTAGGTCCTTGCAGCATCGCATTTCAGCACAGTCCAGCATGTTGTGCAAACCCATCATGATTTATGGAGCTGCATTTGAAGCTGATTCAGTACTGGAGCTCCAGCAACTGAGAGCTGGTCCCTGCAAGAGTCACACCCCAACTGGATTTCAGCGCGCACCCTCGCCACTCCCCACCGTGACTCAGCAAAAGGCCTGCAGGAGTCAGAACCGTGAGCACCTCAAGCAGAAGCCGAACAAAAGGAGAGGCCCACCCCTGGCCACAGACCCCACACTTCACGACGGCACCAGACCCCCACCTACCTCGCACACTCCCATCAGAGCACGGTGTGTCCACAGCACTCAGGAGCCGGAGCTGCTGCTGCCTCCGCTTCTGCTGCCTGTCGAGCAAGGAAGCCCCCTGAAAGGATATGCGGCTGCCCTCCCTGGAACCCCCTCCACGCGGTTACCGAGTCCCCCTCCTCCTCAGAGGAAGCAAGCATTAGATGGCATGAACACTGTTGCCCTAAAGGCCCTCTTGCCTTGTCTGCCATCCAGCCCTGCCACAAAAGCAGGGGAAAGCCACGTTCTCTGCCATGACCAAGCCCCCACTGGCAAGGAAAAATGGGGTCCATGACGGCAAGGAGGAGAGGAGAGGCTGCCATTCCCACCAGGAGAGGGACCCTGATGGGCAGACTCACCGCCAGTTCTCCCAGCAGACAATGAGCACTGCCAGTATGTAGAAGGACAAGAAAACGCCCAGGCAGAAGAGGATCCCGTTCACATAGGCCTCTGCTGCAGAAGAGGCAGGGAGATGGCCTCACGCACCTGGCAGGCCTTGCTAGGTAGCCCCAGCGGGTCAAGAGCTGCCAATCCCCCTCCCCTCCCACCCCAGCAGCTTTCCTTCCTTGCAGCCTCTCGGCCTCTCTCAACCACTAACCTCAACTCAAAGGTTTCTGGAGATTCAGCCCCCCTCCCCCAAGCCCTCTGCTACCTGCTACTTAGGTCTACAGAGGAGCCAGCTCCAAATCAGGAGCAGGGGGAGCTGCTTCCCTTTCTCCTCCATACTGGGGAATATGCAGCTGAGGTGCTTGCTTACAACTGACAGCAGGGGTCACCACAACGTCCAAGGTTTTCTGGCGGTTGCCTTGGTCAACAGGTTCATCTGGAAGATACAAAGTCCGGGACCAGCTCACCTGTGGAAGAGCCCAGCTGCAAGTCCCCTTCACTGGTGATCGGGCAGAGCTGGATCAAGGCCTGGTTCTGAGGGCCCTTCCTTCAACAAGCCACCTCCTTGCTAATCACGAAGGGCTCCCTGGAGGCCTCAAGCCCTGAGCTCAGGTAAGCTCAGGCAAGCCATCTTCTTGCCCCAAAGACGGGGCACTGGACTAGCTGTAAAAGTGGAGGCCAGAAGGCTGAACGACTCTGGACCTCCATGGCCTCTTAAAAACCTTTCCACTCTCTCCAGCTGTTGCAAAAGAACAGACTGCCGGCTTGCCTCTCCTTGCCCCCAAGGTTTCCTGATCTCTTTCCTCTTATTCCAACGTGCACATCTGCTTTCTCCACCAAATGCACTGGTGGAAGCGGCCAAATGGAGAAAGGGGATCAGGGGAAGAAGCCCTGGAACACAGACCAGATTATCTCCAATCCTGGTGTTGGCTTCCAGATCCCTCAAGCGCCAGGTGCCACCCTCCCTGGATGCTCCTTGGCCCCTACCAGTTAGGTGACAAGGCCTCCTCCACAAAAGCTGAACCCACAAACAGGCCTTAGCCCGGCTCCCCCCGATACCTTTGGAAAAAGGGTAGTAATGTAAAGGTCCCCCACAAGCTTCATCTTCAGTCTTCACTACCACGACCACATAGAAACTCTGGCTGGGGAAATCCTTCTTCTGTGAAAAACCAAGGAATGGAGAAAATCTTTGACTGAAAATCAGAAATAAAACTGATCTTCAGACCCAACTGGGCAGCGACAGGCTCCTTGTTCGCCCCTTCAGGTGTCCTGGTTTCTACTCACTAACCGTTGTGTTACAGACAACACGTGGATGAACCCTCCAGAGACTTGAGTTTGTGGTTCAAGATGCTGCTTTAGAAGCCAAGGCAAGATAGGCCATTCAGGCCAACCAATAGCAGCAGCATTGCTGGCTAACTGATGCCCACGGTATCCCACATAACAGGAAGGCGGACTCGGGCAGTCAGATTACAGGGCTCCGACTAGCAAAGGTCCCAGCCAATCAGTTATACCTGCACTGTGATGGCTGCCTTCTTGGTCATGGTCTGGTATGTGCCAATAAAAGCCACGTTGTTATCCAGATCGTAGACGGGACACTGGGCAGTAAGAAAGAAAGCAAGAAGTCAGCCCCTTGGGCGAAAGGAGGCTTGGAGCCTCCTGTGTCCTGTAAGCAACTCCCCCACCCCACCTCACTGACCAGAATGTCCTGGACGGAAATGACCGAACAAGGGAAAGCTGTGGATGAGGTCACCTTAATGATGGCAGAGTCCACCCCCTCTGGGAACTCGTACTTGAAGTACTGTGGGTCAAGGAGAGAGACAGAAGAACCACTTCAGAAGACCCTGGCTGATGACATCTTCCTTTCTTGGAGCAGCACATCCAACCTGCAGGTCCTTCTCTGCCTGCCAGCTGTGGCAGCTCCTTGGGGGCCCTTCCTGAGACTGGGAAGCCTCATCAGGGAGACTAAGGAACCAAGCAGCCTCATCTTGCTTGGAAACCCTGCAGCCGGTGCTCCGAGGGCAGAAAAATCACAGCAAAGAGGCTGCAGCTTGGCAGACAGGGGCCTCCCTCAGCTCCTGCCTGACCCGAGGACAACAGCAAGGCCTGTCCAAGCACTGGGGTGAGACGGACAGAACCTCCGGCTAACTGTCCCTGTTTGACAGCCAGGTCCAGAACTCAGAGGTGCCCAAGCCTTGGCTGGGGAGGGTCTTCTTCCCATCCAGGCTACACCCTCGCCCACCTAGATTGCTGGGAAGCCTACCTGTGGCTGGGCTGCTGTGGCGTTGAAAGTGAACCGCTCACCTGTCCTACATCAAGAAAGACCAGCAGGGATAGCGGTTGGTGCGGGCAGAGCTACCACAAGAGGGGCCGCACTGTCCGTTTGCCCTCTTGGCTCAGAGACCCCGTCAGAAACAGAGAAACTGCTGCTCCTTACTGACTGAAGTTTTTCACAACCCAAGTCCCAAGCACACTTTTGGGACTGCGCATCTCCCAATCTCCCTGCCTTCCAGCCTCCCTCTCCTTTCTCCACCCTCGTCTGTTCAGACCTTCCCCATGGCTGGGACTCTTGCCACACCTTCGCCCTTCGTCTTGGACCGCCAGCTTGGCTCACCTGAGTACAAAATTCTCCACACGGGAGACCCGCAGTTGGTAAGAGGCGTTGCTGGCCGAGAGGGTGGAGACGTCCACAAAGAAGAATTGCATCTCGACCTCACTCTTGGTTGGAGGCTGGCACAAAGTGCGGCTGACATCTTGGTAGAGATACTTCCTCTGGAACCTGCGGGTGGGGGATAGGGTGGGAGAAGGAGCTGCTGCGGGCATCCTGGGGGCCCTTCCAGGCGGCCACAGAGTGATCGGGCCTCACACTGAGGTGCCCTAACCCAGCCAGCCTTTCCGTTTATAGAGGGCAGCTTGAGGACCAGGCAAAGCCGAGGTGGGGCCAGGACATTGTCCCAGGCTCCCACAAATTGGCTGGGTAAGGGCGCCAGCTGTTGGCCCCAGCGGGCTCTCCCGCCTGTTGGCTTCCCAGCTGGGCAGTGCCATGGGAGGACGGCGGGGCCGGATACTCACAGGCCGCGGAGGATTAAGGGCACTTGGAAGGAGACCACCGCCTCCTTCTGCCGCACCACGAAGAGCACCGGCCTCTCCTTCTGCTCGGAGAGCACGTTCACCGACACCCGGACGCCCTCGGTCTGTGGGGCCACGAGAGAGCGGGGACTCAGGTCGAGCAGCCCCATGCCCGGGACCTCCGGCCTCGGGAGGGAGGTGGAGCCGGGCGTGATTCTCGGGCCAGCTGGCAGGCAGGCGCGGGGCAAAGGTCGGAGAGCCGAGCGGCGGAGGGCGAAAAGGGCCTCGCCTGGCGCGGAACTCCGGGCTCCCTCTTCGGCAGGCAGACGCCCATCGGGGCGCCCGGCGCTGCCGCCGCCCCCGCTTCCTGCCGCCCGAGGTGCCAGCGCGTCGTCCGGGACCGGGCGGAGGCGCTCATCCGGCAACCCGGATTGAGCGCCGGGCCCGGGGCGCGGCAGAGGGGAGCCCCGGGGAAGCCGGGCCGAGGCGGCCGGCCGCTGCTGTACTCGGGCGGCGGCAGCTCACCCGGTTGCGCGAGACGGTATGATTGAAGGCGTAGATGTTGAGCAGCTTCTCGTTCACCGCGTCGCCGTAGAGCCGCTCGAAGGCCGCCTCCTTCTGCACCACGCGCTTCTCTGCCGGCCAGGCCGCGGCCCCGGACAGGGGCAGCAGCGGCAGCAGCAGCAACAACGGCAGCGGCGCCCTCAGCATGGCCAGCGGGCGGGCGGCGGGGGCCGTCGGCCGCGAGGACGGGCGCTCCGCTCGTCTGGGCGGCACCGCCGAGGCTACGTCCTTTAAAGGGGAGGCGGCGAGGGCGGGCCGCGGAGAAGAGGCGGCCAGCCTTCCCGAGCAATACGGTGCGCCGCGGTCGAGAGGCCGGCCCGGCTCGGAAGGCGGCGGCCGCGCCCGGCTGCGAAGCTCCCGAGGCGTGAAGACCCCAGCCACAGCCCCCACCAATGAGAAGCTGACAAGGCGATTCGGTGGAACACAGATCTTTATATGGAAACACGCACTAAACCAGTGAGCTCTCCCGGCCATCAACGCCACTTAGCCAGAGTAGATTCATCCCTCCAAGGCGCAGGGAAGCCACTGATGTGGGGTCACCGAGTGACTGCTGCACCCCAACTTTCAGCTCTTCCTACAAAGCCAAGGGAGTCGGCCCCTTCCCACATGCATGTTACAAATAAAAGACAACCACCCCTTCATCTACACTCCCCAACTGCTGCGATAAATAGAAAATAAGCAACGCTTGTACATCACAGGACAGACAAGATTCGGGGTGCAGCACACGCTTTCATACAGGAACAAGAGGAGGGGGACTCCAAGGAAAAGCAGAGGAGGAGCCTGGTTATATAAGCAAGTGGTGCTCCTGGGCTGGCAGTAGGTGAGCCAACCTGAATCCTCAACAAATCTGAACACCTCTGTGGGGTACAAGGAAGCAGCAGGATACTGGCCCCAAGGATACAGCAAGGAGCTCAAGAGACTCTGGCGAGGCCGCCAATCCCATGGCAAGAGACTGTGCTTTTGTATCAAGATCAAGTCTGCATCCGAGGACGAGGGCCACTGGCAGCTGGAAAGTCCTGTATGCAAGCAAAACTGCTGGGCTACAAAGCGGCCACAGCTCCGAAATGGCTCCCAACCAGCCAAACCTGGTGCGAGCATTAGGCCACTGAGACTGCCCCTGCCGGCTCCCAGTTCCCATCCCAGAATGTCGACACAGAGCACTCAAGAGAGTGTGGATTCACTGGGAATGTTTTGACAGAGCAAAGCCTTGTGCTTTTGTCAAGCTGAAGCCTGTGCTGGGAGATGCAAGAAAAAAAGATGACGGGCTAGATGACCAACCAGGGCAGGAGCCTCAAGAAGGGATGCATGACCAAGAGCTCGTCCACGAACTAAGACGCCTTCTCAGAACAAATCCAAAACCAAGTGGGTAACGGGTGATCTTCCAGGGTCTACAGCAGATGGGGGAGGGAAATTATGACAACATTTGGATGGTCACACACTGCATCTCTTACACTGTGCTCTCGGGTTTCAAACTGTATTTGGGGAACTGGGGCAGCATCCCCTTGACCAATCAGGTGAAAAGAGGTAAAGTATCTTCCTTCTTCACTGCCTGTTTAGGGACAAAATCTTTCTCCCACAATCTCACTTGTTTTCTAAGACTGAAAAGTCCTTCCCAGAAAAATCTCATCCAAATATAAACTTGAGGCCTTTCACTTCAGAAACTTTTTCTAAAAACTTTTCATGACACCAAGCCCAGAGAAAGAGGCCTATTTTCTGGCAGAACTGAAATATCCTGGGCAGATGAAATGGCTGCAGCCAGAGGCCTCATTTGCATGAGTAGAATACTTGTATAAGGTTGACCCAAAAAAGAAATGGATGCCCTGGGATTATGAAGCTCAAGCCTTGGAAGAAGGGAAAGGGCTGGGGAGGGAGGGTGCAATGGAACAATCACTTGCTTTCTGCTCTTAAAAAAGTGAGCATTCTGAAGCAGGAAATCACCTAGCAAAAAGCATCAGTTTGATCTGGATGGGAATGAGCAGATAGCCTCCAAGGCCTTGGACGAGTTGAGAGTGTTGCACCAACACACCTCAGAGGCAAGTCTTTCCAAAGCTGACCACATCCCACCCTGTCCCCAGCAAGGGAATCACATCCTTTTAACAAAGAAATGAAATAGCCAAGTTAAATGTGTTCACTCATTCAACACATAATTGTTCGCAAGTATCAAGTTGTCACAAGTAGCTGTCTCCTGTTCTGGTTTGTTTGTTTCCCAAAGCAAGAAAGCAGCTAATATCACTTAAAACAAAAACCCAAACCCAGTAAATATAAAAACTCTTCAAACAATTCCAATTTTTAAAGAAGCAGCTACTTTTCAGTTCAGGGGCTGGAATGTGAGTACGACCAATGAGTTTAGGCATTTCAGCTTTGAAGACAGCCTGGATATCGAGGAGTCGGGAATGGGAATGAGAGCAGAAGAAGCCAGCAGGTTGCTGACCAGCATGCTCAACCCACGAGCAAGAAACGGCTTAGGGGAGATCCTGTTCCTGTTAGAGGAAACCTGTTCAGGCCAAGTGAGCAAAGAGGCCTTGGGAGATCTTTGGCCAGCCACAGGCTGTGAAACTGGCCACGCTACCCCCCACCTCCCTTTTCCAGTGCTAAACACAACACCCAGTAACATTCAACAATGGAAAGCACGTCGAGCGAGGATTCAGTAGTGCCATGGAAAAAAGAACTGGGCTGATGGCGCTGGGATGGGGCTGGATGGGAGGCTGTCAGGCCAGAGTTGCCTGTTTCTCTTCTGGGGTTTCCTCCAGCAGCTGCATGATGAGTTCATGGAGGGGTTTGCAGATCTTTGTGTAGCCAGCACCCGTTAGGTGCAGAAAATCGAACATGTCATGGCATGAAATGGTGCCATCCGAGTGCACAAAGCCCCCATCCACATCCAGCAGCTGGACTCCAGCCAGCTTTGGCAGGGAGGTCTTCAAGAGATGGTTCACCTTGGAGTTCTTCTGCCGCAGGGGGTTTGGCTTCTCGCCTCGAGGGAGCAGGCCCTTGAACGAGGGAAGGAAAAACAGCAGGTTAGCAGGCTCCTATCCTTAGGGAAAGCTCACCCCCAACCCCTGGCCTAGCATCACTCTGTACGCTGACACTGCCCTGCGCGCTGTCTGGACATGGACATACAGGTGCTGCCTCTCTGGCAAGCTGAGACCTTTGTTCTTACTTGTCTTTCAGAAGTATCTATAGTCTTCCGGTACTAAAATGTCTTCCAAATTCCCATAGATGCATTTTTGGCTTTTCCACAGCCATTTTTTAAATATTAATTAGCACGGGAAGAATTGTGAAAGAAATTATCCAGATGCTTACAAAAATTAAGCTGTCAAAATCAATGATTAAATTAGTGATTGTCTGAGGCAGATTTCTAGTTCCCTTCCTCAGCCAATGTAACTCTTCTCCAATTGATTTTCTCTAACAAAGGCCAGCAGGCTACCACAGCTGTTCTCATGATGCTTCTCTTCCACCTGATTAAAAAACCCATACAAATGCATCAAAGATGCTATTTTTACATACCAGTACAATAATCTTAGCCTGGGGCTGCTGAATATTGATCAGTCTCACAATGGCCTCTATTCCACCAGCTATTTCCTCTGCTGTGTTTTCATAGTTGTTTGTTCCAACCCAAACAACGATGACCTGTGATTGAGGGACCAGAAAGAGACAAACCGCAGTGATTTCTGCGAGATTTCCCGGCTTCAGAGGAAAAGGAAACATGACATGCTGCCTCTATAATGTCAGTGCCCAGAGAACACGGCAGTCAGAAGCTCTCTGTTTCCTTCCCAGTCACAGATATCAATCGGACTGTGAATGTAATAGCTGTGAATTAAAATAACATAGAAATGCTTTAGGTAGAACAAAACCTTGCAAAGGGCTGTGGTATGTGTGTGTGTCTGGGAAAGAGGGAGAGAGAGAGGGAGGGAGAATGAAGACTATACCGCAGGAGGTTTCTTGTTCTTTCTCATAATTACAAGCACCCTACCTTGGGCTTAATATTTTCCAGTTCACCGTTCTTCAGTCTCCACAAAACATGTCCTGTAGTGTCTCCACCAATCCCAAAATTCAGTGCATGTAATGGTGAAAAAAGTTCTCGCCATATCTGCAATGATAAATTTTAGGAATCTTCCTTGAAGAAAAGCAGGGGATTTCAGGAATAAACTATTGATATAGTTAAGCATTCAGAGGTTGATTAGATTAAAAAAAGGGAACATGTTTATTCAGGCTGAAGCAAAGGGTTCACCCTGGGTCATTTGCAATCCATATAAGGATTTAAATCATCTGGAGGCCTGGAAATCATCTTATGATGTCACTGAACTTCCTGGACTGGGAATGGAATCAATTTGTCTTTGGAAAACCTCCCATGGCCTTTCCCACTATGCAACACAACTAACACAAGAAACAACCAAATTATGATATTGAAATCCAGCCACAATGTTGTCTGTGAGATTTTCAGATGCTACATTGTCCCCCAAGGGCCAGATGTTGCCCACCGAGGTGGCCCCTGGTCTGCCCTAGCTGTTTGTGCATCCTCAAACCGCTTACAAATATGCCTTCGGGGGAACAGATGCAAAGAACCTTTTCAGCATGATAATCTGCATTCTGCATGATAATTTTGCAGAATGAGTTTTGAGGAACAGTCTCCATAAGAAGGCTTTCTGGGGTGAGTGAGCCTTTGCCCTATTTTTTCAAATCAGAATTATTTATCCAAGCTTTTCTACTGGAAATCAATGTTTATTTATTGTAATTTTACTGTTTATTGCAGATCAATTTAAAGATGAACAGAAAAGATGAAATCCTATATAATGATGAATGTGCAATTTTACTAAACCACAAGCAAGTCCACTAAGTGGATCAGATTCGACCAGCCGTGGATTTCCGCAGGAACCCCGGAAAGTCCTCCAGCGCAGCGCAGAGTACCTCGTATTGCTGCAGCAGCTGCACCATGGAGTCGCCCACGAACAGCACGTCGGGCTCCTTGTCCTTGCAGTCCAGGACGAATCGGCTGTGCTGGAGGGAAGGAGGCGAGCAGCGTGAAGGAAGGCCGTCGTTTTTCCACGCCGGCCCCTTCACCAAGAGGGCGGGCGGAGAACGGGCGAAACGACCGAGGGCCACGCTCTAGGGCAGTTCCGGGAGCGCGGCCGAAGCCCCCCCGCAGCAAGGCTCACCTGGGACATCCACCGGCCGTCGCCCTGCACGTCTTCCGCGATGTGGGGCGTCGCCGCCGGGTTGGAGTCGCCCTGGCTCATCCGGTTCCTGCCGAGAGACGGGGGGAGGGGAGAGGGGCGCGTGGGCGGGCGGGCGGACGGGGAGCGGAGGCCGCCCCGCCCCGCCCGTCGCCATGGCAACCGGGCGCCCGGGGCCCCGCGGGGCGGGAGGAGGCGGGCTCGGCGGAAACTGCCCAGAGGGGAGACACGTCCCTCGCCCGTCCCGCACTCACGCTGCCGGCGACTGCGGCTGCCCCCGCGCCTCCATGGTGGCTTCCCGGCGACGATCCGATCTGCCTGCTCGGCCTTCTCTCGCCCTCCCCCGCTCCGGCCGCCACGCAGCGCGCCTGCGCGATGATCCGCTTCCGCCGTCTCGGCAGCTCTCGCCGGAAGTCCCGCCCCTTGGCGCCTCGGTGTTCTCCGGGGGGGGGGGCGGTCGGGCTTCTGCCCTGCTGCTCGCGGGCTTTTTTCGCCGGCGCCCTGTCGGGGGCGGGAAGAGCGACGCGCCTGGGGGCGGGGCCTCGCCCGGTGAGGCGGTCTCCAGGGGGAGCCGCCGGTCCCGTGGAGTTGGCGTCGCCGAGGGGCTCGGCTGTGCCCGCAATGCTTGTGCCCGCATTTCTGAGCGTGGCCCGGAGCCCGGCAAGTGCCCACGGCGGTCCCGACGGCTGAACAGCACAGCCCGGGGAAATGGCTGTCGACTGTGGGATTAAGGCCCCGCTGTAGGTCAAGTCCGACCCCTGCTTGGAAGGGCGTCTGCCTGCGAGGCCTTGGGTCAGCACAGCTTTCCGCCTGAGGCGAGCCAAGCCTTCAGGAGCCTCGATTTGGGGGCGCTCCAGAGCAAGCCCCGATGCGGCGCGTCTGCTTGAGGCCAAATCGCAGTGCGGAGCTGGTGATGTAAATCGGAAGGAATAGGGAAAGGGCCTTCTGCTCTGCCTGGTCCCGGACCCCATTTCTTCAGCATCCCAAAGCCTCTTAGCAACTAAGGTTTTTCGTGGAATGGACAATAAATATTTGAAATCCACTAAGCTGGGCCTGGTTATCTGAGTTTGAAAATTTCTTAGAAATCCAAAATAGTTGACATTTTAAAATTGGAAACAATGAAATGTTAACCACTGGATGATCGTGTTTAAAGTCCCAAAGCAAAAATATGTTCAATTGTAGAGTTGCAAAGGAATTACCTGTGTACAGTTGCCACAGTTTCCCTCAATTCAAAGCATCTCATCTTTTCCTATTAAGATCATATTCCTTGGTGCTAATATCCTTCATACAATCTTCCACCTCGTTGCTGTTAAAGAACCAAATTCCTTTCCATCTCCTGATGTCTAGAGACTTACATGTTAACATCCTTGATTGTCTTCCTTGCCAGAAGAGGCGCCCACTAAGTAGCCAAGAACTGGATGCCTGTCACTGTAGGGGTATATTGAGAGCCAAAGATTTTCAAACTGCAGATGTCAGTTGTTTGAGCTAGTAGTTACCTTGCTCCAAGGCTGATTAAGTACAAAGAAAAACTCTTAAGCTGTGGGAAAAGAAAACAAAATATTTAGGGTTAGGGCAGGGAGTAGGAGATGAAACTGTACTCTTATTAGCACAGAACATCAGCTACTCTCTTGTTTTTCCCCAGATAAAATGTCCTATCTAGCCTTGCCATGCAATGTCTGGGAAACCTCTGAAATTGAATTTGAGCAAGAGGCTGACACCTTGGGCATTTTTGAGGTCACAGAAAACAAGGCGCAGATGACTGAATAAAGGAGGGTGGTGGTGGAATGGGAAAAGCCAGATAAAGCAACAGTACAGAATATGCATTTTCACCTGAAATCCACAAAAGGCCAGGTTAGCCATCTAAGTATGAGGCAGTTCCTTCCTCCTCTCCATGCAAGGATTACCCTTTGATTCTTTTTTTCAGCAGTAACCACACACCTGTTCTTTGCTTTCAGGGGAAATGAAGCTCCAGTGTTGCCATTGGCAACCACTGGACTGCTGGAGACTAATTCAGCTGTTTCCCTAGGCAACAGTTGGAAGGAAGCAGCTTTAGTAAAAGATGCAGGCCACAGATCTCTACGTGGAGCAGAGCCCATCAGCCAGCAGCAAAGTCAAGCCCTTTAACTCTTGGAGTATGTGTAGGTGTTATGCAGCATTTCTTTTTTCCATTGCCTGCATGGTCCATAGTCATTGTCCTAGTTTTCTTCAGTCTCCATCTCACAAGGGGAAGGGCTGCTTGCTACCTGCACTGTATTAAACTTCATAATCTGGAATTGTGCCAAATTAATCATGAGTGGACAACATTTATGACAGATTGGAACTATCATTACCATGTATTTAACTCTCAAATTCTGGAAGCAGCAAGCTTTTTCTATGGCCAGCAAGATCATTTGGTAACTATTAGAAAAAACAATGAGGAAGATGAGAAATATAAAATGGAAAGTTACCCTCCTCTTACCTTTTGAAGATCTGGTAAAAAAAAAAAGGCAGAAAAGGAGAAATGTGATTATCTTTGTCAGGGATGGAATCTTACAATAGCAGGGTATATGGAACATCTAGTCTCAGTGCAGCTACTCTTCTAATGAGCTCAAATATGGAACTCATCTTCCCCACACCTGTTGCTTGTAGAATGCCACAGGAACATAAGTATGCTTCAGCTGACAAAAAGCCAGTCTATCCAACCTTCTGTGGCCAACCTGGGGCTAGTTCCCAAGAACATGAAGCAACAGCAATTCTCTTTTGGCTGTGCTAGTAATTCATACTACCGGTAAAATCTATTTTGCTTTTCTTGTTGGTTAAAGCATCACTACTTAATAAACTTAATAAACCACCAACTACTGAAGTGCCTGTGATGAAAACATAATTTAAAATGTACAAGCAGAAAAATTAACATCAACAATTATGATAAATCAGAGCCTGTATATTTAAGGTTTTTTGAACAGCTAGCAAAGAGATCAACTTCAATTTTAGGGAGTGCATTTTAAAGAACTGGGGGACTGTGGAATACAGAACTGCAATGACTTTCCATTGACAGCCATATCTTCCATGAAGTTGCTCAGAACCCAGGATAAGTAAACTAGGTTTATCAGATAAATCTTTCAAGAAATCTCCACTCTTCATGAATCCTAGGGCACTGGCAAGGTCCTGGGAGGGTTTTATTTTAGTCAAGCGCTCTAGAGGGCACCAAGATATCCTTCCCAGCTGAGGAACCCCAGCCTGGAAGTTGCTCCTCAGAGTTCCCAGCTTCACTCCAGGGCGGTGCAGTGCCTTCTGTGCCTATTGCTGTACAGACTGTTATGGAGTCTGGCCTGGAGTGCTCAGCACAACTCAGTATTCTGACTCAGGTTTGTTCAAGCTTTTAAGACTGAGAGCAGATTGTTCTTTAGCCCTCTGAAAAAGACCAGGAAGTTATGACATTTCCTGTTGGGACTTGTGAAGAATCTGTATCCATTGAAAACTAAAAGCTATGCTAATGCAAGGGCTTTTTTCCTACTTTTGTCATACAAGAACAACAGAGAGGTAATTCCAACTATCTGTTGAAAAGTGTGGTTGCTAGTTGCAATCTTCTGCAGAAAAATCTAATGATACCTGTAGGATTCATCTTAATTCTATCTTACTGTTATTTTATAAACTGCAGACAGGAGCTTTTTTGTATTATTGAATAATCTTTTCCTTTGCTGTGGTTTTACCTCCCAACTTTCCTTTCAATTCATGATAGATGACTCCATTCAGGGAGCTGTTATTTGGCTCGAAAAAAGTGCGTTTAGGTATTGGCTACATCTTTCTACCACTGCTTCCATTGGTTTAAAAAAGCAGGACGCCTCGCCTCCTGGGGCGTTTCTTCCTCGGTCCTGCTCCAACCGGTTGCCCGAGAGCAGCTGCTCGAGGCTCCCCGGCTCTCTAGTTGCTATGGGGGCGTTCCTCCGGCGACTGCCCTGCTCGGGATCCGGCGCCGAAAGACAAGGGGCTGAAGTTCCGGGTGGGAAGCCAGGCTCGGGCCCTTCCTCTGCCAGGGCGAGGCTGAGTCGCCCCGGTCCGTGTCCGACCTCGACCTGACCGCGCGGGGAGGCCTCGGGCCTCTGCGTTGAACCAAGCAAGCGGGGTGGAGGAAGACTTTCAGGGAGCCTTCGGCTCGCCAACAGGACCAGGTCGGCGCTGAATCAGGCCGAGGACGGGTATCCCGGAGGTAGCTGCTGCTGCTGCTGCCTCCTTTCCAGGCCCCACGACGAACACCGGGAAGCCCATCAACCGCGGCCCTCCGAGACCGCTCGGCCCGGCAGGCGCACCACGTCCCCGACGGCATACGAGGCGGCTTGTGCCTTCGCGCGCGCCGTAGCGCTCCTCCGCAGGCCAATCAGGGCGCAGCTCACAGCGCCGACGTCCTCTCGCGTCACAGCCGTCGCTGCCGGGCGCGCTCCTCCTCCGCCGGTTGCTATGGCGGCGGCGGCGACCCCGCCCCTGTGCGGATGAGCTCACGCGGTGCCGCAGCTCCGGGAGGCGGCGGCGGCGGCGCGGGGGGAGGGTCGTCGTCGGCTCCTTCAGAATAAGATGGCGGCGGCTGCGGTGTCCGGGGGGGGCCCGCTCGCGGCCCCGGGCCCCCGCCTGGCCCCGCCGCCGGCCGCGGGCCGTCCTCCGGGCCCCGCGCGCATTGGCTACTACGAGATCGAGCGCACCATCGGCAAGGGCAACTTCGCCGTCGTCAAGCTGGCCACGCACCTCGTCACCCGCGTCAAGGTGAGCGACCGCCGGGGCGGACCGAGCCGGGCGCGCCTGCCCCCTCCCCGCCCCGGGAGTCGGGCGACGGTGGGCTCTGCTCCGCGGCCTTAAAGGCGGCCCGCCGGGCAGGCAGTCGGGGGGTCCGACGGTGAAGCCCCGGCCGGGCCTAGATCGGGAGGCCGGCGCTGCGGCTGCAGGGTGCGCGCGGCCCCGCAGGCGCTGGGGCGAGCAGGCCCCGTGGCGGCCTCCGGGGCTCCCAGCCGCTCCCTCCCCGACCGCGTCCAGGGATTGGTCCCCCGAGCCCGAAGGGCGCCCCAGTCTTGACGCGAGTCTTGGAGACACGTGAGAACGTCCCCCACGGCGCTTCTCGTCTGAACTTGCGGGGAGGTTTCCTTTGCTTTGGCCTGCGAGGGAGGAGCGCTTCGAGGGGGGAGTCTGCGCGGCGTGTCCCCTGACCCGCTTTCCGCCTGCCCCCGGGGGCCTTTCTGCCGTGGGAAGCCGGACTGCGGTACAAAGGGCTCCTCGGGGCACCACAACCGCGCCTGGGCAGCGTCTACTAATCGGGGCGGGCAGCTGAGCCGGGCGCCCAGCGTTCGATGGCGCCGGTGGGCCTTCGCTGCCTCCGCCGGCGACGGGCCAGAGCGAATTGCTCCGAGACCTCAGGAGGAGTTCAGTCCCTGGGATAAGGCAGCCGCATCCCTGGGATTCTGCCCGAGTTTTGGTGGTGAAGCTTAAACTGACCTAACCTGCTGCTCCCGAGTTATTTTCCGTGCAAGGCGAGTGGGCGCAAAGTTTCCTGAATGTTTCTGCATACAGAGTAGAAATAGACCTTGTTTGGTCTTTATCGAAAGCTGTGGGTCTCGCCATCCAATGTGAATCTGGCCCAGAATTCTATTACTGCCAGGTGAGAGAGAGTATTGGCATCATGAGTTGGCACTCTTGCTGTTTGCCTTGGCCCTGAATCGCTGCCAGGGACAAATTGCCAAATCTGGAGGAATTCCACATCGGTGTCTTTGGGATGATCCAGCAGAACTACCCGGTCACCTCTGTGCTGAGGTTTTGCTTCTGTTCAGGGCAGAGAGCAGGGAAGGTCATTGGGGCAATCCTAAGACTTGAGGGCTAGCTTGCCTCCAATAGTTTCAGCTTGTGCAGTGAGATCAGACAGGGGAGCATTTAAGCTCTTTGATTACATAGTGTCACATATTTAGGAAGCGTGCTTGCCTTCTCTGTTGCAGCGCCTATCTGCTGGAACAGCATCCTCCAGAGGTCCGTATGGCTCCCACCCTGATGACACTCAGAAAGTTATTGAAGACTTGGGGCAGAGGGATGGGGGAGCCCTTGTAGGATGTTTGATTTGCTGTGGAGAGTGCACCTTCTAGACATGTATGATCTACTTTTTTATTTGCTCTTGTTTTTGCTTTTTTAAATTTGTGTGCTCACAGGCAACCTCTAAATTGTATGCATGTATGTATGTATATACAAACACACACACACACACACACAATGAATTTGTATTATGACTTGGGTACAGTATGCAATCTCTGCCCACAGCTGTGGTCCTTTTCCAGTTCCTTGGTAATCTGGCTGCTGCTTTAAAAATGATGGTTAGAGTCTGCTGATGAAAGTGTTTCTTCTGAGGTGATTGTCAGTCCCTCTAGTCCAGGCATGTCAAACTCGTGACGTCACATGACATCGCGCAACGTATCGGGCCAGTTTTGCCATTGCCGACAATGGGGTGGGTGCGGCTTCCACGTGATGCGTCCAGCCCACGGGCCGGCAGTTTGACACCCGTGCTCTAGTCTGCAGAAATTAATATCTTTAGACATTTGGTTTTGTACGGTTGATCCTGAAGACTCTGAATATTATAGTCAGAGGAATGACTTGATAGGATCTAGCTTTCCAGTACTACTTTGTAGGATCAACATTCTTGGAAATTTACCTGGTAATGATTCTTCTGTGATTTGGAATGATATTTAGATTAGGAAATCTTATTGGTTGAACACTTTTGCAGTATTTTAAACCAGTTGCATCAGAAAAATAAATATTTCTCCCTGTGTTTAGGTTCCTTGGTACAGAAATACAGTGGTTTGTGGGATCAGAGACATTGAATGGCATCTGAAATGCATCCTGAACCTGATTAAGTTCTATTCCTGAGTGGAGAGGAATCATTGATCATTAAAAGCCAAGCCTCTGATCAGTGTGAAAAATGTACACTTCTGTAGACCAAAACTCTTTTTCTCTCCATTTCTTTGGTCCTTGAAACTCAGCTACGTTTCTGAAGGAGACTGTGATAAGAAAAAGGTTCTTTATGTAGGATTTCTCTAGTTTCTATGTTCTGTGGTCTTTACTGGAGATGGTCACTGCAGTGATTCAGAGAGCGCTGACTGGCTTCAAACAGATGTAGAAACAAATGCATGATTGTGTACATATTCCACCAGAGAGTTTGAATGGTTCAGTGAGAGATTTGGAGTAGTAAGAAGGTCATTATGGGGAACCGTCATCCCCCTCCCCACTATAAGGACTAACCACTCTGACAGGAATCCTGCCTGGAGCCTGGCTTAGCTGCGTAGGGTAGACAGAAAGGTTTATGGGGCATTTTTTGAAAAAGAACTGGGACCCTGGGATACTCTTTGAAAAATACACTTCAATTTTATAATAAAAGTTTTTTCCAGTAGTTTGAAAGCTATAGAAGTTGATTTGTATGTGTATTATCTGAAATATTTTTACCCTGTTCTTCAGAAGAAAGAACTTCCACAGTATCAACAGAGGTTAATAAAAAAGGTGCCCTAATCTCATTCTTAAAGAAGCACAAAAAGGAGGTGGACTGGAATAATAATGAATTTGGAATTAGCTTTTACTTTGACATTTTTGGAAATATGTAACTGTGATAGAGGAAATCATGAGAGAATCCAAAGGTTGCTTATCAAAACTGATGACAGTTTTATGAGACAAATATAGCAATAGGCATCAACTGTCAAAAGGGCTGGCATTCAAGAGCCAGGGAGTGAGGATCTAAAGCCGCTGCCCACCCTCCTCCTCAGGCAAAGGAGAGGGCATGGGATGCAGAGAGGATCACCCACCACACCAACATCCTGCAGGCCCTTGAATGCAAACCCTTTTGTGCCTGTGCCATTGAGGAGGCCTCACATGCAACAAGAGTGCCCTTGATGCCCAAGTCCCTCACTGTGTGCTGTGGCTCACAGTCAGGGGTGCAGGCTTCAAAGGGCCTGTGTTGGGAAGAAGGGCATTTGCCCCTGCAGCCGTTACACTTGCATTCTTTTGAGGGGACCTGTTGCTATCTGTTTGGCTGATTAGTGGGAATGGATGAAGGGCTGGGAATGCTCTTGGCTGGAGCCATTGTGGTTTTTACCTGCGTTCTTTGGAAGGCCAAGGGAGTCTCATCTGATGTCCCTGCAGCGGACTCCTGCCTTCCTCCCTGTCTTTTGGGGGAAGAGAGTGAGTTTTCACATCCTTGACATGACCAAGAGAAAGATGTAATTGACTGGTTGAACAATCTGCAATGTGCTTCAGCTCCAGGCCGGTGACTGAAGTGGGAGGGGCTGCCTTGCTTTGTGGCTTTGCACCTGCCAGTAGTGGAAGTAAAAATAAAATATTGGGTAGTAGTTGTTTTTTTCTTTATAATTCTGTGTGTTTTGTGGCTACTTTACTGAAAGGACAGCCTGTCTGTCACGGGAGCCTCTTGTAGGCCCTCCCAGGGAATGGCAGCTCTGTTACCCTAGCCTCCCCACCCCTACCTGCTGAATCTGACGGGGCTTCCATCCTGCAGGGCCTCTTAAAAGCCTCCTTCTGGGATGGAGGCAGCAGGGCAGATTGACTGTTTGGCTGCCTGCTTGGCTGACGGGCATGAAAGAAAGCGTTCCCCCTTCCGGCTCTTCTGCTCCTTCCTCATGTGTCAGAGACCCCTGTGCCTCCCGAACAATGCTCCCTGGCACTTCCTTCAGGTTGCCCTTGGTTTTGGGTCTGACCAGAAACACGGCTGCTGGACCTTCCCCTCCTGCTGCAGCCTTCCGGTTTTCAGTCCTGAATCTTGTGAATGATCTTTCTGTCATTGATTAGAAGCCACCTTCTTTAGCAGCACTCCTGAGGCCTGTGGTTTCTCCAAGTATCTGGGTAGGGGAAAGAAGCGGAGAGTTGCTGCCAGCTAATTCACTCAGTGATTCCCTGGGTGCTTTTTGAGTAATGGAAGGATGTATTAAATACATTTTGGCTATTAACTGCTTTATCTGGGCTCTGAATTAAATTTTTTAACTCAAAGAATGTTGTGGGTATACACATTATTTGGAAATGCTAAATCTACCCAGTTCAGTTCAGTTGATGGAACAATTCAGACTTTGTACCTGAGAACCCTGAAAATTGTGGCAAAAAGTTATGTGCCATTTATGAGAGGCATTTAAGACAGCTATTGACAAGTCATTTCAACCACATTCAGAGAACTATGGTGCAGAAATACAGCAAAGGGGATAGTAAATTGCATTTATATAGATCTATGGAAAATTGATGAGGGATTCCTGGTGCTCTCTGAGCTTGGTTGGGTTTCCCCTGCCCCCACCCCAGACGTTTGGTGCCAAACTAAGCAATGTCATCAGTGTTAGCAGGGAATGGGATTGGCTCTCATTGTATAGACGAATGACTTGCCCTGTCAGTGTCCAACTTGCATCTTGGTCTAGATGTGGTTCCTAGAAGTGGGTTTTGTGGGTATGTATATACACAGGCGCAGGCAAAGTAGGGCTTCTAAGCCTTTCTGTGGCTATGGCGTGTTTTCTTTGACTGCTGCTGAAAGTTGTTTAGTTGTTTGCCCCTCTGTTTACTCCAAGTTCTCTGGAGGAGCCTGTCATTTTCACTGGCACAGCGAGAAGCGGCTCAGCATTATGGGTCTTTTACTTTGCCTTCCTGAGAACCATCAAGATTGCAGGCAACTTGGTGTCTCAGTGCCTATCAGTAGTTGTTATTGTCCAAAACAAGGGCAATACTGTAACACTTTCACTACCACTAAGTAA